CTGCGCCACTGCGTCGCTCCACTCGCATCACCCGTGGTATCCCGCCTCTTAAGTATGCTTGGGCTTTAGTGATTGAGCCAGCGGGATTGGATGACGAGGAGGAGGACGAGGAGTGGACGGACCTGGATCCTGACGTGGTGGCCGACCCTGAGAGGCAGTGGGATATAGCGAAGATGACAGTGAAGGAGGCCTTGGGCTGCTGGAAGGGCGACAAGGTGAAGGAGGCAATGGATGAGGAGATGCGGAGCTTGATTGAGCAGGGGACGTGGGAGTTGGTTCCGCGTCCGCCAGGGGTGAATGTAATGAAGAACCGCTGGATCCTGAACACCAAGTTCCGACCGGATGGGGTAGTGGAGCGTGAGAAGGCGCGGCTGGTGGTGAAGGGGTTCACGCAGGTGGCAGGGGTGGACTATGAGGAGACGTACGCTCCTGTGGGAAGCTATGTGACGGCGCGCGTACTTCTGGCGATCGCAGCTGCACTTGACTTGGAGCTGATGCAGCTAGATGTGAAGAATGCGTTCCTCCATGGCGTGCTGGACCGAGACCTGTACATGGAGCAGCCGAGCTACTACGAGGATGGGACTCCTCGTGTCTGTAAGTTGTTGAAGAGTCTGTATGGTCTCAAGCAAAGCCCGATGCTGTGGTATGAGGCCTTGGATGGGGTGCTGCTTGGGGCTGGATGGAAGAAGAGCAAAGTGGATGAGGCTTTGTACTTCAAGAGTGATGCTGACGGGGAGATGTGCTGGCTGCTGGTGTATGTGGATGATTTGCTTGCTGCCAGCCGCAGTCAGAGCATGCTGGGGGAGCTACGTGAGCTGCTGCAGAGTGCGTTTCAGCTGCGGGAGATTAGCCCTGTGGAGAAGTACCTGGGGCTGCAGCTGATTCGGGACAGGCCTACGAGGAGGCTGTGGCTGCACCAGGGGGCCTACGTGGACAAGGTCCATAGGCGCTTCTTCGACGGGGAGCAGCCGCTGCGAGTGCCTCGCACCCCCCTTTCCTCTGACCCTTTCAGTGTGCAGACCTTTGAGGATGCGGGATGGCAGTCTCGCCAGGAGGAGGAGTACAGGCAGAAGGTGGGATCCTTGCAGTTCGCAGCCTGTACCACTCGTCCCGACATCTCCTTTGCCTGCAGCAAGCTGGGGTCAGGCCAGACTGTGCGGAGTGACCAGCACTGGAAGGAGTTGGACCGGTGCTTGGCGTACTTGGTGGGGAGCAGGGATGTTGCGCTGGAGTTTGGTGGTGGGCCTGAGTCCTTGGAGCTGGTGGGCTATGCCGATGCGGATGATGCGGGAGACAAGCAGAACAGGACTAGCACTGGTGGCTATGTCTTCGTGCTCGGAGGTGCTGCTGTCTCGTGGGCGAGCCAGAGGATTCGTTGCGCCACCCTCTCTTCCACTGAGTCTGAGTACGTTGCTGCTGTGGAGGCGGGGAAGGAGGCGCGTAGGTTGCGCTTCCTGCTGGCAGAGTTTCAACTGCTGAGGAGTGAGGTTCCCACTACTCTCTTTGTGGACAACTCCTCCGCCATTTCAGTGGCAGGTGGCATGGGGCTCAAGGGGAGCCTCAAGCACATGGAGCGTCGTCACATGTGGCTGCAGCACATGGTCAAGCGCAGGAAGCTGCAGCTGCAGTACATCCCTACGAGCGAGCAGCCTGCTGACTACCTTACCAAGGCATTGCATTTCCCCGCCTTCAGTCGTTGCTTCGAGGCTGTGGGGCAGGTGAGGCTCTCGAGCGAGGGGAGTGAGACCTAGACACTCCGTGATGTGGATGGTGCCATGGCCTATCCATGGCTGGTGCGGTGCGTGTTTGCACTTTGAGAGTGCTTCGTTTGTGTGTGTTTCCCTTTGTTTGGTGTGTATGTGTTTATGCATGCCCTGTGATTATAAAGGGCCTTGCTGTAGTATGGCAGGGGAGTGTTAGAGGGCCCTACGACAGCAAGGGCCCTCGCGAAATGTTAGACTTGGCAGGTTGACGACCGACGACCTGGTCTACTCGGCACCGTCGCACAGGTTCGATGGCAGTCAAGTGTGACTACGGGTGAATGCGAGCTGCAGTAAGGAATCTGCTGAAGTCGGTGCTGGGAAGTAGAGTCGTGGGAGTCTTTGTGTGCTTCCTTATGAGGCACGCCACTCCCAAGCTGAGTCGGATGGAGTTGCGTGCTCGGAAGGTTTTCGCTGCTGAGTTGGATGGAAGTTTGGCGGGGCGCGTTCGCCAACTCCCACAGCACTTTCGTGTGGGTTGGGTTACTCGCAGCGCCCTCGCTACCTTTTGTGAACGCTTGCTTGCCTTTATATGTTTGTGTTTGCTTGTGTGTTTCATATATTCTAGTTTCCTAGTGAAGCTCAATCTCTACTCAAATTCTCACTTAGTCTTTTGAGACCAACGCTACCGAATTCCTAGCGCAACATCATTCCCATAAGCAGAATCTCTCTCGCCGTCGTAGTGCTCTCCATAGTATTCCTTCAGGAAGCAGGGGAGTAAACGAGGGAAGAAGAGGGGGGAATGAGGGGAAGGAGACGGGGAATGAGGGGAAGCAGAGGGAATCGAGGGTAAGGTAACAAGAGGGAATGGAAAGGCAGGGAAGCGAGGGCAAGGGGATGGGCAAGTGGGAGAAGGGCAGCGGGAGTGGAGGCGCGAGGAGGGGCAGCGCGACGAGGGTGTTGGCGCGCTGATGGCAGGGGATGTGCGGCGAGGAGAGCGGAGGCGCGGCGAGGAGAGCGGAGGCGCGGCGAGGAGAGCGGAGGCGCGGCGAGGAGAGCGGAGGCGCGGCGAGGAGAGCGGAGGCGCGGCGAGGAGAGCGGAGGCAAGGGGAGGCGAACGTAGGTGCGACGAGGGGAGCGGAGGCGCGGTGAGGCAAGCAGAGGCGCGGCCAGGCGAGCGGAGGCGCGACGAGGGGAGGCTCCCAAAAACGAGGGTACCCTAAATCCGGGAGGCGTGACGATGGGACAGGGGGTGCGGCGAGGGGAGACGCAACGACGGGAGGCGAGGCACAACAACTTTGTGTATACGCGGGTGGAGTTCCTAAAATCTGCGTAGTTTATGCGGCGGTTTCTGACTGTCGGGAAGTTTTCTGACTACTACTAACAAGACTGGTGAGGTAACTCGGTTGGTTTGGTTGGGTTGGTTTGTCGCACACTCATACCGATGAGTGACGACTTCCCAATCTCTTCGCAGCCTAATCTCGCTTTCGCCCCGCCCATATTCCCGAAATGTTTTTTTATGCTTTTCGCCGACACATTTAAAGCCCTACAGAAAATTCGCCAAAAACCATGTTGATCTTGGGCTTTAAGCGATGTATCATATACTTGCACCGACCCCGCGAAAGAAAAAAAGCGCTGCACTTACATCACACCCCTAGCGAGTCACGCCGCTCACAACACGAGACAGAGAGATAGAGCAGGGCATGGAGCAAGTACCTACAAGCAACATCGAGCCATGAAGGCTTGATTTCGTCTGCGAAACCATTGCGAAACGAGGTTTCACGACGATCCGACTTTGTGGCATGCAAGCTTTCTGGGTCTGTCGGAGATAAAACAACCTGTACACTTCATCACAACGCGGATTTGGCAATGTAGCCCAAAATATTTTGAGCACCGCGAGTTTGAATATGTCGACATTGACCACTGGACAGTTGAACGTGTAACAAGAAGGCTTACTCATCACAAACCCTGGCAAAACAATTACAAATCGAAATCATGGTGGAGGTTTGACTATGTATATCTAAACGAGATATTGTGAAAATGGAATGAAACGAGGAGAGAACAGTGCACCTGCAAAAAAAATAAAATAAATCAAGAAACCCATGAAAAAACGGAATGCAAATGATTTCTGTCCTGTCCATTCGTGCAGGTTCTGCCGCCTTGTGTGTTTGGAATCATCGAAACGAATGTTGCTTTGGAAAGTTGTACCCTTTGGACAAATCTCAAAAACATTGTGGACAGCAATCCGTATCCCTGCGGGGGGCAATCAGATCTGCTCCTGATTCGCTTCGGGCTCTGGGGTTTGTGTGTGAATGATGTCGCTTATTGCCCGATTGAAGTATGACATAATTTTCTTTATAACTCGTGTAGTTCCATTCATAATATTGATTAAAATCTCTGGTAGACAAAACGATTATAAATCGCATTCATGCTCAATGTACTGTGGGGTGAATTGACCATTTCGCATTTGTGTGCGTGTGGGGTGGACACAGCAGAAGCTCTCCGCGTCAATCAGCAAAGCAGAAACCCTGACCACTGGGCACATGGTGGTGAATGGCAAGCTGGCAGGCCAGCTCACATCACATGCACCCTCCACAGTGTACGAAGTCAGAAACCCCAGAGACAGAGCGCTCTGCGGCGGAACGGGGGAACCCCACCAGCAAGCACAAGGGATGGGTGGCGGAGAGCAACTTTAGCGGAGCTCTAGAAACAGAGTCTCACGCGCACACTTTGTTTTGTTCCGAGCAAGCGAATGGCGGTCCCCACTGGGGAATAAACGCATTCTCCGTTCCTATCATTTCAACACACAACTCCCTGCTGCCCTGCCCACTAGTGTGACTCCAGCTTCAAAACAGGTTACCTGCCAGCTTCCAAGGAGCTGTTTCAGATCGTGATTGAAAATTGAAGGGCTGTCTCCTTGCTGGAATATACAAGCATGGAGCACGTGGAATCAAGAGATTTCAAGGCCCAGCTTTTCGTCCGTCACGTGTTCGTATCCATACGATAGCGGTGCGTCGGCCGATGCCTCGGAAATCCGAGAGCTATCATGGTTTGCATAATTTTGATCGGGAAGTAAACCAGTCAAACCGAGAGCAAATTGCTATGGCCTTTGAATTTAGGAACACCCAAAACCTGCAACATCATGGTATCGTCGTTTCTCTATGTGAAATCTGACTCTTTTTCTGATGAACCACCGATGAATCTCGAATCGGAGGCTCCGCCGAGTGTTTTTTGTTTCGCAAACTGTGAGCCCTGAAGCCAAACAAACTGCTCTTCTGCGCCTGAAATTCATTCCATCAAATGGACTGCTTGCCAGAGCCGGATGAAAATGATGATCCTCGTTTCATACGGGCCGTTCAAAGACAGCAGCTCCCTGCGGCATCTCTAAGCGATCCCACGCCCGTTCTTCCGCAAGCGAGTCCCTTCCGCACCCCAGATCCGCCACGCACAGCGCTGCTTCCGCCATTCCCCGGAAGAATCGCCCGTTTTGCCGCGACCGTTTCCCCGAGCCAGCTCCCCCGCGCGTACTCCGGGAATACCGTTCCCGCGGCGGCATCCAGCACTAGCAGCAGCGGCGGAACCGGCAGCAGCGCACAGAGCCGGCAGTCGGGGCTCCGCCTGGCGCGGCGGTTGGATTTGGCGGCGGGGGAGAGCGGCGCTGCTGGCGGAGAAGGCGGGGGGTTCCGCGGAAGTAGTGGTGGTGGCGGCGTCCGCGAGCAGCCCCGCGGGCGCAAGCAGCGGCGGATTCTACCGAGCGAGGATGAGGTGAAAGCCGCAGCCGCTGGCCACTTGGGTGGCCACGTGGCTGGCCAATTGGGTGGCCACGTGGCAGGCCACGCTGCTGCCTTCAACTTGGGCACAGCAGGGGGAGGAGCAAATGCAGGATACAGAGGGGGAGGAGGAGGGGGAGGGGCTGTCTGGGAAGGATTTTCTGGAGGATCAACCAATGCTGCTGCGGATCTGGACGTTCTAAGGCATGGGAGTGACTTGCACTCTCAATTAGCCCACCTGCTGCGCCAAAACGCTGCTGCTGTCACGGCTGCCGCTGCAGGCACTACTGGTGCTAACCCAACCTCTGCTGCTGCCGTCTTCCCAGCAGGCAACGCTATGGGGTTTCAGGAAACGGGTTTAGGAGGGAATGCTGTGGGCTTTAGGCAGGAAGGAGAGGGCGGGAGGATGGAGGGTGGGGTGCAGGGTCGGGAGGTGGATAGAAGACTGATCATGTGGGATTTGGGTAGAGGGGTGGACGGACGGATGGGAGGAGGCATGGGAGGAGGTGTGAGTGGGAGAATGAATGAGGGAATGGGGGGAGGATTTGGGGAAGGGATGGGTGGGGGAGTGAATGAGGGAGGCATGAATATGGTGAGAGGCGGCAGGATGGCAGGGCAGGGCACAGCGCTACCACAGACTCCAATCATCCCCACCAATCTCAGCGCTTCTCTTTCTCTAGGCGCCGCTACAGCCGCGGAATTCCACCGTGCAGCCCCGGGTTTCTGCATGGCGGCACCGCTACAGCCGCTGGCAGGAGGCTCTCTGGGCGGCGGCGGTGGCGGTGGTGGTGGTGGGTTGCTGTATGAGTGCAGATTCTGCGGGAAGGGATTCGCGCAGTCGCAGGCGCTTGGAGGACATATGAACACTCACCGCCGAGGTTGGTTTGGGGGGGGTGGTGGGCTAGTAAGGGGGTGAGGGGGAAGAGGGGAAAGTGGGAGACAAGTGGCAAGTGCGGATTCTGCGGGAAGGGATTCGCGCAGTCGCAGGCGCTTGGGGGACATATGAACACACACCGCCGAGGTTGGTTGGGGGAGGGGGGAGGTGGGATGAGGGGGAAGAGGAGTGGCTTATGAGTCAACTCAAGGTTGGTGAGTTGGACGGGGGGAAGAGGAGTGGCTAATGAGTCGACTCAAGGTTCACCTTGTACAAATGCAGATTTGCACGGTCACTGGCACTTATAGGGCATATGAACACGCACCGCCGCCCAGGTTGGTAAGGGAGGGAGGAGGATAATGGGGGGGGGGGAGAAAGTGTTGAAAAGGGTACATATTTAGTTTTAGTTGACTAAAAAGTAGCAGACTTTGTGGCAAGGGGTTTGGAGAGTGGAGGGTCATAGGATGCAAATGAACCGAGTGGATGTTGGTTTGGTGAGGGAAGGAGGGACGGAGCGGGGTGAGAAGGGGATGGGGTGGTAGCGTTTGAAAAGTGGCATGGCAGGTGTCACGAGCAAATCAACGAATGAGCAATTTAATGAGTAGTATCCTGCTCAGGTGTTTTGTTGCTCGTGCTTGTTTTTTTATTCATTCATTTATTTCATTAATCATTTATTTAACTACCCATTGCAGAGCGAGAGGCGGAGCAGATGCTTCAAAGTCAGGGAATTTTACCCCAGAGAGGCGCAAGGTGAGAGGGAATGCATGGCTGTGTCCTGAGCTGTCTCCTCCTCGTTCTTCTCTTTCCCCGCTGTCTTGCAAGCCCGTTTTCTCCTTCCCTGTGTCTCGAACCTTGCCGCGTGCTGCTGCCTCCTTTTCTCCTCTTTGTCCTTCCCTCGATCACTCACCCTTGGAGCGGAAGTTGCAAGTCAATGCGTGGGAACACCAACTAAACGAAACTCCCAACTTCCTCCCAACTTCCTCCCAACTTCCTTCCAACTTCCTCCGCACGTCTCCACCCCCTTTGGCCCACCCTCGCCCCTCCCTGCAGCGCTCGTCTGGGAGCAGGCGAAGCGCAGCTACTCCTGGCGCTCTCCCAGGGAACTCCCTTGCTCCAACCAGCCGCAATGCCTCATGCAGGGGCCATGCCTCATGCAGGGGCCATGCCTCATGCAGGGGCCATGCCACATGCAGGGGCCATAGGGTCCATTGCATTCCCACAGGGCCCAGCAGTCAACGTTGAACCCAACCCAGCAGCAGCAGCTGGTGAAGCGCAGAGAGCAATGCAGGGTCAAGGCTCCTCCTTTCAAGGCCACTCCCTTCAAGCCCCCTCCCTTCAAGCCCCCTCCCTTCAAGCCGCCTCCCTTCAAGATCCATCCATCGCTTCTCTTCTGGTACAGGCCCAGAACCAGGCAGCAGTAGGTGCGATGCAGAGAGCAATGCAGGGACAAGGTCCCTCCTTCGCCGCCCCCTCCATTCAACATCCTTCTCTTCAAGATTCCTCTTACGCAACTCTGCTAGCACAGATTCAGAACCAGGCAGCAGCGCAACGAGAAGCAGCAGCACAACAGCAGGCAGCAGCGCAACAGCGGACAGCAGCGCAACAGCAGGCAGCAGCGCAACAACACGCAGAAGCACAACAGCAGTCAGGCACCACACTCACAGGGCGAGCAGCAGCGCACGCCATCCCAATCGCAGAGGGAAGGATCTTAGAGGCACTTGCGGAATCTACTTCAGCTCATGCTGCACCAAGGTCCTCAGCACATGCCGTTGAAAGTGCTCAAGCAGTCTCCGTTCCAGGTGCGGAGGCTCAGGAGTCTCTGCTTCTGATGGATCTAGCAGCGCTGCAGGCACAGCATGAGCGCGAGGTGGTGTGGCAGCAGCGGATGCTGCAGCAGCGGCAGCAGCAGGAGCAGGAGCAGCAGCAGCAGCAGCAGCAGCAGGAGCAAGAACTCCGGAAGAAAAAGCAGCAACAGGGGCGAGAGCAGCAGGAGCAAAACGAACAACAGTTGCAGCTGCTGCTGCTGCAGCAGCAGCAGCAGCAGCAGCAGCAGCAGCAGCAGCAGCAGCAGCAGCAGCAGCAGCAGCAGCAGCAGCAGCAGCAGCAGCAGCAGCAGCAGCAGCAGCAGCAACAGCAGCAACAGCAGCAGCAGCAGCAGGCGGCGGCAGGACAAGGAGCGGGATTTAGAGGAGGAGAAGGGGATGATGAAGTTCCGGGGGAGGGGTACATTGTTGGTACGTTGGGGGTGAGACGAAATAAACGAGGTGAAGACGCTGACAGGAATGAGGAGAGATTGTGGGGTGAAGGCGCGGGAGAGAGTGGCGGTGGGTGGATCGAGGGAGGGGAAGGGATGGAAGGGCACAAGACGGTGATACACTTGCAGCAGGAGAATCGAGAGCAGGAGCAGAGGCAGCAGCAGCAGGAGCTGATGCAGAAGCCAGGGCAGGAGGAGGAGGAGGAGGCAGAGCAGCAGCAGCGGACACGAGAGGAGGTGGAGGAGGAGGAGAAGCAACGGCGGAAACAGCTGGAGGAAGAATGGAGTAAAAAAGAGTTGGTGCAGCTTCAGGTGCTTTGGCAGCAGCAGATTTTGCATCAGCAGCTGCAGAGGCAGCAGGAGGAGCAGATGAAGCAGCAGCAGCAGCAACAAGAGCAACTGGAGCAGCAGGAGGAGGAGCGGGAGCGGCAAGAGCAGGAGGAGAGGCAGCAGGAGTGGGTCCTCCAGCGTCACCTAGAGCAGTTGATGGCACAGAGTGGGGGGGGTTCCTGGGGATTTCCAGCAGCAGCAGCAGCAGCAGCAGCAGCAGCAGCAGCAGCAGCAACAGACAAAGCAGCAAGAAACAGAGCAATTGCAGGAATTGGAGCAGCAGCGCATGCTACGCCATATTCTGCAGCAGCAGTCACTGCAGCAACAGCCAGTGCAGCAGCAACCAGTGCAGCAGCAGCCATTGCAGCAAGATCTGCTGCAACAGCAGCACGAGGTGCTGGCGAGGCAGCAGGAGGAGCAGCTACAGAGGGTGCAGCAGCTGCAGCAGTGGCACTCTGCACAGAGGCAGTTTCAACACCACCAGCTGCTGCAGCTGCAGCAAATGCAGCATCTGCATCTGCAGCAGCAGCAGCAGCAACAGCCGGTGGAGCAGCAGCAACAGCTGCAGGAGCAGCAGGAGCAGCAGCAGCAGCAGCAGCAGCAGCAGCAGCGCGACCAGGTTCCGGAACAAAATGAGAACCTGAATTAGTCAGCATTAGAAGGTCTCTCATCCTGCCGCCATGCTCTGAGGTGCCTGCAATCTGGGGCGGGAGGAGCAGCGGGGCAGAGTGGGTAGGAGTGCAGTTTGTATGAGGGAGTGTGGGTATGGAAGGCGAGTGCGTATCGGCCAAGCAGCCTCTTTTATTCTTTTTAAAGCACCTCTGGTTCAGGTGTCTGTTATCGAAAAGAAGAATGGGCACAGAGTGGTGGGCGAATGGAGTGGTGAATGGAGTGGTGAGTGGAATGGTGAGTGGAATGGTGAGTGGAGTGGTGAATGGAGTGGTGAGTGCAGCGCAGTTGTGAGGATGGCATGGGCAGCAGGATGATCACAAGTGGCAGAGTCAGCAGCCACAGGCATTTGTGCAGGGCATATGAGCGCACTCCGCATGTAACAGCAGGCGAGTGAGTGCAGTGAGCAGGTAAGAACAGTGCACGTGAGTGCAGTGCACGGTTAGCATTTTGTCACCGTACACAAGCCATTCCCCACAGGGTCTCACTGTTCCATACAGCCATAGAGGCCTGAGGTCCCAATACCACATTCCTCCTGGGCCTTGGTTGGAGCATGGGTGGGGTTCGACCCTCATTTCTTTAGAAAGACCATTCTTCAAGGGGGGTGTGCAAGAGCTGCGAGGTGAGTGCCTGTGCATTCTGAGACAGGATACAGGTATTTTAGGCTGTGGCATCATGTAGGAGGCAAGGAGCTTTTTGGTTGCAGGCTGGCATGGCATCCACTGCACTGCCAAGTTTCAACTGTTTTTGCCCCGCACTTGTGCGGGTGTTTTGTACCAGCTCCTTTGCCTTGTAGAATGGTATGATGTATTAAATACACCATTGTGGCAAAGAAATTAATTTCTTTATGGCTCTTTCTTCAATGGGATTGCCAGTGTGGAAGTTTGGGTTCCATTTGGCTTCCAAAGTACGTGGCATATTGAATATCGAACAAGTACTCTTAGAAGTCTGATGGACCAGGCTTGACATCAACAATTTGTCTGAAAATTAGAGGCCTAGGATAAAACATTCAGGCGAAATAATACGAGTAGGGGTGCTCTATTTGAGTCAGTTTTCATTATACCCTCCCATATCGAGTGAACTTATTATAAGAAGAAACCCCCATCCCTACGAAAAAATCGAGACTTGCTAGTTTTCAGAGATAGTACAATATTTCCAGTCCTGATGAAAGCACGTAGGTATCGACGAGGCAATGTAGTGCATTGTTCTTCTTTTCGCCACTGATGAATTTAAATTTGTCCAGTGGCGAGAATTATGCCACATGGCAAACGCCGAAGGTGGGGACATTGACACCCTCACCCATAGTCGAGGCTTAGCTGCAAAGTACAACTGGCACAAATATGAACAACAGACATGCATTTATTCAATAAGATTATGAGGACTTTTATTCCGTGTATCGCGTCATTTTGGAGGCAATTGTTTTGGTCTCATGCGACTGAAAGAGACAGGAATATCAGTCGCAACAAAACAATATGATTGATCGTGCTATTTCCACCAGGAAAGAAAACAAACAAGAATGAAAGAATGAAAACATTAAAACCTTTCACTTTACAGTCAAAACTCTTCGATTGAAATACAAAACCAGCTTGAATCCAATGTGGCCACCCACCTGGTGTTCTAGAAATGAGCATTTACTGTACAGTACAAAAGAAATCCTATCGGTTTTCCCAAATACTATCGAAACCAAATCGTTGCAAGCTGTGATGTTTTGCATCGATCCGGCGGCCATGTTCTGAAAACAGTGCGGGGTGAACACTGTGCGCTTTGGCGAAGGACTTTTGACTGTGGCCCTCAGCACCACTTGTGCCCTTTGTACGTGTAACTGTACTTCCAATGACAATGGATGGCAACCCTCAGCGAGCACAATGTACCCTTCAGAAATCAATCAGCGAGCACATTCATCTCCTAGGGTAGGTTCAGCTCGACCCTTGCTTGTTGGCTACAGTAAAGGGAGCTTCGTAGTATCCATGATTCAGGTGGTTTTTACCCCGGTATTTACACCTTTCCTGCGATAACTCCACACCCCCTATCTTCACGCCCTGGGGTACCTACCCTCGAAAATGTAGATTTCGAAGGTAGTTAGAAACGATCGCGGTAGTTTCGAGGGTAGTAAGACATGACCTCAATGCGAGTTTAACACTCTAACATTATGGCACTGGGAATTTTCCCCGCTCACCCTGATTACAATCTGAGTTTCGAATGGCCAGAGCCTTTCGGTTCTATACTGATAGACCCGTAGTGTCAGGGTGTCCGTCTCATCGATCCTCAAGCCGTATAGGGTGTCTGGCAAAAACGAGGGTAGGGGGTGTGGAAATACCGGAGGCAAAAAAGCCTGAACGGCTCAAACACCCTGTTCAGGGTCTAGATAGCGGGGTGCACCATGGCACTCAAATCCCCACACGCTGTACCATAGCGGGTGTGGGTTGCGCACTCATTCTAGTGCACAAGCTAACACGCCCTAAAAAAAGTAAAATTTGTTAGAAATGTTATGTCTTTTTTTCCCTGAGCTAATCAGGATAAGTGTTTCTAGGCTCAATTCTACATTGTAAACAATCAAACCCTTCAATAACGAAACCCAGCTTCCCCTGGGCTGGGGCCCCAATTCCGACCTCAAAACTCCCTCTCCCAAGGCAGCCATTCTTGAAGCCCGCACTCATGTTTCATTTCAACCCAAGGCCCCACCAGGTCAGGCCCACCCATACCCCTCATACCACTCTGCACCCATTTTCCATCGCCTCAGCAGCAGCAGCAGCAGCCAAGTACCCTACTAGTGTAACTTCCTTGGGTACACCCACAGAGTCGGCCGGCATAACATATCGTACAGGCACCAGTCAGTACAAACAGCAGCCGACCAGACAGACGCACGCAGATCGTCTGACGCCGCCCCGCCGCCGATCCATCAGTCACACACATGCCAGTCAAGTCACACACCACTTTCTGAGTCGACCCGTAACGTCACTCCATGGTAGAAACCAAGGCGTTGCAGAGATTTATCCGCAGAAACATCCAACGCCTGCCCACCATCCTTTCGCATCCTATGCTGTCCCCTCTTCAAAGTACTCTGAGCCCCTCCTCGCCCGCTTCTTTCCCACCCTTCTCCACCCTTCTCCACCTTTTCTTATCCTTTCCCTCACTTCCTTTCTCCACCTCTGGTCTCCATCATTTCAGGGGATCCATGATCGGACTCAACATACATCGACTTGTATGTCCTCACATCTGCTGCCCCTCTCCTCCTCCTCCTGTCTACCTCCATCCTCGCTCCACGCCCCATACAACGCCTCCCACTTGCACCCCTCTCAACCCCTCACCCCACACATCAATGCAGTGGATAAATTGACTCATCATACATCGGCTCGCGTGCGTCCTCACATCTGCTGCCCCCCTCCTTGCCTGCCTATGTGCCTTCATGCTCTCCCCTCCCTATACACCAACGCACTTCCTCTCCGCCCTCCTCTCCTCCTCCCCGCCACCCTTTTTCCTCATTTCAATGGCTCCATACCATAGACTCGTCAAGAACCAACTGGTATGTCACCATCAGCTGCCCCTCTCTGCCCACTCATGTCTACCCCCATGCCAGCTCGATACCCCTGCATTTCCCTTCTCTCCATCATTTCAGCGCCTCCATTGACGCATCATACACCGACCGGTGAGTCATCACATCAGCCGCCCCTCTCTGCCCACTCATGTCTACCTCCCACTTGCACCCTTTCATCCCCTCTCCCCCCCCCCCCCTCCCCCTTCAATTCTCCATCATTTCAGCGCCTCCATAGACTCATCATACACCGACCGATGTGTCATCACATCTGCTGCCCCTCTCCTGTCGCTCCTCCAGCTACCCCTCACCACCTCACTCTCCTCCTCTTCCTCCTCCTCCTCCCCGTCCTCCCCACCATCCTCTCGAAACATGTTCTCGCTCTCCTCCCCAGTTGGGCTCGTGATGGGGGACAGGGAGGGAGAGCTCTGCATGCGTCTAAGGGACTTGCGCTGCTGCTGCTGCTGCTGCTGCTGCTGCTGCTGCTGCTGGGAAGGGGAGGGATGCTGTTGGGGAGGGGACGGCACGTGTGAGTGGGACGGCGAGCGCGAGTGTGACTGTAAAGGGGGCCGGTCGGCAGAGTGCTGCGGAGGGGTGGTGCCGCCGCTGCTGGATTTCTTCACGGCACGCGGGACGGGTGGGGGTGAGCTGGAGACGACCTGAAGGGGGAAGGAAGGCGGGAAGTGGCAGCAACAGGGCAAAGAAATGAGGAGGGGAAGGGAGAAGTAGATAGAGGGGTGGTGCCGCCGCTGCTGGATTCTTTCACGGCACGCGGGACGGGTGGAGGTGAGCTCGATACGACCTGAAGGGAGAAGCGAGGGAGAGGAAGAGGCAGCAACAGGTGAGGGGAAACCTAAATAGCAGCACAAATGCTGCAAAAGTTTATGGGGCTGGGGGCACGAGGTACCAGAGGAGGTTAGCTGGAGATAACCTGGAGGGGAAGGGAGGGTGGGGAGTGACAGCAACAGTGCAAGGAACTGAGGAGAGGAAGGGAGAAGCAGATAGAGGGGCGGTGCCGCTGCTGCTGGATTCCTCACCTGCGACAGCCAATCGTCCATCTTGGGGTTACTCGCCCGCTCAATCCACATGCGCATGTCCTGTGCCGCCGCTGCAACCCCCCCTCCCCCCAACTTTCCCAAACAACATCTCACCCCACAGACACCCATACAGCCAGCAGCCCATCTCACCTGCGACAGCCATTCGTCCATCTTGGGGTTACTGGCCCGCTCAATCCACATGCGCATGTCCTGTGCTGCCCGCTGCTCCGACCCCGTCCTGGGCTGCCTACCCCCTCCAGCACCCAGCGACCCCGGGTCCATGCTCGTGCTGCGCCACAGGGGGGACATCGACTGCGCCCTCTGCACCCCCCCTCCCCCCAACCCTCCCCCTCCCCCTCCCCCTCCCCCCAACCCTCCCCCGGTGCTGCTGCCGCGGGGTAGGCCTTTCCCCGCCGCGCCGCCCATGCGGCTGGAGAGTTCCCCGCTGGTTCTCGGCCGGCTGTCTGTGAGCGACCGGCTGTCTGTGAGTGATCGCATGGCTACCACAGGGGACCCCAGTGAGGATCGCCTTGGCTGCTGCCCGTCTGCCCCAGAAGAGTTTCTTTCCTGCCCGCTGCCCACTGCTGCCGCAGAGGAAGCCCCGTCACCCTCTCGCTGTTCTGCCAAGGGGTTTCTACTGCTGCCGCTGCTGCTACTGTAGGGACTGCTGCTGTTGACCCTCCTTAGACTGCCAGGCGTACCCATAGGCCCACCCATAGACCCTGTAGACCCACCCAAAGGCCCGCCCTTGGATGCGTTCACAGGGGCGAAATTGCCAGGCCCAGACCCCCCACCCCTGCCCGTCCCATAGCTCTCACTCTCCTTCCCCTCACCGCCCCCCCCTGCCGCCGCTCGACCTGCCCCCTCTCCTCTACTCTCCCCCACACCTTCCCCCCCACCCCCGCCCCTCCCTCCGCCCCCTCTCCCCAGCACCGACCCTCCCGGATTCCCCCTCCCCCCACCCGCCCCTCCCCCGCCGCCCGCCCCTGCCCCCCCTGTCCGCCCACTCGTCGCCCCGCCCCCTCCCCCTGGCGCATTCCCCCCAGAAGGCGGGGGTTTGCCCCCTCTCCCCTCGGGCCGCGGTATTCTCCCATGCCGGGGGCTCTCTGCTACGCGCTCCTGCCCGCCTGCACCTGCACCTGCACCCGCCCCCACCTGTGAATTCTGCCGAGAGTAGCTTTCCGAGGTGGAAACTCGCAAGATGCTCTTCGGAGGCGCGACCCCTGCTCCTCCCCCAGTCCCTCCCGCTCCCCCTGCCCCCCCCGCTCCCCCTCCCCCTCCCCCTCCTCCCCCTCCCCCTCGCCCTGCGCCTCCTCCTAACCGTGATCTCTCCTTAGTGTCCTGCCTTGGCATGCTCCACTCTCTACTGTTATTCCATTCTCTACTGTTGTTCCACTCCCTACTATTATTCCACTCCCTACTGCGGTCTAGGTCCCGACCATCACGAGGAATAGTGACGTCTCTAGAAGACCCAGACGCCTCTCTAGAACTAGCAGCCTCTCTAGAATTAGTAGTCTCTCTAAGACCGGAGGTATTCCGGGAGTCAGCAGTATCCCTGGTGGCGTTAGTAGCCTCTCTGTTCCCTGGTGCCTCGCGAGTGCTCGTCCACTCGCGGCTGTTATTCCACTCCCTACTCTGATCCATCGCATCGCCACTCCCTCTCCTCTCCATTCCTCCTCTCCCCCCTGCTCCTCCTCCACCTCCTCTGCCTCCTCTCTCCCCCGTTCCTCTCCGTTCCATTCCCCCTGGCCCTGCCCTTGCCATCCCTGCACTTCCTCCCCTCGCTGCCCCCCCCCACCCACCTCCCCTCCCTCCTCCCGCTCCCCCCCCACTTCCTCCTCTCCCTCCTCCTCTCCCCACGCCTTCCCCCCTGGGACTAGCAGCCTGCTCCCTTAGGCTCCTATCGCTACCACTTCTCTCAATCCCTATCCCCACACTCACACCACCCACCCTCCCACTCCCACTCCTCCCACTCCTCACGCTCCCCCCCACACTAGACCCCCCGCGACTGGAAGACGATAACTCACCCTCATCCTCCTCCTCCTCTCCATTCACACACCCTCCCACCCCTCTCCGCTCCTCCCCACTCCCCCCTCCATGGATCTTGGACCAGATCTGATCCAGGGACGGCCCCTTGTCGTTTTCTGCATGTGATCCCATCCTACTGTTGCTGCTGCCCATACTGCCGCCCATACTGCCCTCCCTCTGCTTGCCGCTGCTACCGTAACGGTTATGGCTAGAGTTACTGTTAGTGTTACTGTAGCTGCTGCTCGCATCATCATCCTCATCATCATTACTCGTCAATCCATCCTGATTTGAACTATGCCTACGCCTGTTTCCATGCCTACTCCCTCCCTCTCCAAAGCTCTCCTCCTCTTGCTCCTCCTCCTCCTCCTCATCCTCATCATCGCTCTGCAACGGGGTGCCAGTTTCCCACATCCGCTTCTGGGACCCACTCCGAGACAGTCTCCTATCACCTCCCTCTCGCCCCCTTTCCTCTCCCCCCCTCCCTCCCTCTCCCTCTCCTCCTCCTTGTTCTCCTCCTCTCGATCGTCCTGCTGCTCCCCAACCCTCCACCCCACCCCCTGCAGCCCCCCGCCCGGCCAGCCCTCCAGGCCTTCCCCCCAACCTCCCCCCGCTCCCCCCGTTGCCACTGCCCGACCCGCCCGCACCAGCAGGGGAAGCGCGGGCAGCACCAGCAGAAGAAGCAGCAAAAGCAGAAGCAGAAGGGCCAGAGGCAAAAGAGCCGCTGCCGGTTCGGCCTGCGAGCCAGCCTTGGGAGAAGCCCCCGTTGGGACCCCCTCCCAGCACCCCCTCCTCGTCCTCCTCATCGTCACTCTCCACCTGACGGGGGGGGGGGGTAAGGGGGGGGGGGAAGGGGGGGTGGGGTTAGGGTAAGGGGGATGCATTTTGAGGCGACTCAAAGGTCCCGTCCATCCCAAATGGCCTCACCTGGAAGCTCATGTACGAGATGGACAAGGACTGGGAGCGAGAGCAAGAGCCATATGTAGACGTGTACTGAGGTTGTTTTTGAGACGTCTCAAAAACAACCTCAGTACACGTAGCTCATGTACGAGATGGACATGGACTGGGTTTTGAGAATTCTCAAAGACATGGACTGGGAGCGAGAGCAAGAGCCATATGTAGACGTCTTAACCCTCGCAGGGATGTGTGGGGGTTGCAATCTCACCCGGAAGTTCATGTAGGCGAGAGACCATGGCACGGGGCAGGAGCGAGCGCAAGAACCCGTATTGGGACATGTTACGAATACAAGACAACGGGCCCTCACCTAGTAGCTCATGTAGGTGAGGGACAAGGACATGGACCGGGAACGCATGGGCATAGGGAGGGTGGCGGAATACGGGAGGGGGGGGGTTGGGGAGGTTGTGGTCTCACCTGGAAGTTCATGTAGGCGAGGGACATGGACATTGAGCGGGAGCGGGCGCGCACAGACAGGGCCGAAGGAGGCTGCCTAACCATGCTGTTCCAAAATGTATCACAAGCATGAGTGGTGTCTCACCTGGAAGTTCATGTAGGCGAGGGACATGGACATGGAGCGGGAGCGAGCGCGCACGGACAGGGCCGAAGGAGGCTGCCTGGCCGGCAAACACTCGTCCCCCTGCCCGTGCAGCTTCCTGGAAGCTGCGGATGTTGCTGCTGGCAAGGCGTCTAGAAACTTCCTTCCTTTCTCCCCTCCTCCTCCTCCTCCTCCTCCTCCTCCTCCTCCTCCTCCTCCTCCTCCTCCTCCTCCTCCTCCTCCTCCTCCTCCTCCTCCTCCTCCTCCTCCTCCTCCTCCTCCTCCTCCTCCTCCTCCTCCTCCTCCTCCTCCTCCTCCTTCTCCTCCTCCTCCTCCACCGCCTCCGCCTCCTCCCCCTCTCCCACCCGCCTCTCCTCCTCTCTCGCCCCTACTCATTTTACTTATCTCAGGTCCCACACCTGATTTCGCCCGAACCAGAGGAGACTTGGCTCGGTGCCGAGCCTCAGGCTCGGCCAAGCCTGCGGTGGGATCAAGAGGGATGGACCCAGCTGACCTGGGGGCAGCAGAGCTGCGAGAGCGGGGAAAGGCGGCGTGCGCCTGAGGGGATGCTGCAAACGCACCACCACTGCCACCACCACCCGCAGTAGCAGCAGCAGCACCTGCTACTCCTGGTCTTCCTCCCAGCTCTCCCCTCCCCCCACTCCCACCACTCCCACCCTTGCCCCCACTAGCAGCACCGGCAGCAGTGGGGCCAGCGGGTGCAGCAGCACTGCCTCTTGGCCGGGGGCGGGCGCGGGAGGAGTCATCAGAGGCACAGCCTTCCGACTCCGATCCTAGTACATCGTTCCATGACCCGAATGATGGGTATGCTGCCAGGCTCTTCACCCCCTTCCCCCCGCCCGCTCCCCCTCGCCCCCCTCCCGACCCCGGTCTGGCCCCCCCTCCCCCTCCCCCTCCCCCTCCCCCTCCTGTGCCTGTGGTTGCTCCCCCCCCTCCTCCCCCACCTCCTCCTCCACTCCCCCCTCCCCATCCCACTCCTCCTCCTGCTCCTCCCATCCCTCCTGCTCTTCCTCCATCTCCTCCCCCAACCACATCGCCCCTCGTCTCTCCCACAGTATCCCTCCCCTGCACCTTACCCACACCCCTCCCTGGAACAAACTCAACCGTATCCTCTTCCCTCTCACTCTCCCCTCCTGCCCCCCTCCCATCCCGCCCCACCCCCTGCTGCCTCTGCCTCTCCCCCTGCTGCCTCTGCTGCTCCTGCTGCCGCTGCTGCTCCTGCTGCTGCAACAACAACTGCCTCTTAGTCTGCTGATACCTTAACTGCGGCGACGTGGGCTTTAACTCCCCAGTCGGGCTCTTCGCCTGCGTCAGACTCTCTCTGATCGCCTTCTCAATCTCCCGCGGCCGGATCGGCTTCGATAAATAGTAATCCATCCCAGCGGCCATACAACTATCCTTATCCTCGCTAAGAGCAGACGCGGTAAGCGCAACAATGAAAGTCCGGTGCGGCCGCGGTGGCATATGAGCCCTTCGGGGCTGCGAGGGGGAGCTAGCCTCGCTATCGCTAGCATCGCTATTAGTATTAGCCACCCAGCTGGCGGCGCTGCCGTAAGGGGAGCCGTTCCCACAGGCGGCCATGGCTGCTGTGTACACCTGCAGCCTCTCCGCTTCCATCTCTCGAATCTTTCGAGTCGCTTCAAAGCCATCCATCTCCGGCATGTGGCAGTCCTGTATGGGGTGGGGATGATGGAGAGGAGGAATAGAGGGAAGGGAAGAGAGGAGAGAGGAGGGGATGGGAGAGGAGGGCAGGGGAGAGAGGTGGAAGCGGGGGGAGAAGACGGGAGGGCAGGGAAAGAGAGGGATATGTGTTACCACAGGCGGCCATGGCTGCTGTGTACACCTGCAGCCTCTCTGCTTCCAACTCTCAGATCTTGCGCGTGGCCTCAAACCCATCCATCTCCGGCATGTGACAGTCCTGGGGGGGGGTTGGTGGTGGGGAGGAGAGGGCAGGGCAGGGCAGGGCAGGGCAGGGCATGGGACGGGAGGAGAAGGAAGGGTAGGAGATGGGAGGGGAGGGGTGGGAAATGGGTTACCACAGGCGGCCATGGCTGCTGTGTACACCTGCAGCCTCTCTGCTTCCAACCCTCGGATCTTGCGCGTGGCCTCAAACCCATCCATCTCCGGCATGTGACAGTCCTGGGGGGGGGGTGGTGGTGGGGAGGAGAGGGCAGGGCAGGGCAGGGCAGGGCAGGGCAGGGCAGGGCATGGGACGGGAGGAGAAGGAAGGGTAGGAGATGGGAGGGGAGGGGTGGGAAATGGGTTACCACAGGCGGCCATGGCTGCTGTGTACACCTGCAGCCTCTCTGCTTCCATCTCTCGGATCTTCCGCGTGGCTTCAAACCCATCCATCTCCGGCATGTGACAGTCCTGGTGGGGGAATATGGAGGGGAGGGATTGAGGGGAGGCCAGAGGAGGAAAGGGGAAGGGAGGGGAGGGGATGGGAGTGAAGACATGTGTACAAGATGGCCTGAGCAGGGGCAGGGAGGTAGCGGTATTGTGGCTCAGCATGAGGACAACTCGTGGCACGGCTTCTGTGACGCCTCAATTGGTGAGCATGAGCGGCAGCAGCATCAGCGGTAGTGCGGCTCATCACTAACAGCATTAGCAGCACTGCATCTCACCATGAGCACGACGTCATAGCAGCGCTCGGAGCATGCGCGCACGGCGAGCTTGCCATTCTCCACCACATCGTACTTGAGGCCCAGATTGTGCAGCATGCGTGTCGCTACCATCTGATTCACCTTGTTGTCCTGCCAGGTGAAGGGAGATCGATGGGGAAGGAGGGAAGAGGCGGGCGGTGGGATTTGGGGGGGTGGGAAAGGGAGTCGAGTGTTTTGAGACGTCTCAAGAGACGGGCAGTGGGATTTGGGTGGGGAAGGGAGTTGAGAAGAAGGGGTCTGAGGGTACAGTTTGTGCGGCATGCATGCTGCTATCATCCGATTCACCTCGTTGTTGGCCTTGCACATGCAAATGCGAGCACGAGGAGGGAGCGAGTTGATTTTTGAGTCGACTGATTTTTGAGTCGACTGATTTTTGAGTCGACTGATTTTTGAGTCGACTGATTTTTTAGTCGACTGATTTTTTAGTCGACTGATTTTTGAGTCGACTCAAAAATCAACTCGCTGTTGGCCTTGCACATGCGAATGCGAGCACGAGGAGGGAGCGGTGCTCGTTCAGACAGAGAAAGGGAAGCGCCTCTAACATCCACCCACCCAGTGCCTTCACCCCACCACTGCACCTTTGCTACCAGCACTGCCAGCACCTCTCATCACATAACTCCAATAAATGCCACTGTCAACCCCTATACCCACTCATCCCCCCCAAAAGCACCCTCAGCACCTGCCTTGAACCCCCACTCATCTGCCACCCCACCACCACTCCCCTCCGCCACCCTCACCCCTGCCCCATCTCACCTCAGCCACGAGCACTCTAAGGTCCTGCAGGTGCTTCTACAATGGCTCCACATCGCTTGTGAGTGACTGCTCTGCTGATGGTCCTACCAAAGCACCCCCACACGGTTACAGCCACTCTCCACTGCCCCCAGCACCCCCAGCACCCACTCACACAGCCTTCACTTGTCCTCACCTCAGCCACGAGCACTCTAAGGTCCTGCAGGTGCTTCCACAGCGGCTCCACGTCGCTCGTGAGGGACTGCTCTGCTGATGCCAATCCCCTCCCCTACACGGTTACACCCACTCCCCTCAGCCCGCCACCACCACCCCTTGCCCCCCCTCACCTCAGCAACGACCACTCTAAGGTCCTGCAGGTGCTTCCACAGCGGCTCCACATCGCTTGTGAGGGACTGCTCCGCTGATGCACTACCAACCCCTTTAACCCCGCACCTCCGCACCACCACCACCCCCACCCCAGCCCCCCACCCCCCCTCACCTCAGCAACGAGCACTCTAAGGTCCTGCAGGTGCTTCCACAGCGGTTCCACATCGCTCGTGAGCGACTGCTCTGATGATGCTGCTACTACAGCGACCTTCCTCTCACACGGTTACACCCACACACACAGCCTTCCCCACCCCTCACCTCGGCAACGAGCACTCTAAGGTCCTGCAGGTGCTTCCACAGCGGCTCCACGTCGCTCGTGAGGGACTGCTCTGCTGATGCCAATCCCCTCCCCTACACGGTTACACCCACTCCCCTCAGCCCGCCACCACCACCCCTTGCCCCCCCTCACCTCAGCAACGACCACTCTAAGGTCCTGCAGGTGCTTCCACAGCGGCTCCACATCGCTTGTGAGGGACTGCTCCGCTGATGCACTACCAACCCCTTTAACCCCGCACCTCCGCACCACCACCACCCCCACCCCAGCCCCCCACCCCCCCTCACCTCAGCAACGAGCACTCTAAGGTCCTGCAGGTGCTTCCACAGCGGTTCCACATCGCTCGTGAGCGACTGCTCTGATGATGCTGCTACTACAGCGACCTTCCTCTCACACGGTTACACCCACACACACAGCCTTCCCCACCCCTCACCTCGGCAACGAGCACTCTAAGGTCCTGCAGGTGCTTCCACAGCGGCTCCACGTCGCTCGTGAGGGACTGCTCTGCTGATGCCGTGGCTGACTGCGCGTCGCGCCTCACCACGCCCACCCGCACGTAGAAGAAAAAGGTCGACCCCACGCCCACCTGGGGAGATGCAGTGAGAGAGGCAGGGGGGGGGGGGGGGGGGGGGGGGGAGAAGGGTAGGGTGAGGCGACTCAGAGATGCTTCCCATGCTCACTCCCCTTGAAAAAGGATTCCCCTGGCTGATGAGTTGCACCCCTCCCCTCACCTGCTGTGTACGACGCTTGTGACCCTCCCCTCTACTCGAATCACCTGCCGTGGATGCTTGTGCCCCTCCCCTCTACTCGCCCCTCACCTGCCGTGCATGCTTGTGCCCCTCCCCTCTACTCGAATCACCTGCCGTGCATGCTTGTGCCCCTCCCCTCTACTCGCCCCTCACCTGCCGTGCATGCTTGTGCCCCTCCCCTCTACTCGCCCCTCACCTGCCGTGCATGCTTGCGACCCTCCCCTCTACTCGCCCCTCGCCTGGCTGTGCAGGCTGAGGGGTGCAGGCTGATATCCCCCCTCATCGCCCCTACCCTCTGCACAGGCTCTTGCACATGGCGAGACCCAGCCCGGTGGTTTGAACGGCCATGCGGGCTTGACTCAAACGCACAACCCAGGCAATCGTAACCCTCTACGCACGTGGCTGTGCAGGCTGATATCTCCCCCCATGAGGTTGCACAAGCTCTTGCAGATGGCCAACCCGAGCCCCGTGCCACCGTAGCGGCGGCTGGAGGAGGGAGTTGTCGGCCTGCGAGAACGCCTTGAACAGCCGCACTGCCGGCCATGCCCACGCCCGTATCCCTCACCCCACCTTGCAAGGCAAAATCAGTCAGTCTCGGCCCCAACCCACCTGCCTGTGCAAGCCCAAGCCCAAGCCCCATGCCCCATGTCCCACACTCCATGCCCCATGCGCCTTCCCTTACCTGGCTGTGTAGGCTGATATCCCCCTCCACCAGATTGCAGAGGCTCTTGCAGATGGCGAGGCCCAGTCCCGTGCCGCCATATCTACGGCTAATGGAGTTGTCTGCCTGCGAGAACGCCTTGAACAGCTGGCTCCACGCACTCTCGTCCATGCCCACGCCCGTGTCCCTCACCTCACCTTGCACGCCAAACTCAGTCAGTCTCGACCGCAACCCACCTGCCTGTGCAAGCCCATGCCCCATGCCCCTCCCCTCACCTGGCTGTGCAGGCTGATATCCCCTCCCATGAGGTTGCAGAGGCTCTTGCAAATCGCCAGTCCCAGTCCCGTGCCGCCGTATCTACGGCTAGTGGAGTTGTCTGCCTGCGAGAACGCCTTGAACAGCCGGCTGCGCGCACTCTCATCCATGCCCACGCCCGTGTCCCTCACCTCAAACCGCACCATCACACTCTCATCCCCCTCACTCTCACTCTCACTCTCGCTCTCCCCCTCACTCTCCCCCTCACTCTCTCCCTCACTCTCCCCCTCCTTCCCCTTGCTGCTGCCGCCCTTGCTCTGGTTCCCGCTCCTGCCGCCGCCGCCACTGCCGCCGCCAGCAGCGGCACCGGTGGTGGTGCTGTTGCTGCTGCTGTCTGCAGGAAGCTTCGGGGTAGCTGCCTGCTCGACCTCTTTAATCTCCTCGTCAGTGGCGAGGCGCAGGTCTACCGTGATTCCTCCACTGGAAGTGGGGAAGAGGGAAAGGGGACGGAGGGATTGGCAGGAAAAGGGGAGAGGGGAACAGAACAGAGGGGAAGGGGAGTCGGTGAGTCAAAGAAGAGGTTCGGAAGCACCTGTTTGCCTCTCTTCCCTAACCTATCGTGATCTTTTCCGTGTCTTCATAACCTAACCTTTGCAAACAACACTCACTTGTCGGTGAACTTGATGGAGTTGGAGATGAGGTTCAGCAGCACCTGTCTCAACCGCACTGGATCGCCCACCACCACGGACGGCACCTCTTCAGCGATCTCGAGCTCTAAATACAGCCCCTTGTCCTTCGCCACCACCTCCAATAGAGCAAGGGCTTCCGTCACCTGCAGCACAAGAGTGAACGAGAGAGATGATGAATACAGGGAGGTGGGCGGGAGACATGGGCCTTGGTTGATTCATCTCGAGCTCCAAATACAGCCCCTTGTCCTTGGCCACCACCTCTAGCAGCGCCAGTGCCTCTGTCACCTGCAGCAGGAGAGTGCCAAAGAGAGATGATGAATACAGGGAGACAGGGAGGTGGGAGACAGCACGACAGCCCACCCCATTTCCCACCCACACGCCCTCTTCCCCTCCCCTTTGCCCCTCCAACCACCCCACCTGCTGCTGGATGTTGAACTCGATGTGCTCTAGCGCGAGGTTCTTGGATTCGATCTTGGAAAGATCCAGCACATCGGATATGATTCTCAAGAGATTGTCCCCCGACGAGCGGATGATCTCCAGGTACGAGCGCTGCTCCGCTGTGAGGTCCGTTCCTAGAAGCAGCTCTGCTACGCCGATAACACCTGTCGTCATAAGAGGGACACGAGGAGCAGAGCAGCAGGAGAGGAGGGATGATTTCGAGGTACGGCCGCTGCTCCGCTGTCAGGTCCGTGCCCTCCAGTAGCAGCTCCGCCACTCCGATCACACCTGGGGGGGAATGAATGAATGAATGAATGAACGAGAGAAAAGAACGGGGGAGATGCAAGAGAGGAACAAGGGGATGGGAAGAGAGGGATGAGCCTGAGGCATGCTATGAGCTCCTGGGAACGTTCCAAGTAGAGGTCTCAATTCTTGAATGCAACATAACACTCACCATTCATGGGGGTGCGGATCTCGTGGCTCATGTTGGCGAGGAACTGGCTCTTGGCCTGGCTGGCCTTCTCAGCGGCGTCCTTGGCGGCTCTGAGCTCCTCGGCCTGCTGCTTGATCTCCAGACCGAGTCACTCGCAGCACATTGGAGAGTGCCTGTTTCGTTCCCACACACATCATACTTCTACTTCTCGCCGCTGAACACATTACTCATTCGACGGACTGACGGACGGCGCTCACTCACCATTCATAGGCGTACGAATCTCATGGCTCATATTTGCCAAAAACTGGCTCTTGGCCTGGCTGGCCTTCTCAGCGGCGTCCTTGGCAACCCTCAGCTCCTCCGCCTGCTGCTTGATCTCCCACGCCCATCACCCTTCACTGCATTGCACCGCACACAACCACTACTAACCATTCATAGGAGTGCGAATCTCATGGCTCATGTTGGCGAGGAACTGGCTCTTGGCCTGGCTGGCCTTCTCAGCTGCGTCCTTGGCGGCCCTCAGCTCCTCCGCCTGCTGCTTGATCTCCGCCACCTCGTGCCACACCACCAGGTACATGGGGTGCTGCTGCTGCACCTCCAGGAAGGTCAGAGTGACTTCGATGGGCACTAGAGAGCCGTCGAAACGCTGATAGACCCACTCGAACCTGGGGAGAAATGGGGGAAAGAAGAGGAGGAAAAGTCAAGACACCACCAGGTACATGGGGTGCTGCTGCTGCACCTCCAGGAAGGTCAGAGTCACTTCTATGGGGACCAGCGACCCGTCAAAGCGTTGGTACACCCACTCGAACCTGAGGGAGGAGAGGGAAGGGAGGGGGCGCGTCAAGACACCACCAGGTACATGGGGTGCTGCTGCTGCACCTCCAGGAAGGTCAGGGTCACTTCTATGGGGACTAGAGAGCCATCAAACCGCTGATACACCTCGAACCTGGGAAAGGAGGGGAGGGGATGGGGAGGGATGGACAGGATGGGAAGGATGGGAGGGATAATGAGGGATGAATGGGAGGAGAAGGGGGAGAATTTAGGTGGCTCTGAGCTCATCTGCCTGCTGCCTCCCCTTGTACCATCTTTCTGTAATACTTTTGCGCAAATCTCTGCCTCCTCCTTGCCTGCAGGGCGGCTTACAAGTTCAAAGGACCTGCAGCTCTAGTAAAATTTTCCCTCTCAGAAGACAAAAAAAACAAAGCTTGACTTAGAGTCGGAGTTGCAGTTCCTTGCCTCTATTAAGAGAGAGAACTGCAGTTCCTTGTCTTTTTTTTAAGAAACAAGGAAGTGCAACTTCGACTCATAGTTAAGCTGCGCTTTCTTGTCCTTTGAGAGAGGGAAAATTCATTAAAGCTGCAAATCCCTTGAACTTGTAAGCCGCCCAACAGGCAAGGAGGAGGCAGTCATGTAGCGTGCTGGACGACCCAACAGAAAGACAGATGGGCAAGGGTGGGCTGAACACCAAATTAGCACGCCTTACATAATCCCCCCATCCCCCTCCCGGTAGATCACTTGTGCATGCCGTGCTGTTCCGCCCTCCGGTCCATGGCCTTGGCCTTCTCCTTGGACAGCTGCCCGTCCGGATGCTTAAGCGGCGAGAAGAGTGCGGGGTGGTGACCCCACCACCACATGCAATCAATTCCTTTCTCCTTACACTCACTTGTGCATGCCCTGTTGCTCTGCTCTCCTGTCCATGGCCTTTGCCTTCTCCTTGGACAGCTGCCCGTCCGGCTGCTTCAGCGGCGAGAAGAGCGCCGGGTGGTGGCCCAGCAGGCTGGCCTTGTCGGGGCAGCGCAGGCAGCGCACCGCCGCCTCATTGCATTCAGTTATGCCCGTCTCGTCAAACACCAGGTAGCCGTCCTGAGACGAACAGGAATCGGGAAAGGAGGGATGGGAGGAGAGCAGGGCAGCGGACGGGGTGGGGGGGTTGTGGGGGAAAGAAGGGGGTTCGGAAAGAGGAAGGAGAGGGGAGAGGGGAGGGGAGGGAATGCAAGGCTGAGAGGTGAGTAGAGAGCGGGGTGGTGGCCCAGCAGGCTGGCCTTGTCGGGGCAGCGCAGGCAGCGCACCGCTGCTTCGTTGCACTCCGTTATGCCCGTTTCATCAAACACCAGATAGCCGTCCGGATGCGAGTGGGGAGGGGGAGAGGGGGGAGAGAGAGGGGGCAGGGGGTGGTGGTGATGGTGATGGAAGGCAGGGGAGAGGTGGGGGATGGGGGTTATGGGAGAGGGGAGGGGAGGGAGTGCATGGTTGGGGGAGCGCGGGGTGGTGGCCCAGCAGACTCGCCTTGTCGGGGCAGCGCAGGCACCGCACTGCTGCTTCGTTGCACTCTGTGATCCCTGTTTCGTCAAACACCAGGTAGCCGTCCTGAGGGGGTAGAGGAGGCGGGTTGTGGACGGCGGAAGGAGAGGAGCAGGGGTCGGTGACGCACCGATGAGAAGTCAAAGAGCAGGCGAACTTTTCCTGCACGATCACACACACATGCGCACACCCAAACACGCCCACACACGCCCTCACACGCCCACACACACCCACACACGACCACACCTCCCCCCCACACCCACGCACCGAGGAGAAGTCAAAGAGCAGGCGGAACTTCTCCTGCACGATCACACACACACGCATGCCCGCCCACACTCACTCACACACCTACGCCCACTCACACCCCCACAGCCACAAGGGCAGGCAGGCACCCACTGCCACGCACCGAGGAGAAGTCAAAGAGCAGGCGGAACTTCTCCTGCACGATCAGCCGGTCCGTGATGTCACTCACCACCCACAGCTCCCCGCCCCCTCCCCCCTCCCCTGCTCCCCCTGCTGCCCCCCCTGCTGCTCCGCCTGTTATATCAATGGAAGGGGAGAGATTGCTGCAGTCGCGCCCCACCACCTCCACCCACCGCTGCTCGCCGTCGCTCCGCACCACGCGCATGGTGCGCGGATGGGGGAACCCCGCCTTTCTGTCCGCATCCATTACCTTGCGGACCTGGGAGGAGCAAGGGACAAGTAGATGGAGAGGCAGAGCGGTTTGCAGAATATTGGAATTAGAATGTCAGCTTTCACCCACCGCTGCTCCCCGACGCTCCTCACCATGCGCAGCGCATGGTGCATGGGTAGGGATGAGGCGACTTTGAGTCGACTCAGCAAGCCCACCTCGGCCTCTCTCTCCCATACCAAATCATCACTCCCCCAAGCCAAATATTCACCTCACCTCACCGACTCACCCCACCCTGTTCCCCACCTCACCCTGCCTCCCTCCCCCGGAACAGCAGCTCGATTCAACCAACCAGCCCACCTCGGCCTCTCGCTCAAGGAAGAGCAGCAAGAACCAGTCATCCACAACCCCCAGCTGCGGATGAAATGACTTTTTAGTCGACTCAACAAACCCACCTCGGCCTCTCTCTCCTCACCTCCGCCTCTCTCCTCACCTCGGCCTCTCGCTCTCTGAAAAGCAGTGAGAACCAGTCGTCCACACTCCCCAGCTGCTCGCGAGAGTACCCCACTATCGCCTCCACATGCGCATTCACCAGCATCTCCCCGCCCCTCCCCCCCGCTCCCCCTGCTCCGCCTGCTCCCCCCTGCTGTGGCAACACGTGCACCACCCCTGCTGGCAGATGCTCTAGAATAAACCGGTGCCGGTCCGAGGAGGGCGGCTGATGGGGAGAGAACCATGGGGAGGGGAAGTGGGGAAGGAAGGAACAGGGGGAAGAAGGAATTGACCACCGTGGGTTGACCATGGCGCACCAACGGTGACAGATCAATGAGAACGCAGGGCAAACCAACGGTGACAGATCAATGACAACGCATGGCGCACCAACGGTGACAGATCAATGACAACGCATGGCGCACCAACGGTGACAGATCAATGACAACGCATGGCGCACCAACGGTGACAGATCAATGACAACGCATGGCGCACCAACGGTGACAGATCAATGACAACGCATGGTGCACAAACGGTGACAGATCAATGACAACGCATGGCGCACAAACGGTGACAGATCAATGACAACGCATGGCGCACCAACGGTGACAGATCAATGACAACGCATGGCGCACCAACGGTGACAGATCAATGACAACGCATGGCGCACCAACGGTGACAGATCAATGACAACGCATGGCGCACCAACGGTGACAGATCAATGACAACGCATGGCGCACCAACGGTGACAGATCAATGACAACGCATGGCGCACAAACGGTGACAGATCAATGACAACGCATGGCGCACCAACGGTGACAGATCAATGACAACGCATGGCGCACCAACGGTGACAGATCAATGACAACGCATGGCGCACCAACGGTGACAGATCAATGACAACGCATGGCGCACCAACGGTGACAGATCAATGACAACGCATGGCGCACCAACGGTGACAGATCAATGACAACGCATGGCGCACCAACGGTGACAGATCAATGACAACGCATGGCGCACCAACGGTGACAGATCAATGACAACGCATGGCGCACCAACGGTGACAGATCAATGACAACGCATGGCGCACCAACGGTGACAGATCAATGACAACGCATGGCGCACCAACGGTGACAGATCAATGACAACGCATGGCGCACCAACGGTGACAGATCAATGACAACGCATGGCGCACAAACGGTGACAGATCAATGACAACGCATGGCGCACCAACGGTGACAGATCAATGACAACGCATGGCGCACCAACGGTGACAGATCAATGACAACGCATGGCGCACAAACGGTGACAGATCAATGACAACGCATGGCGCACAAACGGTGACAGATCAATGACAACGCATGGCGCACCAACGGTGACAGATCAATGACAACGCATGGCGCACCAACGGTGACAGATCAATGACAACGCATGGCGCACCAACGGTGACAGATCAATGACAACGCATGGCGCACCAACGGTGACAGATCAATGACAACGCATGGCGCACCAACGGTGACAGATCAATGACAACGCATGGCGCACCAACGGTGACAGATCAATGACAACGCATGGCGCACCAACGGTGACAGATCAATGACAACGCATGGCGCACCAACGGTGACAGATCAATGACAACGCATGGCGCACCAACGGTGACAGATCAATGACAACGCATGGCGCACCAACGGTGACAGATCAATGACAACGCATGGCGCACCAACGGTGACAGATCAATGACAACGCATGGCGCACCAACGGTGACAGATCAATGACAACGCATGGCGCACCAACGGTGACAGATCAATGACAACGCATGGCGCACCAACGGTGACAGATCAATGACAACGCATGGCGCACCAACGGCGAATCCACGGGCAGATTACGCTACGCACCTTGGCAGAGGTACCAGCTGGCAGGTCACAAATCACAGCCATAATCATGGACACATGGCCCTCAGTACCAGCACCAACACCAGCACCAGCACCAGCACCACCCGCTCCCCCTGGCCCTCCCCCTCCACCAGTGGAAGCAGGAGGGGCGGCATCGACTGTGATCCGCACAGGACGCAGCTTGCCCCCCGGCAGCACCAGCCGCAGGTCGTGCTGGCGCTGCCGCTGCCACGCTGGCGCTGACATGGACGCGCCACGTAGGACGGCGTCAGAGACTGTCGAGAACCACGCCTGGAAGGTTGCCACGTCATCCCGCGCAATAAAATCTTCCAGCACGCGCCCCTCCACGGCGCGGGCCGGGCGGCCCAGCATGGCTGCTAGGGCGGCACTGCAGTGCGCCAGCTCAGCACTGCTCACTCGCAGTGCTGCCAACGCTACACAGGCAGAGTCAAGAAGTGATCTGGGGTGTGTAAGGGTGGGGTGGGGTGGAGTGGGGTGGGGTGGGGTGGGGTGGGGTGAGTGGGGGCGTGGACAGAGGCACAGCTCGAATAAAATCTTCCAGCACGCGCCCCTCCACCGCCCGGGCCGGGCGGCCCAGCATGGCTGCCAGGCTGGCACTGCAGTGCGCCAGCTCAGCGCTGCTCACTCGCAGTGCTGCCAGGGAGACAGAGGCAGAGTCGAGGAGGGATCTGGTGGGTGGGGTGGGGTGGAATAGGGAGAGGTGGGATGGGGTGGGGTGGGATGGGATGGGCATGAAGAGAGGCACAGCTTGAAGTGACTACTAAGGAACTCCAAGAGTTGAAGGCTATGGCTCTTAGGGCGGCCCAGCATGGCTGCCAGGCTGGCACAGCAGTGCGCCAGCTCAGCGCTGCTCACTCGCAGCGCTGCCAGGGAGACAGAGGCAGAATCGAGGAGCGATCTGATGGGATGAGGAGGGGTGCGGTGGGGTGGAGTGGGATTAGGTGGGTTGGGGTGGCATGAGGAGAAGCAGAGCTTGAAGTGACAACTGATGAGCCCCAGGAATTTTAAGCAGGCCTATCAGGACAGCCCAGCATGGCTGCCAGGGCGGCACTGCAGTGCGCCAGCTCAGCGCTGCTCACTCGCAGCGCTGCCAGGGAGACAGAGGCAGAGTCGAGGAGCGACCTGATGGGGTGGGGTGCGGTGGGGTGGGGTGGGATGGGGTGGTGCGGGATTGGCGGGGTGGAGTTGCGATGAAGAGAGGCACAGCTTGAACATCAAGAGTTGACTGACTGCCGTGGCTGCCAGGGCGGCACTGCAGTGCGCCAGCTCTGCGCTGCTCACTCGCAGCACTGAATCTGGTTCTTGAGAATTCTAAAAAAACATATTGTGCTGCCCAGCGCAGGAGACAGAGGCACGGCACAGTCGAGGAGCGGCCTGATGGGGGTGGGTTGCGGTGGGGTGGTGTGGGGAGAGGTGGCGTGGTTTGGGGTCGGGCAGTGTGGGGTGGGTTGGGGTGGGGTGGAGTGGGGTGGAGTGGGCATGAATTGGGGAAGAGCATGTGAATTGACGACTGGGAGAGCACACAGTGGGGGGAGTATACGGAGAAGTATGAATTGAAAACGCCAACCTGAGAGGGGGGTCTGGCAGCCTGTTCATACCAATAGCACCCTGCACCCACCCAGTACTGCTGGGAGAGGAGAGATGGCAGTTCGAGTGAACTCACTCATAAGAGGGGGAACATGCAGGCGAGCCTACCTGAGAGGGGGCTCCGGCAGCCAATGAATGTCGATAGCATCCTGCACCCAGTGCTGGGGGAAATGGCCCTCTGGGGGGGGGGAGGAGAGGTACAGTGGCAGAGGAGAGCAGGGGAGGACGAAAGAGGAAGAAAATGAGTCGTGTTTTGAGTCGACTCACAACAGTGGATGTCGATAGCATCCTGCACCCAGTGCTGGGGGAAATGGCCCTCTGGGGGTGGGAGAGGTGTAGTGCCAGGGAGGGTGGGGGAGGAGCAATAAGGGAGAATGGAAGGAGTTTTGAGGCGCCTCAAAAGGCAGCCAGTGGATTTCGATAGCATCCTGCACCCAGTGCTGGGGGAAATGGCCCTCTGGGGGGGGGGAGGAGAGGTACAGTGGCAGAGGAGGGCGGGGGAGGAGGAATTGGGGGAGGAAAAGGGGGGTTGGGGATGAAAGGAGGGGCAGGAATGAGAGAGTGGAGGGAGAGAGGTTTGCCAGTGAGGCTTTGTATATGCCAGGTTTTTGAGTCGACTCAAAAGCCGAGTGTAATGAGTCTGCTATTGAGTCGACTCAAAGGCTTTGTATATGCTAGGCTTGTCAATGTTTTGCTACCCCCCTTCCTCACCCGCATACTTCCTCCCCTTATGTGCAAGCCCGTTTCTCCTACTTGACCAAATCAAGGAGGAGAAATGGGTCCCCTAATCCGTGTTCCCCGATCCCCTGCATTTCCCCCGTCAGCATTTCCCCCATCAGCATTCCCCCCGTCTGTGTTCTCCCCATCTGCGTTCCCCCTCCCCCTGCGTTCCCGCCATCTCCTGCGTTCCCCCTGTCAGCATAAGATTTCCCCTGCGTTCCCCCAGTCTCCTGCGTTCCCCTTATCTGCGTTCCCCATGTCCCCTGCGCTTCCCCCGTCTCCCGCGTTCCCCCTTTCCCCTGCTCACCTGAACCAAACCGCGATTTGCGGTCCTTCTTCCCCACCCGCCCCAGCGTGTCACATCTACCCGCGGAGCCCTGCATCCGCGCATCTTCCCCTCCTCCCGCGCCTCCCCCTCCCCTCCCCGCGCCCATTCCCCTCCCAGCCCCACTCCCCATCCCCAACCAGCCAATATCCCCTTCTTCTACGCTCATCATTCTTCCCCCCGGCCCTCCGCCCCTGGCTTTCCGCCCTCGCCCCATCTCCTCTCCGCGGAGCGTTCCCCCCACCGTTCCGCCAATCGCCCCCGCGCCCGCGCTCCTCCCAAACGCGTCGCCTTTCGCGAGAAGCATATTCTTACTATCCATGGAGCTAACGTCCATGCTCTGCCACCTATTGAGCCGCGACTCGGGTCGCCGCGGCTCGGGAGACCTAGACGGCGACCGCTGATGCATCGGCGACCGGTTAGGCGGGCTAGCCGTGTCCTGCTGACGGCTAGCCGGCTGCGAGAAAACGGCAGTCTGGGACCGGTTGAATGGGTCTGACGGCATGGGCGTGTGAACCTTTCCCCCGATGCTTAACCCGCGGCGGAGCGGCTTGGGCTGAGGGGAGGCTGAAGCGGGGGAATCAGTAGCTTCATGAGCTGCGGAACCGTGAGCGCCGTAAAACGCGCCGTGAATCGCGCTTGCTAGCGGACTGTCGAACCCGCCTTTTCCTGCAACGCCTCCTCTCGCTTCTGCTGTCGACATCCCCCCATTTTCCGCCAAGCCCGCGCCCTCCTCGCCAGGCGCCGCTGGCGACTCAGCCGGCGGCGGCGGCGGCGGCGGCTGCGGAGGTATTTGCGGCTGCTCATGCGCTGTGGCGACGAGCTCCCTCTCCCCGCCGATGCCGAAGAATTGCAGATCGATGGATACCGCAATGCTCGATGCGCCTTGCCCCTGCGCGTGCCCCTGCGCCCCTCCCGCTGCCCAGTCCCGTCCCCCGGCCCTCCCTCTGCCGCTCCTGCGCCTGTCTGAGCCGTCATCCGCGGAAGCAAGGTCTGACTCCTCTCCCTCCTCCTCCTCGTTATCCTCCCCCTCCTCCGCCTCCTCCTCGTCGTCCTCTAACAACTCGCCAGCGCCCGCATCGCCAACATCCGAAACTGAAGAGACGGTTCGGATTGACCGAACGTCCTCTGACGTGCTAGATACTATCCCCGATATAGACCCCGAGCCGACTCCGGCTCGAGATAAGCTACCTTCGCCCCAGGTTCCCCGCCTGAGGAGGTTCGCCGCAGCCCATTCCGAGCCTCCGCTGCTGCTTCGGCTAACGTTTCCATGCCGAACCTGTGCGTTTGGAACCCTCGGTCCGGGACGGCCGTGAATCGCGACGTTATTCGCGGCCCCCGTAATCTCCCCGACTTCCCCATCCGTCTCTGACTCTTCGTCTCCCGCTCCGCCGGCCTTCGCTGGCAGAACTACCGAGAATCGCGCGGCCTTTTCTTCCCCCGTAGCCAAAGGCGCGACCAGCTGGAGCCAGTCAGCCAATGGGAGGCCGTCTACAAGATTGCAAAGCGATAAGGCTTCCAGCTCAGCATTGTTGTATCCAAGGGCTCTCCGCGCGCCTTCGCTGGCGCAGCAGATCCTGGCCGTCCACGGGTCGAGAACGAACTGGAGGAACTGAGCCTGCTGTACAAACCCTAAAACGGCCTGGCTCCGTCCACCGCCGCCAAACGTCCCTTGGGGATTGCTACCACCTGAAACTCCGCTCCTCCTTCGCCTCCTGCTGTTGGAAACGTGTCCGGGTCTCCCGTTTCTGGAGAACCCGGAGCTCTGATAGGCTACTGACACCGTCATTGCTGGTTACCGCTATTGGATAGAATTAACAGTCATTGATGCATAAATAGTGAAGGGATTATTACAAACGCTAAGATCCAAACGCTTCGCATGCTGCTCTCCAGTGAATTGACAATGAGTTAGCGGCCATTCTCTGGTTGACGCTTGGTTAGTTGACAGAGCTTGATGGTGATACTAGACTTTATGACGTGACGCCTGCGATCGATGAAACTGTAACTAAACAGTTAGTCGTTGCTACGATTTAGGTCAACTTCTGCCAAGTACGTTCTATAAACAGTGACCCCTCCTGTCCGTGCCTATCCTACTCTTCTGACAGAACTGCTACGACAAATCCACCACCATAGCCGCAAGTCCTTGGCTCATTCTGAGCATACAACAATTCCATCACACAGGCAAAAGCAGCGAGGGGTTGGTCGTGGAAGGTGGAACAATTGGGTAAATCACCTTCTTGCGCTCTTTGTTTTATGTCTACTAAATGATTGCGGATCATAATTACAAGGTATTTACGAAGTAGGTGAGAGCGGCTTCTGTTCTAACATCTGTACTGAAAATGGATCAGATTGTTCCACGCTTAGCACCTCTTCTGACTGAAAACACTACTGTCTAAACTCCTCCGATCGCTTTCGTTCAGTAGCCACAGGTACACAAACCCAGAGTTTACCGCGCTTCGTTCGGAAGAAGACCCGCCTGCTCACACAGCGCCAACTGCCCCCACCAACCCTGTGCGGCTTGTTGAACAAAGTGTCATGCTGTTGGGGAGCAGCCGAGACTTTGGGGAAATTATACGGGAAGTCACAATTTTCCCCGTTTTATCACGTTTGGTCACAGGGGTATCACAAACAGTCACAGTACAGTAGATTTCTATCGCGGGTGATCACAGTGCTATCACGGATGGTCACACCTTGCCCCGAAAAGCTATCACGTTTGGTCACCCGATGTAACGAGTATAACTTACTTGAAACCACAAAAGAAACTGTAGAGATTTGGGGGAATCCCAATCTCGATTGCTGGTTACCCTCGCGCATGATTCTAGTCTGACATTTAGGGGACTGAAGAAAAAACTAAACCCCAAAGGATGGCACACCCTTCGGGAGGCATCAACCCTAAACACCTTGCGACAAGGTATTTAGGGTTGATGCCTCCAGAAGGAAATCCCATCCGAACGGGTTTCCTTCTTGGGAAGGAAAATAACCTTCAAGTTTCACCCGCCTAAAAGTAATATTCTTAGGGTCATTATGCACAAATCGAACAGTGGACAATCCAACCGTGAACAATGCGCAACGAGCTAGTTTTCCGATGTTACCAATGGTTTTTGCGAGCTGACGAGAGTGGTCGCGAAAATATTTCGTAACTAGCAGCGTCTCGCAACACTACGGACAAAACAGCGCGCGCGATATAAATTTCCCCTGTCTCCCAACAGTTACTTTAGTAGTTACATTAATTAATTGGGCATTTCATCTGTGACCAAACGTGATAGACTTGTGGGGCAAGCTGTGACTATCCGTGATAGCACTGTGATCACACGTGATAGTTACGAAGTGTACTGTGACTGTTCGTGATACCCCCGTGACCAATAGTGATAAATCGGGCCTAATTGTGACTAACTATATAATTTCCCGAGACTTTGGCCCCTTTTGGCCCCAAAATTACACTATCATCCATGATTGGCTGAAGCGCAATCGTTGCGGTTTGGTTGGCTGGATTGCTAGTCCGATACAGTAGACGACACCAACACCAAGAACTGATCCCAATGCTCGCGTCGCCGTACCACATTGCAGTGATGAGCTTGACGGACGTCAGCATTCTTCAAACAGAACCAGACCAAAGGAACGACTTCGCGTTCGATAATACAAGGCTCGCTAAGATACGACTCCACATTCATTATGAGACGAAACAAACATTACAGGCTTCTGCTTCATGCCATGCGGATGACTCGGAGTACAGTGACAACAAAACTGTTTTAGCCATGAGCTGTTCTTCCATCCCACCTCCAGAACTGGGCAGTGTAACATTCAGAGTTTTGTGTTGACTATTGAGTCGACTCGAAATTGAACTGGGGAGTGTACCATTCAGAGTTTCGTTCGCCACCCACCATTAGGGACATGTACACTCGATCATCAACAGAACGTCACTTTGCATGAGAGTGCTTCTGAGCATGGGCCTTTTTCACCGGCCATGGCCAAGGAATGAGAATGGAGGTCGACTCGCGATACGCTCGATATGCTGCATCTTTCCCCCACCGCTGTTGTGACGCCTTGTCCAATAGAGGGATCTGAAACCGAGTTGGAGCAGGCAATTCAAAGAAACGAGAAAATAGGCTGCTAAGGAAGATGCTGTTTAAACGGGAAGCGAAAGGGGGGGAGGGGAGCTTGTGAATGCAGGAGAAAAAGCCTTACAGCATGAATCATGTGTCCAACTGCAGAAAAGAATGCCACACATACTACTGAGAGGGGACAGCACAACACGCTGAGGTGAAGAGATAAATGACATTTGTGTTAATAGCCTAAGGGCAGAAAACCTACCCCACTCATCCGCACAAGTGCATAGAATGTAAAGAGAGGGCTGGCAAGACCTGTGACGACACGGGGTTGTGGCAGCAAATAAGTCAGGACAAGAGGGGTTCTTAGTTATAAATGGCTGTGAAACGTGGCGCCATCTTATCAGACAGAACATGGAATCATCCCCCACAGCTGGTCCCATGCACATGGCTTTAAAGGTTTATATTTTTAGGAACCACCAGAGCAGGCTCCATGCATTACTAGGTGAGGCAGGTCTTGGCTGAGACTGACATGACGCGGCGGAAATGTAGAAATACAAGAAAAAAGTGATTCAAAAGAACAAAGGCAGCGACAGAATGACAGTTCATGAATAGAGCAGAAACAGGACGGAGGAATAGAGGCTCACATATGAGGCGATATGCAGGCGAGAGGCCAGAGAAGGTCAACAGGTAGAGGCCGAACCATAGGCAAATAATTAGGCGCATATGGGTCAGCTGAAAAAGAAAAGGCTCACATATGAGGCGGTATGTGGGCGAGAGGCCAGAGAAGGTGAGCAGGTAGAGGCCAAACCAGAGGAGGATTTCTCCAAAGTAGTTTGGGTGCTGGCTCCAACTGGGAAACAGGCAGACAGACAATGGAGGAACATAGAGGAAAATTAAGCAGCAGAATAAGAGGATAAGAAGAAGGAACGGAAGGTGGGAGCATACGCACACAGTGCTGCTGGTCCTGCATCCCTGCTTAGCCAAAATCACCTACAGACATCCTAAACCCAAAGCTCTGTGCTACCCTGACCTGACATATCATTATTGCTCAGTAGGACAAAACACACGCTGATTTTGTGAATGAAAGGCATTCCAAAAGGCACGTGAACACGGTACCTCCATAGACCAGTGGATATCCACTTGCCCTCGCTCTCTTGCCTCAGGCTGACTCCTGAGTCCGCTCAAAAGTCACTCGCAGGGATTTCAGGGAGTGCAAAACATGCTAAAAGCACATGCGAACACGGTACCTCCATAGGCCAGAGGATATCCACCTGCCCTCGTTCTCCTGTCTCAAGCTGAAGCTGCAGTGGAAGAGCACGGGGGAAGGAACACACGGAGATCAAGAGGGAAAGAGACAGGTAGGCAGGAGGGAAGGGAGCGAGGGGGGATGAGAAAGAACGAGGGGAAGAGAGAGCGAGATACACTGAGAGGGAAGGCGAAGCAAGAGGGCAGTGAGAAGCAAGCGAGGGAAGAGGACGAATCAGTGTATTACACCTGGAATAATCTCCACACAAAGCAACATGGCCATGCAGAACCTTCGTTAACCATCTCCATACACTCCCTGCTTTCACTTCACCTGTAATCGGTCCAGTAGTGTTCACCCTATTCGTGTTGATAATTAGCTGTGATGACTTCTGAGGTGCCTCAAAACTCGTCTGAGACGAGCCGATTGCTGTACCATTGGTACCTTGACCTACTTCACCTACAGTCGCTTCACCTACAGTCGCTTCACCTACAGTAACTTTTGATGGTCGGATATGGTCTCAATGAGGAAGCCAGTGAGCCATATAGCCATTCCTGCAGCAGTCAATAACGGGTATGTGCCATGCATGAGGACAAAAACGGGTTATTTCACAACATGGCAAGCGACGCTTGTAGCAAGAAGCGCCGCTACTGAAGTGACATCCTTGTAGCAGAAATTACAGCCCCTTACATAAAACGTTTGCAGCAGAAAAAACAGCTCCTTACCTGCCACGTCTGTAGCAGAGAGCACAGGCTGCACAGCACCTTACCTGCCACGTCTGCAGTGGAGTGCACAGCACCTCACCTGCCACGGCTGTAGCAGAGAGCACAACTGCTCACCTGCCACGTCTGTAGCGGAGAGCCATTGCGGTTGGGGATGGTAGGCATTGAGCATGAGCAGCGGCAGCGAGACGAGCAGCACCCACATGCCCTGGAGAGGGGTGGCAAGGCAATGGCATGAGGTGGACGGACAGGGCAACCTGATTGACTGCCTGCTGAAAACACAGGTAGGCGAGAGACAACCGGGGGAGAAGCATGGGTGGTTCTCGCGGGTGAAATTCACTATGAGCAATGCAGCGGGAGAAAGAATTGACGAGGCAGAGGGACGGTGAGAAGGCAGATGCCTTATTGTCAATTGTCTCTCTGCCTCCTCGCCTTTTTGCGAGAGAGGATGAGGAGGGGGCGAGACAAGTGGATGGGCATGCGTGTAATTTTTAGGCATCGCCTTTTTTAGGCATTTTTTAGGCGATGCGGAAAGATAGACTGTCTGCCGAATCGCCTCCCAGCGAGCGAGGATGAGGAGGGGATGGGTGGGATGAACGGATGGGCCTGCGTTATTTCAGTCCCCACCTGCACGGTCCAGAACACCATGAGGTAGAAGGGCTGGTCCCCTGTCAGCAAGCATACATGTCCCAGAACAGAAGACACCTGCATCTGCGCGCATTGCACTGCACCACTCCCCACCCCACCTGCACGGTCCAGAACATCATGAGGTAGACAGGCTGGTCCCTCATGGCCCGCAAGCACATGCAGCCCAGTACCCACCTGCACCAGTACCCACCTGCACCAGTACCCACCTGCACCATTCCACAGTCCACTCCCCACCCCACCTGCACGGTCCAGAACATCATGAGGTACACGGGCTGGTCCCCTGTCACCTGCATCTGCATGCACCGCACTGCACCACTTCCCACCCCACCTGCACGGTCCAGAACATCATGAGGTACACGGGCTGGTCCCCTGTCACCTGCATCTGCATGCACCGCACTGCACCTCGCCCCACCCCACCTGCACGGTCCAGAACATCATGAGGTACACGGGCTGGTCCCTCACGCCATCAAACCGAGAGTCCTTCCCCCTCTGCCACGGGACCATGGGGACGCGGGAAGTGCGAGCGCAGCGCAGGGCAGGAGAAGTAAAGAAACAGGCAAAGAGTGTCCGATGGAACAGCGGACGGACGAAGAATGCGAGTGGATGCGCAGAAGGTGCACGGGACGACAATTGAGTTGAGTGATTCACAACCCACAAACCCTATTGAGTCGACTTTGGGGGCGCAGACAAGCTGGAGAGGAAAAGCAGAGAGGCGGAGGGAACGGCAGAGCCAGAGGCAAGGAAAAGGGGGAGGCAGAGGCGGAGGTGGAGAGGGGAGGCAGCGCGGTGGTGCATGGTGCAGATGGGTCTTTTGAGGCGCCTAAAAAATGGTGCAGAGGGGGGGAGGGGGGGAATCACCCGTAGAATGCGGGTGAAGAGGAATGTTCCAAGGCGAACGGCCCAAATAGAGACGAGAGATTATGCCACCACCTGATCATGAAGGGGGGGTCATGGTGCGAACCGAATGTGCTTGCAACGAGCGTCACGAGACGTTTGAAATCTGGCTGTAATGCATCATCACTAACGGAATGACTGCATTGTGACTATAACGAGGCGACCATGAGCGGACGAAGGAATCTCATCGTGTGCTTGAAGCGGATGACGAGGGTGCAAAAACGAAGGGTATGTGGATGTAAAGCCGAGGGCTTGGATGTAAAGCTGAGGGTGGCCTCTGAATCCATTCCATAATCAACAGAGAGCGCCTCAGAGAGATTTATGATTGATAAAGAGATTTCCGAAGCGCCTCAAAGGACCTCTCTGCCTTCGAATAAGAGTTGAAAGGTTATGCACGAGGAAGCGATTTGAGAGATCCATGAAACACGGCGGAGCCTAGAAGATCGGAAAATGGAGAGGCAAATTGGCATCAGGAAACAAGCATTCGTGTCCCCTGTGCAGCGAGAACCCTATACTGGAATCAGTTTTGAGAATTCTTTTAAATATGGGAACGGGATTACTTGTCTCTGGTGCAGCGAGCCTCCTATAGCGAGAGAGAGGAAGGCGCCGAGAAGGAACGTGCAGGATCCGGTTAAATCGAAGAAAAGCTCCGTTTGAATGGATTTCACGGGAATACGAAAAATAGGGGAAGGGTTTGGTTAGCTGGAACGCCGCTGAAACGAACAACAATTTGAGGAAAGGTTTTGATGGTCTGGTGCGGCGAGATGACGAGGAAATTTAAATCTGCGGAGGTAATTAGACCTGGTACACTGCGGAGAAGAGGCACGCAGTCCACTGAATTGCGAAATCTAGGAGAACAAACCAGAAAACGACTGCTGAGGGACTGCTGTTTCCGTGCGCCATGGCTGCTAGTGAGAAACTATGGAAGGCAACGGACTAGCCTGATGAAACGGAAACTAAATGCCAAATGCCCCAGCCAATATACGCGATATCACCCACTCAAAGGATTCGGATTGAATTAGTGTCGTGTTCTGTATTTACAAAATTCTTGTCACCAACACAAATACAATTCTTCTGATCCGCGTGGAAAAACGAAATCCCGCGTAATCAGATGCAATTGCACCTAGAGTTCCGCGGCCAGCAGTTTTTTGGTTCGGGCGTGGACCAGAACAAGTGTTCGCAGAGTTCCTACGGGCCCTGGTGGGCGCATTTCCACCAGGTGCCCGAGTTTCCACCAGGACGCGGAGCTGGCGGAGGCTTTCTGCCCGGGGCAAAAAAAACTAAACCCCATCGCGACCCGCATGCCGTTCGGGAGCCTCAACCCTAAAATCTTAGGGTTGAGGCTCCCGAGCCGCATGCCGGTCGCGATGGGGTTTAGTTTTTTGTTTGCCCGCGGGCAGGTGGCTTCCGCGAGCGCGCGGAAGCCTTCCCGCATTCGCCCGTGTATTACTGTTCCTGCTCGTATGAACCTCCGAGTTCAGTTCGGTATCTACTGTTCACCAATGGAATTTTGGCGGGCCCACTGGAATTTTGGTAAAAATCTTCAGGCCAGAGGATGACACCCCCAAGTTCCGGGAAATTATACAGGCAGTCACAATTTCGCCCGTTTTATCACGTTTGTGCACAGGGATATCACGAACAGTCACAGTACAGTAGATTTCTATCGCGGGTGATCACAGTGCTATCACGGATGGTCACACCTCGCCCCGAAAAGCTATGACGTTTGGTCACTCGATGAAACGATCATAATTAATTTGAAACCACAAGAGAAACAGTAGAAATTTTGGGGAATTTCAACTATAATTGCTTTTTACCCCGCGCATTATTCTAGTCTAACATTCAGGAAATGAAGGAAAATATAAACCCCTATTGGATGGCACGTCCTTCGGGAGGCATCAACCCTAAACACCTTGCGACAAGGTGTTTAGGGTTGATGCTCCCGAATTAAATCCCATCCGAATGAGTTTTAGTTTTTTTTTGTCTTGGGACAGAAATTTACCTTAGAGTTTCACCCGTCTAAAAGTGATATTCTTAGGGACATTATGCATCGCGAACATTTTCGTCATACTAAGGACAAAACGGCGCGTTACAGAGAACTTCTTCGAATCCCTACAGTTACTTCAGTAGTTTCATATTAATTATGCTCGTTTCATCGAGTGACCAAACGTGATTGCGTTTCGGGGCAAGGTGTGACCATCCGTGATAGCACTGTGATCACCCGCGATAGCAATCTGCTGTACTGTGACTGTTCGTGATACCCCTGTGACCGAACATGATAACAAGACTCGACGTTAACGTCGTTAAGGTTGCGTAAATGTTACATTCTTAATTGAAATCAAAAGAGGGACTATAGTGTAATTTATAGTGTCAAACTATGGTTTCTTTTACATTAAGGAAATTGACAATCTTATTAGTTCGTGATGATGCAATCTATTTATTAGGCCACGAGTAATCGTTACTAATAGGCGACGATCTAGATACATTGATTGTTTTTTTTTTTTTTTTGTACTTGGTGAACAATTATGTTTTCTCTCCTCAAAGATGTTCTGTAACATTGCAGTATGAAGTTCTTCTTAGGACGTGGACCCAAACGGGTTTGATCGCCTCGATCAGCCGCGATCAATAAGTTCCAGGAAGCCTGGAAGCCAAATTCAGGCAATCAGGGGCAATCAGCTGATCGCGATCAGCTGATCGCCCGACCTCGATCAGACCCGATTCTACCCCGATCAGACTCGATTTTCCTCGATCACAGGCAATCAATTGATTGCTTGTGATCGGGGCACCCAGCGTCGCTTGCGAGCAGTTACAGTGTTGCAATTACAGTGAAACGAAGATTTTCGCCAGGTGAATCCTGGTCGTCAATCTCGCTAAAATGGTGACGAAAATGCCACGCAAATGTATTGCGCTTGCTCAGTAGGGCGCTAACAGCCTTCTCCGAAAATCATCTCTGATCGGGCGGCTTGGGCATTACGATCACAAGCAACCCGATCAGATCAGTCGCGATCAAACTCGTTTGGGCCCACGCCCTTAGTGAGTTGTTTTCCAGCCCACTATGGACACCTTCAAAACTGGCATTGGCTACATAGCTAGCCAGGTGTGTCACGTGATTATCCGTGTGTTCTCATGTGACGCAAACTACCCGAGCCATGTTCATGTTGTCAGATTATATTCGTGTTTCGACACACTAAAAGTTTTATGCCTCGTCGTTTTCAGGCAGTTGCACAATATCCCCAGTTATCCCAACCAAAACTCCTCAATTCTCCGAGTTCCTCAAATTTGCCTACTGCGGTTACTGCTAATTTCCCTTGGCACTTCACTAAACAAACCCTAATATCCCCTACCCACCACCTCGACATTGCCTCTCCCTCCCACCCACCCACCTCGTCATCCCTCTCCCTTCCTCCTTTCCATCGCTGCTCTCCCCGCCATCCACTCTCTATCCCTCCCATCCCGCCGTCGCCGCTCCCTCCTACCCGCTGTCGCCGCTCCCTTCCTCCCCCCGTCTCTGCTCCCTCCTCCCGCCGTCGCCGCTCCCTCCCACCCGCCATCGCCGCTCCCTCCTCCCACCGTCGCCGCTCCCACCTCCCGCCGTTGCCGCTCCCTCCCTCCCGCCGTCGCCGCTCCCTCCTCCCGTCTTCGCCGCTCCCTCCTCCCGCCTTCGCCGCTCCCTCCTTCCGCCGTCGCCGCTCCCTCCCTCCCGCCGTCGCCTCTCCCTCCTCCCCGCCGTCGCCGCTTCCTCCCTCCCGCCGTCGCCTCTCCCTCCTCCCGCCATCGCCGCTCCCTCCTCCCGTCGTCGCCGCTCCCTCCCTCCCGCCGTCGCCGCTCCCTCCTTCCGCCGTCGCCGCTCCCTCCCTCCCGCTGTCGCCTCTCCCTCCTCCCGCCGTCGCCGCTCCCTCCCTCCCGCCGTCGCCTCTCCCTCCTCCCCGCCGTCGCCTCTCCCTCCTCCCCGCCGTCGTCGCCGCTCCCTCCCTCCCGCCGTCGCCGCTCCCTCCTCCCGCCGTCGCAGCTCCCTCCCTCCCGCCGTCGCCTCTCCCTCCTCCCGCTGTCGCCGCTCCCTCTTTGCCTCTCCCTCCCATCCCCGCCGTCGCCCCTCCCTCTCACTTCGCCGTCGTCTCAGGCGACAGGTCACGAGCAAGCTGGTGCGCGAGCGGGAGCTGGTTCGCGGTGCGCGAGCGCAGGTTGGGTCTTTGAGGCACCGTGATTTGCAGGTGCGTTTACCTTTCCCCGTCCTTTTTTCCGTCCTCCCCCCTGAAATTCTATTGTTTTCCTACATTATTTGTAGTTTCTGTGTGTCGGTTAGTCTCCTCTTGCGTTGCAATACTATTTGAAGTAGAGGAAAAGGGAGGGCGAGGGAGAGCGAGGGAGAGCGAGCGCACTGGAGCGAACGCGCACAAGAGTGCGCGTGAGAGAGCGCGTGCGAGAGGGAAGGAATAGCTGGAGGGAGACAGGGTGGCAGAGCGTTCAGGAGTGAGCGTGGGAGAGTGGGCGCCGTTGGCGCTTGAACTTACGGCGCTGGTGCCGTGGGTACAGGCGCCCTGTGCGCTTGCGCCATTGGCGCAGACCCCGTGGGCGCGAGCGCCGTGAGTGCTGGCGCCTAAGGCGTTTGGCTTAGGGTGCTGGTGCCGTGGGCGCTTGCGCCATTGGCACGGGCGCCGTGGGCGCTGGTGCCTTGCGCGTGAGCGCCATGGGTTTTGGCCCCTAAGGCGCGGGCGCCGTAGGTGTTAGCGCCTAACTCGCTTGCGCTTAGGGCGCAAGCACCGTGGGTACTGGCGCCTAAGGCGCTGGTGCTGTGGGCGCGGGCGCCGTGGGCGCTTGCGATTAGGGTGCTGGTGCCTTGGGCACGGGCGACGTGAGGGCGACACTTGTATGTGCGCATGCACTTGCGGGTGAGTGCGGTTGTGAGCGCAAGGGCGAGGGCGAGTGTGAATGAAAGAGCAAGTGCGAGCGTGAGTGTGCAAGTGAGTGCAAAAGAATAGTGTGACGGTGAGCGCAAGCGTGAGTGTGAGGGCAAGTTTGTAGGTGTGCGTGAGCGTAAGTATGTTTGTGAGTGCGAGGTTGAGTGCAAGGATGCTGGTGTGAGAGCAAATGGGAGTGCGAGAGTGCGTTCGAGTGTGTGTGGTAGGCTGAGAAAATGAGTGCGCGTGTTTGTGTGTGTGTTTCTGTGATTGTTGAAGAAGATTTGAGAGTTTATGTGTGTGATTGAAGAGTGAGTGCAAGAGCAAGTGTGAGGGTGAGAACAATTGTGATTGTCGGTGTGAGTGCGGGTGTGAGTGCGAGAGTGAGACGAGGGTGAGTGTGAAAGGTGCCTGCGTTAGTGTGTGCGAGAGCTAGTGGGAGAGTGAACGCGAGTGTGAGTGCGAGGGCGAATGTGAGCGTGACTGTGGGTCTGAGTGTGAGTGCGAGTTCACTTCGAGGGTGTGCGCGACTGTGTGTTCGTGTGTGCGTGTTCTAGTGAGCGTGAGCGCGAATCCAAGGCTGAGTGCGAGGGTTTGTGCGTGTCTCAGTGAGTGTGTCTAGGTCTCTAAGAACGGTTGAAAGCATTCGAGTGTTTGTGAATGACTGCGAGCGTGTGCAAGAGGGTGAGCGCGGGTTTGAATTCGAGAATGAGTGAATGTGTTGCAAGAATTGCTATGAGGTGCTGCATGCATTCTGGCGTGGATCCGTGACTTCGCAATATCAAATATCGAGTCACCTTTGTAAGATGTCAAGTTCTATGATTCTCATCACTCATGTTTAGTGTATATATTGCATTATTCATCAGTTTCTGGTGCATTATGTGAGCTGCATTCTCTGATTCTGTTCTCTTGTGTAGCTCATGCAAGTGTACTCTCTGCTTTGTTTTTGTTTGTGCAGGGAGTGTGAGTTGCATTTGCTGTTTTTTCTTCCCTGTGCAGGGATTTCAAGCTGCATTCGTTGTTTCTTGCGGAAGAAAAACGGGGAGGAGGGTGGAGGGGTGGAGGGGAGGAGGGGGGGGGGAGAAGGGAGATCAGGAAGGGAAGGAGGGGAATGGGGACAAGCTAGCAATGATTTATACATAGTTGAACTTCATATTCTTGCATGTTGATTAGCTGTATGTTTCTGTGTTTGTCCGTGTGTGTGTGCGTATGTGTGTGAGCCTGTATGTGTGTGTGTGTATATGTATGTACTGTTTTGTGTGTCTGTTTCGGGGTGAGTGCTAAGTGCCTTGTTAATGCAATTGGGGTTGTGATCGTTGGTGGGGCAGCTTAGCTTGCCTCTTCCATACCAGATCAATCGCAGTTGCATCAACGATGCATTCTAGCATTAGCTTCTAAGCATTCACATTTGTTGTCCCTTGTTTTGTATGTGGTTTTCGTACATGTTCTAGTATGTGGTAATTTGTTTGAGGGTGTAATGTGTCTGTTTAGCCCTTGTTTGCGTGTCTTAGGGTGTCGTCGTTTGGTACAACCAATTGTTCCATTCGCCGTATTTATCGACGATTATGGAATGATTGGTTATGTACATCTGGTTTCACATTTCGTGAAACTTACGTGAAGAATGATTTCTTCCAAAATCGATGGGGGAAAATCACTGTTAAGTGAAAACGAATGTATAAGGTTGCTACGCAACCCAAAAAGGGCAAAATTGTGACTTTCTGTATAATCTCCCCTAAGTTCCCAACCTGCAACAAAAAAGCGCGCGAAACGTTTTCCGTGGCCCCACCCTTGGAAGGGTTGCGTTGTGTGATGGCTTGTCGCATCTCACCCTGTCCTGTCAGCCGTTTCCGTGTCACCTACGACACCCTAGGGCCACTGTACCCGGAAAAAGACGAATTCAGCAGCTTTCCCTTGCCGAGCCTCGGCATGTGGCACGGATGGAAAACAATTCTTCAATTTTGACGATTGTCGTTACTACAGTACAGCGTTTTGCCCTAGAGAACAGCGTGCATGTCAGTTGTGCTAGCGGAACAATACGAGCCTTACTGTACAGTCACTAGGCTTTAGGTGACCCTGTACGACCTTCAGTCACGCGTTAAGCTCTTACCGTGTACAGTAACGCGGCAAGGAAAGTGTATTGTACTATAGTAACTAACCGGCAGTTCAACCAGCAAAACGGTCTTGGTCTTTTTGCCACATTCCCTCGCATGATTCTAACCCTTTTCTCGTGAGGTAAATACACCATTTCCGTGCATACAGCGCCTTAGAATTCAGTGCTCGGTAGCACCTATGGTCGATGAGGACACCACCTGCCATCAGTGAGGCCTCGCATCGCTGAGTGTAGTACTTGACTTAGTTACTACTGCTACTACTGTCATTTTCCTTTGTTTTACAGACTTGTATATTGTATCCTTGGTGATGGATCAGCGTTCCGCTCATCGTTCTTATCGGTACCCACTCACTCGCAATATCGCTGACTTGCCTCTCTCAAGTTTCATTCCGTTACAGGAAGGTTCGGAACAAGCTGTTACCAGGCCTCCGGGATCTCCTCTAGCCTTCACCAACCCTAATATGATCGACCGTGCTGCTGGATCAGTCGGTGACAGAAACACCGTTCGTACCGAAGAGTTGTCGCGCGCGGCCGTATCAGAAACGAATCCGTCGCCATACGACCATGCGAAAGCATGCGAAAACGCCGAATCCCTTCGCCAACTCCAGGCAGAACCTTCAATGGCTAGCATTTCAAAAGCGATCAAGGAAGAAGCAATGGAGATGGAGGTTAATGAACTGCAAACACGCAGCAGCGAAGCTGTCAATAGGGGGGATAAGTCAGCGAGTGAAGCCGGTATGACTCTGTCGCTGTTCCCCTCCACGTCCCTCCCACCCAACCGTCCGTTGGAACCAAATCATGCTGGTGCAACCCCTCCCGCCGGAACCACCATCAGCTCCGCACCTGCTGCAGCAGAACCGCTGTATGGCAGAGGTATCACAGGCGGGGGTGTGACAGGCGGAGGTGGGACAGGCGGAGGGATCACAGGTGGAGGTGTGCCAGGCGGAGACCATTCAAGCGGAGCTATCCTTAGCGGCAGCAGCGACGGCCGAAGGAGCAGCAGAGCAGCAGAGGCAGCGGCGCTGACACAGGCAGCAGCCACACAAGCAGGGGCGTTACAGGTAGCGCCGGCAGCACAGACAGCAACGACAGAGGAGGCGATGACGCAGGCAGCACACGTGGCTCAAACGGTCCTGCCCATGTCGCATGTCGTGCAGTCCAGTGGCCTCCCCTCAGGCGCGCAGCAGCAGCTTGTCAGCGCGCTCTCCCTCCTCACAGGCTTTCTATCCACCCAGGGGGGAACCAGAGGAGGAGAAGGACGAGGAAGAGGCACGGCTGCTGCTGCGGCTGGTCCGTCTGATCCGGCTTCAGGGGCTTCCTCTGGTGCAGGACTAGCGGCAGCGGCACCAGCAGCGGCACCAGCAGCAGCACCAGCAGCAGCAGCGGCAGCAGCAGCGGCAGCGGCAGAAATAGCTGCAGGGACTGGGGCAGCATTGTCGATAGCAACAGCAGCTGCTGGACCAGTGGTGGTGCCAATGACAGCAGCAGGAGAGCTGTCAGCAGCTCCAGTGCGGGCAGCAAGAGCCGCAGCAACAGTCGGGGCCACATCAGGAGTAACTCCCGCAGGTTCGGCACTGGAGGCAGCACCAGCAGCGTTCCCTTGTGCCCCCACCCTTTCGAACGCTCTCCCTGCTCTTTCATCAAACCCAGCCCTCTCGTCCGGCGCAGCCCACCGATCAAGCCCAGCCCTCCCGTCAAGTCCAGCCCCCAGATCTAGCCCGGCCATCATGTCTAGCCCAGTCCACCGATCTAGCCCAGCCATCATGTCTAGTCCAGCCCCCCACCAAAATACCAACACACAGACTGTCGCTGCCTCTGCCCCCACCACCGACTCCTCCCCTCAACTCCAGCACTTACTTAAAATCCTGGAGGACGGATCAAGAACAGGCGAGCTTCTAGATGCTAGGAACCACGCCCGCCTCACCCACTACCTCTCCCAAGCCTCGGGGCTGCTCTCCAGCCTCGGTAGGCAGAGCCTCGGCGCGAACCCGAGCCTGCTTGCCAGCCTCGGTGACGGTCCTCGTGGTTCTGTGGCCAATCAGAGCCGGACAACTGGCAGTACACTGGGTGCGGATCCTGCTGCTGCCGCTGCTGCCACTGCTGTTGCTGCTTCTGCTGCGCCTGCTGCTGCTGCATCACCTGCTACTAGCACACAGGAAATTTCGGGCCGGGGGGGTCCCATGTCAAAGCTGCTAGACGTGGCGGCAGCAGCAGCAGCGGCAGCAGGGGTGGTCATGGCAGCAGCAGCTGTCAGAGAGGAATCTGATGAACTCCCTGCAGCATCTGCTGCCTCTGCCCCTGCTGCTACCTCTGCCCCTGCCGCTACCTCTGCCCCTGCCGCAACTTCTGCCCCTGCCGCACCTACTGTTGCTGCTTCCGATAACGTTTTTGGTGCTACTGAGGTTTCACGGGGGACTGTTGTTTCAGGAACTGCTGCTGCGCTAAGGTCCACGTCTTCCCCCGCGCCTGTCACTCCCACTGCGGTAAACCTTCCAGGCGCAGTAGCGACCCTTGTGTCTCCATCCGCTCCTCTTCCCCCTCCTCTTCCTCTTCCTCCTGACGTTGCTCCTATGCCGTATCATCCAGCCGCTGCTCCTGTACCAGCTCGTGCCCTCGCACCCATCTTAACTCCTCCGCTTGCTGCCTCTACTCCTAATTTAGCTCCCAGCGCTTTCTCTTTCGAAGCGCTCGCCCAGTCTCTCAACCTGGGGGGGCTTCAATCCCAGCCCAGCCTCTCCTCTCTCCCGGCACTCCTGGCTGCTATCTCAGCCCTCCAGCAAGGCAACAGCCTGCAGCAAGCAAACGGTCAGCAGCACGCCGCAGCAGGTGCATCAGAGCATCAGGGCGTGGGAAGCGGATCAGGTCAGGGGCAGGGACAGGGGCAGGGGCAGGGACAGGGGCAGGGGCAGGGACAGGGGCAGGGGCAGGCGCAGGGGCAGGTGCAGCAGGGGCAGTTGGAGAAGCAGGGGCAGGGGCAGGGGCAGGGGCAGGGGCAGGGGCAGGGGCAGCAGTTTCAGAAGCAACCTCAGCTCGTTCGAGCGGTGTCCTTGCCGGGCCCTGCTCCCTCCCGCTTCTTCCCTTCTGCTCCTCGAGACCTCTACAGAGCCTCCTTCCCGTCTCCCCACTCCCCTTCCACCCTCGCTGCTGCCGCCGCCGCTGCTGCTGCTGCTGGTGCTGGTGCTGGTGCTGGTGCTGGTGCTGGTGCTGGTTCTGGTGCTGGTTCTGGTGCTGGTTCTGGTGGTGTTGCTGCCGCTGCTGGCTCTGCTGGTTCTGCTGGTGCTGCGATTGCTGGGAGCACAGCAGGAGAAATGAGAGGGGATGGAGCTGGAGGGGGAGTAACAGGGGGTGTGGGAGCAGAGGGAGGAGCAATGGCAGCAAGAGGGGGAGTAATGGAGGGTACATTGGCTGTGAACTGGTCTTCTAATCGATTAGACGCACTGGCACCTGCTGCTCTAAACACCCGAACCGAGCCTCTCACCCCTCTCTCCCGTGCCGGCAGCTCCCTAACCTCACGCATAGGCTCGGGAAATGAATGGACGTGGGGGCAAGGTACGGAAGCTGCTGCTCCAGCTGCTACCACTGCTGCTGCTTCAGCTGGTGCTGCTGCTTCTGCTGGTGCTGCTGCTTCTGCTGGTGCTGCCGCTACCACTGGTGCTGCTGGTGCTGTTGCTGCTGCTGCTGCTGCTGGTGGTGCTGCTGCTGCTGCTGCTGCTGCTGCTGCTGCTGCTGCTGGTGCCACTCCATGCACAAGCAGCAGCAATCCTGCGGGTTCCAACACAGCAGCAGCAGCGGCAGCAGCAGGGCAACCCCCCCTTTGGCACGGAAGCCGCAGACAGCGCTTCCTGGCCCGGCAAGAATCCGCATCAGCAGAGGCCCTAGACGCGTCAATCAACCCTAATTTCACCTCCTCCCGCCTCAGACGGCTTTGCTCGGCCGAAGCAGGGTTTGAGACGCCGCAGGCCGTTGGATCGTCGTCCTCGCGGCTCCGACGGCTGGGATCGGCCGAGGGGTCGCGTAGGTTGGGGGATGCCTTGGGAGGGGGTGGGACTGGGAGAGGGGGAGGGGGGAGTGGGGGAGGGACAGGGGGGAGTGGCGGAGGGACAGGGGGGAGCGGGGGAAGGACAGGGGGGAGTGGGGGAAGGACAGGGGGGAGTGGGGGAGGGACAGGAGGGAGTGGGGGGAGTGGGACTGGAGCAGTGGGGAGTGGGAAAAGTGGGACTGGGGCAGTAGCATTGGGGAGCGGGGGGGGGGCAGGGGGGAGTGGCGGAGGGACAGGGGCAGCAGGAAGTGGGGGCGGGGCAGGGGGGAGTGGGGGAGGGGCAGTGGGAAGTGGTGGAGGGGTAGTGGGAAGTGGGGGAGGGACAGGGGAAAGTGGGGGAGCAGCAGGGGGGAGTGGGGGAGCGGCATGGGGAAGTGGGGGCGGGGCAGGAGGGATTGCGGGAAGTGGGAGTGGGGGAGGGGCGGGGGGGGGGGGCAGGGGGAGGGGGGGCGAGGGGGTTAGAAGTGCTGGAGAGCCTGCGGGTGCGGCTGCGACCGCAGCTGTCTGGACTGCTGCAGGAGCAGCAGGAGGCAGTGCTGCGACTGAAGCAGCACCACACACTGCAGCAGCAGCAGCAGCAGTCACAAACTGCTGCTGCTGCTGCTGCTGCTGCTGCTGCTGCTGCGACTGCATCTCCAGTTGCCCGCCCTCTCTCACCTTCTGCTGCTGCTGCTGCTGCTGCTGCTGCTGCTGCTGCTGCTGCTGCTGCTGCTGCTGGTAGCAGTTTAGCAGCACCAGTAGTTCCCCCGTTCTCTCCTCCTCTCAACAGTCCACCGTCCTCTCAGCCACTCAGCAGACTGCAGAGAGCGGGACCGAGCATAGACCTCTTGAGCTTACACGGGCCTTCTGCTCTGCCTCCCCCTCCTCCTCCTTCTCCAGGCGAATCCCGCATGCGGGGGGGGTTACAGCGGTCAGGGCCAAGTATAGACCGGCTCAACTTTCCTGCTTCTGCGTCTGCCATCGCTCCGCCCCCTCCTGCTTTTCTGCAGGGGGACCATCGCCCCGGGGGGCTGGAAAGTGGGGGAGGGCAAACGCCCGGGTTGCGAAGGCCCGGGTTGCAAAGGGCAGGGCCAAGTATAGACCGAATGAATCTGGAGGAGGCAGCAGGGTTGGCTTCTCGGGCTGCTGCGCTGCATAGAGCGGGGCCGAGCATTGGTTCTCTGAGTTTTCAAGGGGAGATTCCCCTCTACAGGGGAGGCTCCGTTACAGGAGATGTTGCTATACAGAGGGGAGACACCCATACAGGGGAGGGTGCTCTTTACAGGGGAGGTTCGCTCACAGGGGAGGTCCCACTGCGGAGACTAAGCAGTGTGGGTAGCCCTTGGGAGCAGGGAGGAGTGGGGGGGCGCGAAGGTGGGGAGAGTGGCGTAAGAGAATGTGGGATAGTGGAAGGAGTAGAGGCTGGAGTGCGGACGGGAGGAGGGGGAGGGGTTGAGGGAGTGGAGAGTGGGGTAAAGCGGGGATGCGGCAGCATGCAGGGCGATGGAGGGGAAGGTGGAGAGAGAGAGGGGAAGAGGGCTAGGGGGTTGATTCGCAACAGTGGCGCTGCCAGCACGGCTGATGCCGCTGGTCCGGAATGTGATGCTGCTGTTGCTGCTCCTGGTCTTGCTGCTGCTGGTGGTAGCAGTCTCCCATCCTATGGTGCCGCTGTTGCTGCTCCTGGTGGGTTTTTCAGTGGGAGGCGAGTTAAAGACACGCCGACCTCCCCTCCTCGGCCCCTCTTCTCCTTCCCCTCCGTCTCCCTCTCTCTTGACGACATCCCTTCTGCCATTCCTGCCACTGCTGCCACCGGAGCAATCGATAAAGCCGAAGCTGGCCTCCGCTCTGCCGGACGCAGGCCGTCAGGCTTGGGAAACTCAGGCTCGGCAGGTGCGGGTGCGGGGGATTTTGGCTCGGGAAGTCCAGGTCTGGAGAGCGGGAATCTGGAACGGAGGGTGAGCATGGGGTGTGAAGCTAACAGCGTGGGAGTTTTCAAGGGGGGAGGAGTGGGATTGGGGACTGGCATAGACGTGGGGGTGGGTCAGCGAGGGAGTGTGGGGGTTGAGGGAGTGAGTGTGACAGAAGGAGATGGTAGAGGAGGTGTGGGCGGCAGCAGGATAGGGGCCAGTGGTATTGCTGCTACTACAGCTGCTGCTACTGCCAGTGCTACAGGTACCGCTACTGCTGCTGCTCTTGGTGGTGCTCTTGCTGCTAGTCTAGGTGCTGCTAGTCCTGGTGCCTCTGCTCTTGGTGGTGCCGGTGCCTCTGCTGGTGGTTTGGCTCGTGCTGGCAGGGCTAGTGGGCTGCTCCCATCCAGTGGCTTTACTGGCAGTGGATTGGGCGGCAGCAGGCTGGCCGGCAGCAGGATGGGTGGCGGTGGGCTGGGCGGCAGTGGGTTGGGCGGCGGGGGCCTGGGCGGTGGCGGGCTGGGCGGCAGTGGATTGGGTGGCAGTGGGCTGGGGGGCGGGTCACGGTTGGCTCGTAGCGTGGTGTGGAGCAAGGACCAGCTGAAGGAGATTGAGCAGATGAAAGAAGCCATGGCTGAGATGGAAGAGCAGGAGGGGCAGGCGGGAGGTGGGGTGCGGGAAGCAAGAGCAGGGGAGGCACGAGCAGGGGAAGGACGGTTAGAGGAAGGACGGTTAGGGGGAGGTCGAATAGGGGAAGGGCGGTTAGGGTTAGGGGAATGGGCAGGCGCAGGTGTGGGGGGAGGAGAGGGAGTAAGCAGTGACGACGGGGCAAGAGCAGCGGCAGGGGCGTGGGTCGGTGCGGATGCCTCTGCTGGCAGGGCGTTGAGTGGAGACGGGGGCGGGAGGCGCCTGGAGAGAGGACGAAGCGGAGTGGGGAAGAGCGAAGCGTGGGAGGGGTTGCGAAGAGGAGGCAGTTTTAAGCTACTGAGGGGAAACAGTTCAGGGTTGGACCTGTATGGCTTGGATGGGGTGGGGGATGAGGGGCAGGCACGGGGCGGAAGGGACGAGGGAAGGTGGACGAGTGATGGGGGTGAGGAGGGCGAGGGGATGGAAGGCGAGGGCATGGAGGAGGATTACAGGATGGATGGGAATGGCCAGCGTTACAATGGGCGGATGGATGGGGGAGATGTGGGCGGGCAGATGGAGGGGAATGGGTTGGGCGGACAGATGGGGGGGAATGGGGTGGGCGGGCAGGTGGACGGGTGTTCGAACCGCAAGCCAGGTCCGAAGCGGAAGGAGGGGCCGGTCAGCCACTTCTGCCAGAACGCACGGGTGAGTGCTGCTGAGGGAACGGCTGACGAGACACATTGGGGCGGTGGCGAAGGTGGTGCCATAGAGGGCTCACAGCAACCACACAACAACACTGCTCCCACTCTCATTGCACTCATTCTCCCACCCACTCCCTTCCCCAACCCCCTCCCCACGACCACCATTTCAGAAGCGGAGGGAGCGGCTGACGAGGCACATCCAGGCACTGGAAAAGCTGGTGCCGCAGAGGCCTTGCAGCAACACCATCCCTGCTCCTCTCCTTGTCTCCCCACACATGAACCCTATCAGAAGCGGAGGGAGCGGCTGACGAGGCACATCAGGCAGCTGGAGAAGCTGGTGCCGCAGAGGGCTCGCAGCGACGCGGCCTCTGTTCTCGAGTCCGCCATCTCCTTCATCAAACGCCTCTCCCGGGAGAACCAGGTGCGTGCTGTTGTGCCCTCTCAGGCACCAGGTGTGTGCAGGGCTCTCTTGGCACTGGGGGTGGTTTGGGGTTGTTGTCAGTACTTAAGGAGGTTCAAACGGCCTCTGTCCTCGAGTCCGCCATCTCCTTCATCAAACGCCTCTCCTGGGAGAACCAGGTGCGTGCTGTTATGCCCTCTCAGGCAGGGGGGGTGGTTTAGGATTATGGGTACTTGAGACGGTTTAACCTGCCTCTGTTCTCGAGTCCACCATCTCCTTCAGCAAGCACCTCTCTCGGGAGAACCAGGTGCATGCTGTGGTTTTCCAGGGACCAGGTGCGTGCTGTTGTGCCCTCTCAGGCACGGGGGGTGGGTTGGGATTATGGGTGCTTGAGGCGGTTAAACCTGCCTACGTCCCCGAGCCTGCCATTGCCTCCATCACGCCCTGCGACAACACCGGCCAATTTTTTAGGCGCCTCAAAAGTCGCATCTGAGATCCAACCATCACACCCTGCGACACCACCGGCCAATCTTTTAGGCGCCTCAAAAGTCGTATCTGAGATCCAACCATCACACCCTGCGACAACACCTGCCAATTTTTTAGGCGCCTCAAAAGTCGTATCTGAGATCCAACCATCACACCCTGCGACACCACCGGCCAATCTTTTAGGCGCCTCAAAAGTCGTATCTGAGATCCAACCATCACACCCTGCGACAACACCTGCCAATTTTTTAGGCGCCTCAAAAGTCGTATCTGAGATCCAACCATCACACCCTGCGACACCACCGGCCAATCTTTTAGGCGCCTCAAAAGTCGTATCTGAGATCCAACCATCACACCCTGCGCCAACACCTGCCAATCTCACAGATGACACTTCTGCCGCGTCTGCTGCTCATAACCTAATGTTTCATATTCTCCCCCGCCCCCCCCCCTTGGTCCCGTTTCCCCCCGTCTCCCCTCTCCTGCGCCTTATTAAATGACAGGATCTGCGCAAGAAAGCGACAATGTCTGTTGCTCATCTGTAGTCCGGCCGGCACACCCCATGCCAACACCTGCCATTTTTCCCCACCCTAATTTCCAACAGCTCCCCTTCCCCATCACAGGATCTGCGCACATGAGTGGCAACACTCTGGTCCTCATCTGAGACCTAGCCGGGCCCCACCCTAACATCTGCTGATTCGAGTTTTGAGTCGACTCAAAACTCGACTCACTCCGGTCCTCATCTGAGACCTAACCGGGCTGGGTCCCATCCTAACATCTGCTGATTCTCCCACTCCCCACTCATTCCATTCCCCACCCCCCTCCGCATCACGGATCTGCGTAGAGAACAAGCGATGCTCCGGCCCTGCTCCGAGACCCAGAGGGCACACCCCCCATGCCAACTCTATCCCTACCCATTCCATTCCCCACCCTCCTCCATCACAGGATCTGCATAAAGAAGTGGCAATTCTCCGGCCCACTTCTGAGACCCAGCCAATACACCTCAATGCCAACACTTGCCAATGCACTTCATCCCCCTTCCCCTCCATTCATCACAGGATCTGCGTAAAGAAGTGGCAATGCTCCTTCCGTCGTCTGAGACCCAGCCAATACACCTCAATGCCGACACCTGCCAATTCTCTTCATCCCCCTTCCCCTCACTTCTCCATCACAGGATCTGCGTAAAGAAGTGGCAATGCTCCGGCCCTTGTCTGAGACCCTCATGCCAACCCCTGCCCATTCTCCCCTCTCTATCCATTCCCCTCCCCCCTTCTCCATCGCAGGATCTGCGTAAAGAAGTGGCAATGCTCCGGCCCCCATCTGAGACCCAGCCGGCACACCCCATGCCAACCCCATCCCACGCTGCTGCTGCTGTTACTGGTACTGCTTCGGCCTCTGCTGTTCCCGATGCCTCTCCTGCTACTGCTGCTGCGCTGAGTTCCCTGACATTCCCTATGGATGCTTCCAGTAGAGCACTTGTTGCTTCTTCCGCCGCCACTGCTGCTGGTGCTGCTGGTATCGCTGCTGCTGCTGCCTCTGCTGCTGCCGGCCCTGTTACTGCTTCTGCTTTTGCCCTTGGTCGTGGTAGTAGCAATGCGCTCTCAGATCCGAATTGAGTTATGTACAGTGCATTGTCCTGTCGTTTGCATATATGCAAGTGTAATTCTGTTGTGGCGAGGGTGGTTGGTGCTAATGGGTGGTTGGGTTGGGTGGTTGTGCTTCCCTTATCATTCAATGCTGGATGCAGTGCGGTGGCCAATGTCTTTTTGCAGGCCCACAGTTGAAGTACCGGTTGCAGGCTATAAACCCGAAACTTAAATGCGTGCAATATTGAGGTCTCCCATGCAATTCCTTTTAGGTAAGCACCCCCTAGCATTACCGTATGATTTAACACCTACGAAAGTGTATACCGTTTATCTCATGATATCATTTGGTCGTGCCCATCGCAGGCGCATGACATCCTTCGGCTACCCCATTTCATACCTTTCAGCCACGGAAATTCTCTCAGCTGCTTTTCCGCATTTCCTAGATTTCTTCGGGTCGTTCCTTGAGTCTCCCGTTCATGCGACAATGGCTCCTCGGCTCAGTGAGGAGCCCACTGCCACGACTTTGCGTGTGGCGTCTCCTCGTGATGGCTCTGACATGGCGGTGTTACCGTTTTTTCGCGAACTTCAATCGCGTCGACGATCCACATGCAGACAGGCACGCGAGGTTTCGCGACATCGGGTTAGGGTTAAGATCGCTTCAAGCACACGGTCGTCGCGTGACCTTACAGTCAAGCCGTCGTGTTCGTCGACGCCGAGCGAGCGCACCCTCGTGAGAGCAATTGCCATTACAGCCGGATGGCAACTCGTGCATGTCAGTGTCCAGACTCCCGCCGACCAGGAATGCGTTGGGTTTTCCTTCGTTTTCTGCCAGGCCAGGGAGATGTCTGCCCTTCGCGAGGAAATGTCGTTATCGGTGTGAACAAATTCACCAGCCTTTTTGCAATTGCAGGAGAATCTGAGCTCCTTTTACTCGGGGTCCGCGATGCAATGGAGAAGCTCTGCGGTCCCAACTATTATCTTGGTCAGGCTTGCCTTCACCAGTCACTGCCTGACGACCCCGTGCATGCGTTCTCCACGTGATCAAGTTTCGGGAAACGTTTTGCGCGACCCGGGACCATCATGTGAAGCCACCCTTCAGCAGCCGACCAAGAATTGCGTGTCGCCATTTCTGCTCGATTCTTGCGACTCCTGCAAGATTTCAACTCGACAACCATCAAGCTGAGATATGATTCTCGCCGAACCCTTCAATCGTTTGTTTTTCAACTTCAGGCATCAGCTCCTGCTTGCTCATAGGCGTACCATCCGGCGAATTTCCGCTCGAAGATGCAAGCTGCGGAACACGCATCATCACCTCTTCAGTGAACAGCGAAACTCTCGAACCAAGATTCCTGTTCTCCTTCCTGAACTTGTGGAAGGCGATTCGGGCTTGGGTTTCCTCGTCGCTACAACTATTTCTCTTTCAACAGGACGCGTTTGTTTGTTTTCCAGCTTGCACGCTGACTCAGGACCCTACGTGGCTTCTTATTGCAGTTCAAGAGGACGGTGCAAGGCTGTAACGGCCTGGAATTGGAGCTTAGCTCAACTCAAAACCCTACTACGTGGCTTCCTGTTGCAGTTTAAGAGAACGTTGCAAGGCTGTAACGGACTGGAATTGGAGCTGAGCTCAAGACCCTACTACGTGGCTTCCTGTTGCAGTTCAAGAGAACGTTGCAAGGCTGTAGCGGCCAGGAATTGGAGCTGCATCCGATTCATTCTCTTGAAGCGTGCGACTGAAGTTCGTATCTGGCGAAGCCTGCTACTAAAGTTCTTACCTGGCGAGACGAAGATATATTTGCCACGGTAAATATCTGAAGAAACACCTGACTGACACGACCTCTGTGTGAAGGTGTTGGAGTGGCTCGGCCAAGAGAAAAAAGGCGGATCCGAGGCGCCTCGCCCGGTTTTTGTGAAGACCCGCTCCTGCTGAGAAGGGTTGCAGCATGGATTCGATACAAGAGCTCGCGGATTCTGCAGCGTATTCTACACCCGCTGTTCTCCCTCCTGCCTTCGCGGGTGCCGTTCCAATCCCGAAACCTTCCCTTGCGTCTGCAGCAGTCGGTTCTGAACCTCTTCTTGCTGGCCTTGCTGCTGCTACCACAGGGCCTTCTCTCTCAGAAGCATATATGAAATCGTCTTCGGGTCTGTTTTCCCTGCCTGGAGCCGTCCCCTTTGCTGCTAAATCTTTGTCATCTCCAGGACTTCTGGCTACACTAGATGAGCCTGTATCCCCCTTACAAGCACACTGCCCTATGGCTGTAGCGCCGCATGCGTCCCTGGAGTGTACTGCGGAGAGTAACCTGGCTCGTAGCTTGACCAGCAGCCGTAGCAGGAGAGCTAGGGAGAACCCTCAGATGCAACCGCATGAGGAGTTTCAGAAGCTTTCAGAAACAAGGAAGAGCGAGCTTGAGACAGGAGGAGGGCGAGGAGGTAGAGGAGGAAGAGGAGAAATTCGAGGAGGAAGAATCGTGGGAAGCAAGGAAGCTGGAGGTTTGGAGAAGAGGAACAGATTTTTGGCTGGAGAGGGAGGGAGAGCAAGGGGTATGAGCATAGAGCAACTTGAGTCAGAGGCTGGGAGGGCAGGCACTCGGCCTGAAGGTCTTGGCAGTAGAAGCAGGAAACGAGGAAACCCCAACAAGCAGCAGCGGTTGCTTCCGAGCGAGGATGAGGTGAGGGAGGCTGCGACTGATTGGCCGACGCTTGGGGCCACCTTGAGGCGAGCTCTTGGGGTGGGAGGGAGTGCAGGGGACGGCAGAGAGGGGCAAGGGGTTGGAGTATCAGGAGCAGCAGTCGCAGGAGCAGCGCTGTCAGGAGCAGCACCAGCAGGAGCGGTGGCAGCAAGGGCAGCACCTGCACATGTCTGGAGGTTTTGTGAAGGGGTGGAAGGAGTGGAAGGAGCAACAGGTTCGACATTGGACGAGCAAGGAATGGTGCAGCAGCAGCAGCAACAGTGTGAAGTTCAAGAGGAGAAGCCTAAAGTGGTCTTACACCTACCCGCTCAGCAGCAGCAGGAGGAGGAGCAGCAGCAGGAGGAGCAACATCAGCAACAGGAGCCGCTGCTGCAACAGAAATTTCCTCTGTTACCTACCAGCAAAATGGCAGGCATTGGAGGGCTGTGTAGGCAAGGGTGGCCTGGTGGAGTTCCCAAGGTGATGGACTACGGGTGCAGATTCTGCGGCAAGGGATTTGATTCTCCTCGGGCGCTTGGAGGGCACATGAATCTCCACAGGAAAGGTGAGGCAGGCTCAGTGCATGTGCGTGTGTGGGTGTGAGTGTGGGTGTGGGTGCGCAGATGCAGCTGCATGTGTGTTTGTGTGTGTATGTTGTGGGGGAAGGGTGGGGAGGTGTGCGTGCCTGCCTGCGTGTGTGCTTGCATTGTGGTGGCCTGATGCACACTAGTTGCAGTTATTGCAATCATAGTAATTGTTGCACTTCTTGCACTCATCGAACTTCTTGCACTCATCGCACTTCTTGCACTCGTCGCACTTCTTGCACTCATCGCACTTCTTGCACTCATAGCTTCTTGCACTCATCGCACTCCTCCCTGTGCTCATTGCCCTTGTTCCAATGTGCACAGAGCGAAATGGCCAGAGCGCAAACTGGAAGACGTGTTTCTGCAGGAGTTAGAGTCTCAAGCTAGGGCTGAGCTACAGCCACTTCTCGCACTCATTGCACTTCCCCTTGTGCTGATTTTTCTTGTTCCAACATGCAATGGCCAGAGCGCAAACTGGAAGACGTGTTTCTGCAGGAGGCTGAGGCTCAAGCTAGGGCTGAGCTACAGCTGCGCCAGCAGCAGCAGCTGCAGCTGCTTCTGCAACAGCAGCAACAGCAGCAGCGGGAGCAGCAGGAGCGGCAGCAGCAGCAGCAGCTACAGCTGCTTCTGCAGCAGCAGCAACAGCAGCAGCAGGAGCAGCAGCAGCGGCGGCAGCAGCAGCAGCAGCAGCAGAAACATTTGCAGCTACACGTTCAGGAGCAGCCACTAGTGCTGCAGAACCTGCAGCACCAGCAGCAATGGCTGCTGCAGCAGGCAAAGCCGCCACAGTTCCAACTGCAACAACTCGAGGAACTGTTTCAGCAGCAAGAGCAGCAGCAGAGACAGCAAACAGCAGCACAGGCACCATTGCTGCAACAGCAGCAGATCATTCCTGGGTCAAACCGTTCCTCCCATGGCTTATCTCACACCACTGGAAGCAGAACCTCTGCTGAGCCTCCTCTTGGGTTTCATGCTGCCTTTGGTTCTTCTGCTGCCATGGGTCAAGGCGGGTGGCGGGAGGAGCAGATGCACATAGATCCAAAACAGCAGCAGCTGTTGGAAAAGCAGCAGCAGCTGCGTCCGCAACAGCAGCATCAGAGGCAGGAGAACCAGCGACAAGGGCAGCTGCAGCTGCTGCAGCGTCATCTGCAGCAGCATCGGCAGCTGCAGTCCCTGCAGCAGCAAGAGCAGCAGCAGCTGCGGTGGCAGCAGCAGCAGCAAGAAGAGCAGTTGCTGCCGATGCAACACCAAGAAGTACTGCAGCAAAGGCATCATCATCAGCAGCAGCAGCAGCAGCAGCAGCAGGAGCAGCAGGAGCACAAGCAGTCAGGATTTACCCAGCCCAGGCCACCCAAGCCTGTTTCCAACAAGCCTCACCGAAACATGCCTTCATCACTTCCCAACACTCCCACAACCCGCCCTCCCCAATCTCCCGCATGGCAGCCCATCGAGATTCCCATGGGACTCTCAAACCATTCCAACCCATCCCCACCATACTATCCACTCCCCCGTCCTCCTGCCTCAGACCCCTTCCTCTCTACCCTCTCCCTGGATTTCCTCCAATCCCTCTTCCTTCGCTCCGGCCCCCCTGAAACAGCTGCTGCTGACCCTGTAACACTTGATGCGGTTACCACCGCATCCTCCCTCGCTCCTGCCCATCCTGCTTCTGTTCCCCCCTCGCTCCCAGCCTTGCCTGCTGCTGCTTTACCACTCGTAACCAAACCACCGGTTACCATACCGTCGGTTACCATATCGCCAATAACCACCTTTTCTCAGCACCAGTCCTCTCTTGCCCCGCCAGTACCCGCTAGTCAGCTGCGAGTAATACCTCCTGAACTCTTGGCAGCGTGGGCTACATCTTCTGTGCTCCCAGGTGGCGTTACATCTGGTGTTACATCTATGCGGCCAGGGTCCGCTTCTCCTGTTGCAGCAGGAGAGGAGGAGCAACAGAGTGTCATGGGAGAGAGTCAGCAGCTGCAGCAACAGCTGCAGCAACAGCGACAACAGCAGCAGCAACAGTGGTTGCAGCAGCAGCAGCAGCCAATGGAGATCTCAGCAGAAGGGGCAGGGGCAGGGGCAGGGGCAGGGGCAGGGGCAGGGGCAGGGGCAGGGGCAGGGGCAGGGGCAGCGGCAGTGGCAGGAGCAGGTCCAGAGCCAATGCAGAGGGCGGGAGAGGATGATGTGGCGTGGCTGCGACCACATAGCCAACAGCTTGAGCAGCAGCAGCAGCCGCAGCTGCCGTCACAGCAGCAGCAGCAGCCAAAGCAGGCGCAGCAGCAGGAGTTGTTGAGGTTGAGGCAGCTGTTGGCACTGGCAGGGCAGCAAGCACAGCCGGGCATGGGTGGGGTGTCGCAGCAACAGGGCAAGGGAGGGCAGCAGCAAGGGTGGAACAGTCAAGCAGAAGCACGTGTGGGCCCACTGAATGTTGCTCAGGGAGGATTGGAAGGAGTGCAAGGAGTGGGAGCAATGGGAGGAGTGGGAGCAGTGGGAGGATTGGGAGGAATGGGAGGCGAGGGGTCTGTGCAAGATCTCACGGGTTTGGATTGGCTGCCGGCAGCCTCGCACCTCCATGGCCTGTCTTTTCCTGCTGTAACTATGCCAGCTGTGACTGTTCCTTCTGTGACTATGCCCGATGTGACTATACCCGATGTGACTATTCCCGACGTGACTATACCCAATGTGACTATACCCGATGTGACTATACCCGATGCGACTTTCCCGGATGTGACTGTGCCTGATGAAAGCCGGCCTGAAACTTCTCCTCCTGCCATGCCTTACCTCACCTCTGGGCCTCTTGCCTCTGCTATCGCTTCAGCCCTTGCTGCGGTTACGCCTTCGGCATTCATGCCTTCACTGGTTACCCCCTCCCTAGTCATGCCTTCCCGATCTACACCTCCTCTGGTTACGCCATCCCTGGTTAGGCCTCCAGTTCTTGCCGGGTCTGCCATTTCAACTCCTGCTGCCACTGCTGCCCTGGCCACTCCACAGTACGGCTCTTCATCTTGTGGTGCCGTTACATCTCATGGTCCTTCAGGTTCTGCCATTCCACCTCCTGAGGTCCATTGCCGGTCAAATCCACCTGTCTCCAGACTAGCACACCAGCAACAGTCATTATCCTCCTTGCAGCCTCCTGCCTTTTTCCCTCAGCCCAACTTGGTGCAGCAGCAGCTGCAGCAGCAGCAACAGCAGCCATGGGCTACTGGGATCGCCATTGACCAGCAACAGCAACAGCAACAGCAACAGCAACAGCAACAGCAACAGCAACAGCAACAGCAACAGCAGCAGCAGCAGCAACAGCAACAGCAACAGCAACAGCAACAGCAACAGCAGCAGCTGTTGACCTCTCAGCCTACCTCAGCCCAACAGCCGCAGCAGCAGCAGCAGGAGGCCTTGACGTCTCAGCCTGTCTTGGGACATGAGCAGGAGGCTGGGCCACTGCCAGTCATAGGTGGTGCAGGAGGGAGTGAGGAGGATGAGCTGGCACAGCTGGAACAGCTTCGGCAATTGCTGCTCTTACAGGAGCAGCTTGTAAGGGATAAACCCGGGGGGGATGGGCTTCAGTTAAGGAGGCAGGGGATGAAAGGTGTGGAGTTGTGTGGGGACTTGAACCAGCAGGTGGAGACAGAGGGGGAAGTGGTGACAGTGCGTGAGAGGCACTGCCACTTTTAGGAATAGGGGTAACGCAGAACGGATATGTTGACGGGAGGAGGAAAGGAGGAATTTTGATGAAGAATCAGGGTTGAGGAATTTTGAGGAATTTTGATGCTAGGCATGATGTTGGTTGGTGGGTGGGTCTTGTAAGCACACTGCTTTCCTTCTTTTCCATGTATATTGTTTTGTCTTCAGTAGTTTATCACAGCATTGTATAACGCACTTGCAAATCTCGCTCTTGTCTGCCTTCATTCACGCTTCACGCCCATGCAAAAGTGTCTTGAGTTCAGGCGCACACTCAACGCAGATGCAGCAGCCATTGTGCTGTGGGAGGCTACCATAGCGGTGAGTCGCCGCATTTGCTTACTGCAGCATTTCTGCACGGTTGCTTCCCGAATCCTCCCTTCCGTGACACCCTGATGCATCCTAGAGTTCGACCAATGAGTCGTCTCAGCAACGGTCCCTGTGCGCATTCTCGAGCTCATCGTCTAGCTTTGATCTCCAACGAACGTTCAGGGTCGCTGCGATCCCACGTGAGCCAGGCTGGCACGCTCGCGCTACCGACAGAAAGAGGCGTTCCTTCGTCAGATTGCGCTGTCTACGGTGTTTCGATATGTTTGTATGGCTGGCGAACTCGCCGTTTCATGCACAAGAGATTGCGAATGATTATACCAGAAACCAAATTCCGGGATGTGTGCAGCCATTCACGGAACCTCTTCAACTGCGCTCTCTGTCAGCTCTCTTGATCGGTTTTCCGAGCAGCGCAGGCATTTCTTGTTCTAAGGCCGTCGAGTGTCACGCATCATGCTGAGAGCACAGGACATTCCACGGGCTGAACGATGGTTTCGCGACGGATTGTGCCATCGAAGGTAAGCTTCGTCGGGTCCTGGAGTTTGTACCTCATTGATTTTTTTTCTCTTTCAATCTTGATTGACGACACGAAGTCGTGCTTTGGAACAGGATCAACGACACAGCTAGCCCAACTGCATCATGGATCCTGCACATCCTGAGCACGTGCGTTCTGTACACGGTTCAACGACAAACCCTGCGCCTACTGCAAAGGCGTTTATGGCAAAAAACACGCCTGCTGCAGAAGCATCTACAACACCTGTCTGGTGGTTCGGCTGCTGCTACTTCAGCAGCGTATTCTACCCTCCCAGCTATCCCCTCCTCCTCACCTGCTGCTGATTCTTCCCTGCAGCCTTCGCTTGCGTCTCCTAGCTCTGCACCCAGCATCACTGGTCTTGCTGATTTGCCTAACATAGGGGATTTATGGAGAGGAGAGGCACTCGGGACAAGCTCCGAAGCTGATCTCCAGGGCAGATTCGGTGGCAGGAGATTTAATGTCTCTCCAGCGCGCCGAGCCCACATGAATTTGGACAGGAGAGGTGAGCGAGGCTGCGTGTGCGTAGATTGGTAGTTAATAACGCCTTTCTTGTTTCTTGTCAACACGTGTCACTTTTTTCCCTGTTGCGTATGTTTCGTGGATGTATGTGGTGGCCAGTGAGGGAGGTAGAAGAGGTTTACATGCAACAGGCAGAGGCACACGCCTGGTATCAAATGCAGTTGCGTCAGCAGCAGGAGCAGCAACAGTTGCTGCAACAACAAGATGAACGGCAGCAGCAACAACAACAAGATGAGCGGCAGCAGCAACAACAGCAGCAGCTGCAGGACCTGTACCGGCACCAGCAAAAAGAGCTCCAACTTCAGTGGGTGCAGCAGCAGCAAGAGCAGCAGCAGCACCAAAATTTTCAACAGCAACAGGAACAAGAGCAGCAGAATCAACAACGCTTGCGGCTGCAGCAGCTGGCACAACAACTACAGCAGTTGATGCTGCAAGAACATCAGCAGCAGCAACAACGCGTGCAGCTATACCATCACCAGCAACAGCAACAAGAGCTGATGCATCTTCAGCAAGAACAGGAGCAACGACGTCTGATGCAGCGCCAGCAAGAGCAGCAGCGACAGCACCAAAAGAAGCAGCAGCAACCAGAATAGCCGTGGCTTATGCGACAGGACGAAGTGTAACAACTGTAACAGGAACAGCAAGAGAATGGGCGAATTTTTCCTGCAGCAGCAACTGCAACAAGCTGAATTGAAGGAAAAGCAGGAACTGGAAGTAGCTGAATGCCGGCAGAAGCAACAGCAGCAGCAAATGTGAAGGGGAACCACAGACACAACCGCTGTGACCTGATTAACTGGGCTAGGAGAAGAAGAGGTTCTAGATATGCATATGGGTGTTAAGGGGAATTTGCTAAACTGATACTGCTATTTAGGCGTCCGGGTTGCGATGGCTTGCAATACTGGCATGCATTGTGGAGTGAAGAACTTTTTTACGCATTCATTCAAGGTACCAAGAATCGCAGTGTATGCTAAAGTTCGGATCTTTAGTTTAGTAGTGTCCCTATTCAGCTAAAGCGACACTAAGTCATAATTCTCCAAGCGAAGTCGCACCTCTGGTTTTGGTATTACCGCGGATTTTTCCAGGACTATGGTATGAACTGGAGCTCCGCTGCGCGCCACTTCCAAAAGTCTACATGGACAAAAGTTGCACCAAGCTGTTAGAGGGGTGTTTACTGTTCATTCCGAACAGTACATTCCAAGTCACCCTTATCCTTATCTTCTCAGATTCTCTAGTGCCACGTGGCACTCTACTTTCCAACCTTCCTTCTTGCATGCTATATAAACCTTGCTTGTATTCCCTCATATCAACCAATTCTCATTCAACTCTCTTTCAATTACTCAGTAACTTCTTCGCCTATTTCGCCAATAGTCTTTTCGCCAAAGCCTTCCGCCGCGCTTTATCCTCGACTTAGTCGACCCCGCTAATTCTTTAGCGGACTTAGGCCGTCGGGCCTAACAAAGCGCTATGTCGTGCGCACCAAAACTGGGACCTTTCATTTTGCCTTACACGTGCCTCCTCTGCGATCGTTGCGCCATTTTACCCCTAGCCGCCATGAACGCTAAGCCGTCTCTTCTTGCTGGGTTACCCAGGATTGCGACAGCGCTTACATATTCCTGTTTGGATTTCTATGGAGCGGCCTGGACAGCATGTACGAAGGGATGCTTTGTATTATACCTCTCACACCAGCTAACAGATGGCCGCCCTAAATTTCCTAGACCCGATCGCCCTGTCGGCGCATTCAACTACAACTGCAGTGTGATGAGACGGCCTTGAGGTTCTCCTAGCTGGACAATCACATGGCCATCACTCATTCCAATTTGGACCGTGTCACCGCAATGTGTTTCCTCGGGATCCTGACCTCTGCCACCCAAACTATCTCGGCTCCAACTTTCCTCGAAACCGTTTCAACTTCGCTATTGGTCAGGACAGGCGGCGCCTTGAGGTTTTCTCGGCGGATCTGATGCCCGACTGAGTTGGATCTGGCTTGAGGCCTGACTTGTCTCTCGCCATCCATCGAAGCATAAGCTTCTCATCCGTTCACATGCGAGGCCTTCTGGGACCACTCGCCAACTCATCTACGATCTTCGATCTCGCCACATGGCTCCAACATGGCGTTCGGTTTCGCGAGCTTTGAGTCGGCAAACTACTGAAATCCTGCAAGAGCAATCATTAGGGATGGTCCCACCCGGGTGTGGTCCTTACGAATCACAAAGGATATTCTCGAATTCCCTCACACCAAGCTGCCACGCCAGTGTTGCGGAAGCCGCGAAGGATCCGCCACCTGCTAGCAGGGATGAGAGTTCTAATCGATCCAAGAACCCTCCCATATCAGCAGAATTACCACCGCATTTCCTTGTGATGGATCAGGGTGTCTTACTAAGGCCCGGGCCGAGGAGCACTGCTCGTGAGGCGGTGGAGAGGTATGGTCTATATGACAGGCGCTATCGCCCGTTAGAGAGGTATGGCCGACAAGATGAGCCCCGCAGGAACGCGCCGGTCCTATCGGCGCGAGCTACTTCGACAACATGCAACGTCTCGACTCATCAAGACTCCCCGTGGCGGATTCCTCATCAGCATCCACCAGCGATGGCGGCGGGACATAGCAATACCATCCCTCCTGTGCCGGAGCTAGGAGCGTTGGGACAGAAGCCTTCTGAAGGCCAGCGCCGGGAGTCCAGCCGCGGGAGCCAGAAGCCTTTCAACAGGGGTCGGAAGCGAAAGAGATCGCTCGGAAATCCGCTGCTGACTGAGGGCGGAAGGCGGCTGCTGCTAGCGATGATGACGAGGCACTTGCTGCTCGCCTGATCGCCAAGAGGCTTCTTCCTTCCCCGTCTGCCGCTTTCACAGGTGACTGCTCCTTCACGTCTTGAATGCCTTAACTTTGGCCTATATACATGGCAAAGATGGTAAGTATATCTTTTTCGGTCACTCTGCAGATCTCCTTGAAAGGACGTGCCTGTTGTTGCTTTCCTGCTGCTTTTGCCTTCCCATCTTTAGCTCATATACATGTGCCTGTTGTTGCTTTCCTGTCTGCTATGCCTTACCAACTATTTGCCATTCCAGGAGCGTTACAAGTCATCATCCATCGAGCACGCCTTCTTGCAGCCTCAGGACCTCCCTTACACTCCCTCGGGCCCTCTCCAGTTTCGGCCTCTGCTCTCCCCTGCTCTTCAAACGTCACGGCAACTGCTCCTCTCTCCTCTTCATCCCAGCTGCCTGTGCCTGACACGGCTTCTTTTGACTCCCTATCCCTTCCAGCGGCAAGCACCAGCCATGTGGACCTTTCTACCCAGGGTCTTCCTGTTGGGTCGTCCAGCTATCTGAAACGTCTACCTGGAAGCCTTCCATTGCAATCTTCCAGCGACACAGGCTTCCTAACCAAGAATTTCTCACTGAAGTCCTCTGGTTATGTGGTCCTGTCTACCAGGAACCATCCTTCGCAATTCTCCAGTCACATGGATCCCTTTACCAGGAATCTTCCTCGATCCCATACAGGCCTTCAAACAAGGAATCATATATTGCAATCAACCAGTGAAGCTGACAAGTTTATGGGGAATGCTCCTGCTCAATCCGGCCACAGGGGCCTGTTTTGGGGGAATGTACAATTGTCGACTACTGGGAGTCTCCCCGTGCAGCCGTCCAGTCACCTGGTGTCATCAGGCATCTCTGGCTCCATCCCACCCATCCACGTGACGCCATCCAACCATGTGGATCCAGCTCGCACCTGTTTTTCTCCGGAGGATGAACTCCAAAAGCTACTGGCAGCAGGACCCACATTGCCATCCACGCTTGAGGGCAAGGAGTGTGGGAGGACGCTCACCCTGCCTCAGTGTTTGGGTCAACACATGTCTGGCCGCATGAGAGGTATGCTGGCCACTGCTTCAGGTCAAACTTGTTCAAGTGGTGTGCATGAATTTGCAAGCCTCTGCATTGTGTTGTGTACTTCTCTAATTTACTCTTCTGGTACATACTGCAGAGGAGAGGCTGAAAGTAACGCAAAAGAGGAATGCGGAGGCGGCCGCAGCAAGCTTATGTGAGCTGCAGATAGCATCCTTGCCGTCAGAAAGTTCCATCATGGCTGAATGTGCTGAGGAGATGCTCACCCTGAAACAGGCAAAAAATGCTGTCCCAGCAGCAAAACCACCTGAGGTTCCAGTGAAGGAAGATCATCTCCAGCAGCCGTTTCATGAAGCAGGTAGTCAATCTCAGCAGCAGCTGCTGTTGGACCAGCAGCTGCTCCACCATCGGCTCACCATGCTGCCAGATCGTGTCCTGTTGCCTCCCATGGCAACCTTGGCGTTCCCTCTCCTGCAGCAGGATGAAAATGAGCTCCTGCACCTGCAGCATGGAAGCAAGATATGTTCTGGACCAGCCTTGGTGTTGGCACATCCAGCATTGTCCCATTGGCCCGACAGGGTTTTGATGTCAGCCACGCAGCATCAAAACGAGCGCGGCGGTTTTGGGACTACCCCTTTTATTCGCTCACGAGTGTGTGACATCGATCTGAATTCTGATTCCGTACATAATGTGGAGGGGCCTGTGCAAGAAGCTCTGTGTCTGGATTTGTCGTTGTGAATAGGCTGTAAATAATTGCTGAAGTGTACATATTTTAGGGTCTCATTTCTTGAACTCGTACCAGTAGACGCTTGTGGTGCTCCTTGGTGGTGGGGACTTGAGCGATTTGCTGCGCTGGTTTGTGCGCTTCGCACTGTTTCTCTGAACCTCATCTTGAAGCCGCACGTGGCATTTGTTACATTGCGATTTTCTTGAGACAGCTGGAAACGCGGAAACGTATCATTGGCCAGTTTCGTGAAAATCTCCGCCACAACCTGGTTCTCGTTCAGGGCCACAGCTTGCCATGTCGGCTTTCCACGTCATCGAGGTAGCATTCTGCGTGGTGAAGGCTTCTCGAGAACCGCCAGCAAGGCGAGGCGCAACGATGATTCACCACCCTTGGAAATTGAGTCTCCCAGCTTCGCTGCCACCATCCCTTTCTTTCCTTGCCTTTCAAAGGTCTAACGCGGCTGGGTACGTTACACTTCGGTGAATGTGAACCTTCACTCACCGTGTGCCTATTTGTCACACGAGTAATGAGGGTCAATAGGCGCCTATTCACTACATTCTAGCTGCTGCTCCTGACATTGGTATTGCCACGTCGTGTTTGTCGTCCGGCGGTGGGCTGCTTCTCTCAACGTGCCTTGCCTACTGATATAATCTGGTTTGCTCCCCTTGCGTAGCTCGCCAACGCTTCGCCAGGTCGCGCATAGCCAGCTTCAATGGCGCTCCTCCTTCCCGCGACGCGCGGTGCCCACATCGTCGCAGGCCTTCCTCCCCTCCGCAGACCGACGCGCACCTCGTCTCACCGCGCTGCACCGCGCCATTTCAATGTACTCTCTGGCAGAACCGTTCTTTTTCACGGGACGAACCCGAGCGCTTATCAGCTCGCGTCTCTCGTTCCGCTGCCGCTAATCGCCCACGCGGCAGCCGCGTCAGCGAAACTTCAGCGAAATGCCGCGCTCACGTTGCGTGCCGTCGCTTGCCAATCAGAGGCGTCACAGGATGCCCCGTCAGAATCGTCGCAGGCGATTGTTTCGCAAAGCAGGCCAGCCTCCTTCACCCTCAAGGCGGCTTCGGCTGCTGTAGCTGCAGCTGTAGCCGCCGCTACATCCGCGATTTCCGCATTCACTGCTCCTGCGGCGCTCGCCGTCGATTCCGATGCGCTCTCCCGCTACGAGCAAATCGCCGGCAAGGCCATACAGCGCTCCGTCGTTACAATCACTTCCGCTGCCGCGAATGGGCCGATTAATGTCACATCGGCTGGGGAAGCCGCCGGAGCTGCCGCTGTCGGGGAGGCCGCTAGTGCCGCTGCAGGCGCCGTGACTGACGCCGCCTCCGCCGCCGCGACTTCCGCTCCGGAAGCCGTGAGCGCCGTTACTGCCGCTGTGTCCGACGCCGTCTCCGCCGCCGCACCTGCCGCCGTGACTGACGCCGCCGCCGCCGCCGTATCTTCCGCTCCGGAGGCCGTGAGCGCCGTTACTGCCGCCGTGTCCGACGCCGTCGCCGCCGCCGCATCTGCTGCCGCACCTGCCGCCGTGACTGAAGCCGCGGCGGCCGCCGCCTCTGCCGCCAGCGCCGCCGCCACTTCTGCAGCGGCTGGAGTCGCCGAAATGTTGACCAGCGCCGTCCCAGCCGCCGCTTCTGCCGCCGCGTTTGACGCCGAAGTGGCCCTCGCTTTCGCGGCCGCAGCGGGAGCGACGGCGCTGCTCGCGGGGGCGTTCTCGTTCCTCACGCGGAAGCAGTACGCGGGAGATTTGACCCCAGAAGCCGCTTTAGAAAAGGCCCTGGAAGAGGCTGGGGAGGAGTGGGAGGAAGAGGGCGAGGCGGTCATTCTTCTCGACATTCGCGACGGCAAGGAGAAAAGCAGATCGGGTAACCCGACGCTGAAAAGCTCGCCGAAGCGGCTGGTGGCGGTTGCGTATCGCGAAGACTCTCTGAAGCGGAAAGCGGAGGAGGGCGAGGGGGACGGGGAGGACGACGATGTGATTGTAGTGGGTGATATTAAGGAGGGGTTCGTCGCAGCGGTTAAGGAGGCTAAAGCCGTCTCGGATGGATCGACTATCATTGTTATTGATAAGTACGTGACGTCACGCTCGCGTTGTTTTAGGAAAAAAATGGGAACGTCGCTTTACACCAATCTAGGTTGGAGATTAATCTCTACCCGAAACTAGTCTCCCGATTGGTCAGCTCGCGCGATTCCCTTCGTATTTTTGCAAACCAGGGCCGGGGAGGACGCTGTGGATGTCGCCAAGGAGCTGACGTCAGCGGGCTTCAAGAATGTCTTCGCCGTGGCTGGAGGAGCTGACGCGTGGCAGGCAAGTACTGGCTGGCGTGTCGTTGCTGTAGTCGAGGTATTAACTCGGAGCACATTAGTGGCTCGATGGATCAGTTTGCCTTCAACAAAATCGCCACCCGAAAACCCCGCCAGCTAGTTTCCCCTTACAGCTCTTTTCCCTATTTCCCCCTTCCCCCAACCAGCCCCAGTGCCTTGGCCCATAATTAGCATAGCAGTTCCTTTAACAAAAGCTCCCTGCACCTCATCCGCTCTTCTAGTTTCCCCTCCCACCTCCCCCATTCCCGTCTCCCCCCATTTGCTCCTTCCTCTCTTCCGTCTTTTCCAACTTTTTCCTATCTCCCCGTTTTCTCTTCCCCCTTTTCCCCCTTTCTTCTCCCTCTCCCTCTTCCCCCCTTCTCTGTGCTCGTGCAGGAGGCGGGGCTGCCGTGGAAGAAGCCATTTCTCCGCCTGCCCACGCCTGTGCTCCCCTCACTCCCCTCGCTCCCCTCGTTGAACCTCGGAATCAACCTCGAGGAGTCCGTTTCTACAGTGAAAGAGGTCTTCATCACTGTAGAGGTGAGCTTTTATTTTATGTGTTACTAAATGATTTGAGTACAAATCACAAAAAAGTCCTTTTGTTCAACCCTCGGGAATCAACCTCGAGGAGTCCGTATCTACAGCGAAAGAAGTCTTTAGCACTGTAGAGGTGAGCTTATCACTGGTTAGTATCAATTGCTTCTGCATGATTTTAGAACACATTGAAGTATAAACGCACAAACAACTACTTATTTGTTTACCACATATCTTCTTTTCTGTGCATCATCTCCTTGCAACAAATCTCTGCACACCTTGCAGCACCCCTTCACAACACCTCTTTGCAACATCTCCCCTTACCATTCCCCCATGACTCTCTCCCTCCCCCCATGGCTCTCTCCCTCCCCCCGTGGCTGGCTCCCTCCCCCCATGGCTCTCTCCCTCCCCCCATGGCTCTCTCCCTCCCCCCATGGCTCTCTCCCTCCCCCCGTGGCTGGCTCCCTCCCTCCCCGCGTGGCTCCCTCCCCTGCCCACGTCGCGCCTTCATCCAGAGTGGTGCATCAACAGCAGCGTCAGCGGCGGCATCAGCAGCTCCTGCAGCGCTCGGCATCCTCGCTGCTGCTGGTCTCTCCGTTGCCGTGCTGACAGAGGTGCACATTCACTAGTGGTGGGCATGGTTTGTTTTGCTCCATTGGGGGCGGGTGGGTGGGATAGGGGGATGGTAATTCAGTGCAGCGCTCGGAATCCTCATTGCTGCTGCTGGGCTATCCGTGGCAGTGCTGGCAGAGGTGGCGTGGGCATGGGGCAGTGGGCATGGGGCAGTGGGCATGGGGCAGTGGGCATGGGGCAGTCCCCAGTTCCGCAACCCACGGCACTCTTGGCGTCTGTGGCTCATTCCTTTTGCATCCTCTCATCCACTGCCTTTCCTTCCTATCCTCCCACCCACCTCCCTCCCACTTTCCTCCCTCGCCACCGCCCCTCTCCCCTCTCCTCCCTTCGCCTTCCCACCTTCTTCGCCTCAGGCCGAGGCATTACTCACGCTGGTGGCGTCAGTGGCGCTCGTGCAGTTCATTGCCACCAAGCTGCTCTTTGCCAAGGTGAGGGGTGGCGGTGGGGTGGGGTGGTGGCATGGTGGATTGGTGGGGTGGTGGGTTGGGGTGGTGGAGTGGGGTGGTGGGGTGGTGGATTTGTGGAGTGGGGTGGTGGGGTGGCGGGTGTGGTGGGGTGGCGGGGGGGGGAGGGGTGCGGGTGCTCATCGCATCGCAGCAGTGGCTCTCGTGCAGTTCATTGCCACTAAGCTGCTCCTTGTCAAGGTAGGGTTATGCGCCAGAGTTTTGAGACGCCTCAAAATGCGCCAGAGTGAGGGAGGGAATGCATGCTAAGACTGATGAGACGAGGGCAGGTGACTGGATGCTCCTAGGGGCGATGCACCTGGTGGCGTCAGCGGCTCTCGTGCAGTTCATTGCCAGTAAGCTGCTCTTCGCGAAGGTATGCTAAAGGGGGAAAATCGCTGAGCCAGGGAAATGCCTGCAATGGGAGACGGCTCTGGTCGTTCTAGTCGCTCTGGTTCTGTGCGACTTTTGAGGCACCTAAAAAACTCGTTTGGAGGCGCCTCAAAAGTCAACTGAGCCAGGGAAATGCCTTGCAAAGGGAGATGGCTCTGGTCGATTCAGTCGCTCTGCTTCTGTGCGTTGTCACCAAGCTACTATCCCCCCGGCAGGCAGATCTGCCATGCCGGGGGGATATGCCAAGTTGTTTTCCACTTCCTTCCTCCCTCGCCTTACTTGCCCTCCTTTTGGCACGGCAAAGCAGGAGCACGCAGAGACTGACGCAGCTGCCCAAGTACCTGCACATGTGTTTTTTGGGACTTCTGATCCCCTGACTGGCTTATAGAAAAAACACTCAAAAAACACAAGTACCTGCACATGTGTTTTTTGGGAATTCTGATCCCCTGACGGGCTTATAGAAAAAAACACTCAAAAAACACAAGTACCTGCACATGTGTTTTTTGGGATTTCTGATCCGCTGACTGGCTTATAGAAAAAACACTCAAAAAACACAAGTACCTGCACATGTGTTTTTTGGGAATTCTGATCCCCTGACTGGCTTATAGAAAAAACACTAAAAAAACACAAGTACCTGCACTTGTGTTTTTTGGGACTTCTGATCCCCTGACTGGCTTATAGAACAAACACTCAAAAAACACAAGTACCTGCACGCACATAGACTCTGATCCCCTGACCTGCTCTCCTCCCCCAAAACCTCTCCACACCTCTCTTCCGCCCAGCAGGACCAGGAGCAGACCCTGGCTCAGCTGCGCAAGTACCTTCCAACTGCTGCTGATCTGATCTTGCCTATTCTGCTCTCTCCGCCTCTACCCACCTCCCGACCTCTCCCAACCTCTCCCCTCCTTTCCGCACCTCTTTCTCCCCCACCACAGGACAGGGAGCAGACCCTGGCTCAGCTGCGCAAGTACCTGCAAGCAGGCTTGGTCCTTACCATCTCTGCTCTCCCCACCATTCCCCACCACTCCCCACCACTCCCCACCTCTCCCCACCTCTCCCCACCCCTCCCCTCCTCTCCGCACCTCTCTTCTCCCCCACTAACAGGACAGGGAGCAGACCCTGGCTCAGCTGCGCAAGTACCTTCCAACTGCTGCTGACTTGCCCTTACCAACTGTGCTCTCCGCACCTCTCTTCTCCCCCACTAACAGGACAGGGAGCAGACCCTGGCTCAGCTGCGCAAGTACCTGCCCACCGATGCTGACCTGCCCGCCCTCTCTCCTCCGAAGGAGGCAGTTGCACCCACCACTGTTGCTCCCTCTGCAGCACCCATAGCTTCAGCTCCTGCTGCTGCTCCTGCTGGGTCTCCTTCTGCTGCTCCTGCTGCTGCACCTGCTGCTGCTCCTGCTGCTGCTCCTGCTGCTGCTCCTCCTGCTGCTCCTGCTGGGTCTCCTTCTGTGGCTGCCGAGCCAGCAGCAGCAGCATCATCAGTCCCATCGCCTATTCCCTCTCCCTCCCCCGCTGCTGACGCTGCGGCTGTTACTGCTGCTGCCCCTTCAGCCCCTGCTGCTGTCACTCCCCTCGCTGCCGCTGCGGCCCCTGCTGTTGCCGCTCCTGCTGCTCCCCCTGCTGGCCCCGCTGCCCCTCCTGCTGCTGCTGCCCCTGCTCCTCCTGCTCCTGCTGCACCTACTGCAACCAAGGCTGAGTCAGCAAAGGCGGAGGTTAAGTCAGCAGTATCGGACTTGCCATACGCCAATCGTCCTCTCTCCCCTTACACCCTGGTAAGAATAATTTAGGCGCCTTAAACCCTTGCAACATCTGGACCTTAAGCCCCCCCATTTCTCCTTGAAATTGGACCCAACTTCAAACTGTCTCCTCTTCCCCACTCCTTTGGCCCCTGAATCTCCCCACCCTTGCAGTATCCGGACCTCAAGCCCCCCACTTCGCCATGCCCTTCCCCCCCCACCTCCAATGCTGCCGCTGTTGCTGAGCCTCCTGCCAAGCCTGCTGCCGAACCGGCTGCCAAGCCACCTGTTGCTGCAGCAGCAGCAGCAGCACCAGCAGCAGCACCAGTTGCACCTGCACCAGTTGCACCTGTTTCAGATCTGCCCTATGCCAACAGGCCCCTCTCGCCCTACAGCCTGGTGAGTTAATGCCCACATGCACACACATTGAGACGTGCTGCATTGGGTGGGTCCTATCTCATCCCTACTCTCTTTCTGCCTCTCCTCCCTGCCCTCTCTCGACCGTCACCCCCTCTCTCTCTATTTCAACTCTTCTCCATCCCATGCCCCCAACCACCCATACCATCTTCTGATTTCCGTCTACCCATCCTATCCCTCATCTACCCCTCCTCTCTCGTCCCTACCTCTATATTACGACTATTTCACCTCCATTTCACCTTTCTTTTACGCCTATTTTACCTATTTTCTACTTCTATTCTACCTCTAATCTGTCTCTATTCTCTCTCCTTCAATCTCTCCTTCAATCTCTGCTGTATCTCGCCTCAAGAACTCTCCCTGTGTGCCTCCCTCTTTCCACCAGTACCCGGACCTCAAGCCCCCAACCTCGCCAACACCCTCGCCTCCGAGGGCCGTTGCAGCTGCCGAGCCTGCTACCGCCCCTGTTGCTGAGCCTGTTGCCGAGCCTGCTGCTGTGACTGCTGCCGAGCCTGCTGCTGTGCCTGCTGCCGAGCCTGCTGTCATTCCTGCATCCGTACCTTTGGCGCCTGCCTTGGTTGTCGACTCGGCTGCAGCCGCAGCAGGAGCAGCAGCTACAGTTGCTGCGGCCGGTGCAACAACCGCCGCTGCTGCTGCCACTGCTGCAGCGGCTGCTGCTGTATCAGAAGCAATGACCCTCCCCGTCCCTCAGTCACCTCTTTCTCCATACACGCAGTATGCGGATCTCAAGCCCCCATCCTCACCATCCCCAGCAGCACCTGTCTCCTCGGCTGCAGCTGCAGCAGCTGCTGCCGCCACCACTGCCGCTGCTGTCTCTGCCGCTGCGGCTGCTCCTTCTGCTGCTCCTGCTCCTGCCACTGCAACTGTTGCTCCTGCTGCTGACCCTGCAGCTGATGCTGCCACTCTGGCTGCTGTTGCCGCCGCCACTGCCACCGCTGCTGCTGCCACTGCTGCTGCTGCTGCTGCTGCCACTGGTGCTCCTGCTCCCTCGGTAACCCCTCCTGCTCCTGCCACCCCATCTGCTGCACCTGCTGCCAAGCCTGTCAACCCTGAAGTGGCATTGTCCGATGCTGCTGCTGTGGCGGCTGCTGCTGCCGCCGCCACTGCCACCGCTGCTGCTGCAACTACTGCTCCTGCCACCCTAGCTGCTGCTTCTCCTCCCCCTGCTGCCCCTGCTGCTGAGCCAGCAATGCTTGATGCTGCTACGATGGCTGCTGCAGTTGCTGCTATTGCCACCACTGCAGCTGCTAATGCCACTGCAGCCGCTGCTGCTGCCGCCCCAAAATCGTCAGATCTGCCCTAAGCCAATCGACCTCCCTCCGTAACTTACGGTAAGTCCCCGCAACGACGATCTGCATTTTCATTCGCAGCCTCTAGCCTCTAGCATTTGTACTGTATCCCTTCAAAACAAACGTGTTTGACTCTCCACAGCCATCCCTTAACCTTTCCATTCCATTCCATTCCATTCGCTCTCTGCAGGTATTTCTCCTACTTCTGCGTTCTTCTGATTGATGTAATTCTATCCCGCATCCGTCCTGCCCTCAATCTTCTTCCCTTGGTTCATGGATTGGACAGTACGCTGATTGGAAGCCTCTCGCCTCGCCGCCTCCATTCAAGCCCTCCCTGAGCTGCGATCCATGCGATTCATGCCATCTAGTCGTTTGAGTAACGATGCTGGCATTCAAGCTGAACCTTGATCTGTTATGTATATGGTGTAGGTGTCCTCTGGGGGCATATACCAAAACATACTGCTGCATATGAAGCTTGAAGAGCCTTAATGTGTTAACAAGCACTTGATAAGGTACAAAAAGATTTCTGATGACTGCAAACGTGGTGAAACCCCAACCAGTCCACAATCTACTACTGGCCAATAAAACTCCTGCTCATCCCTGCTTCTGCTGTGTATTTCAGTCTCTGTCCATGCAATGAGCAAGACAAGTATGGCGCACTGTGTTACTGCATGAGTATTAAACACTATGCACCTGCACGCATGCACACTTTCTGTGTTACCCAAGTTACCATGACGAATCTGGAATCAGCAGTGCCTTTGGTGCGTCGAATCCACAACATACTCCTCACATATCCCCTCTGGAGTTACCCGCGCTCCTGCCGGTCTATCGAATCCGGTCCTGCAAGTCAGCAAGGATGCTGGAGGCGAATGATGACAGCGCCTGCCCTGTCTGCTCCGCCACAGCCTGCAAGATGGGGAGCAACCGGCGGAGGTAAACAGGAGGGGGGAGGGGGGGTTTGTTGAGAAAAGCATTTTGAGGCAGGTTGGCAAGTGGAACAAGGAATGGAGTGTTGAGCGAGGAGGGAACGGATAAAGGGATGAACTTGACAAACACAAGTGGTGGCTGTTATACGAATCATTGTGTTTAAAAAAGGCTTACCCTGCAACACCCACCCTCAGAGAGCTCTCAAAGTTGGTCTGCAGCGATGCCTCCCATAAGAGAATGCACGCATGCGAAGTGGCTACGATACACACATGGGAAATGGACTTATCATGCAACACCCATCTCGACAGAGAGCCCTCCGACTGCAGCAATTCTCCCTAGAGAAAACCCTCAGGACACTCTGAAATGCAATTGTCACGCATGGAGAATGGCTCATCATGCAACACCCAACCCCCACACCCAACCACACGGAGAGCCCTCAGTACGTCCGCAGTAATGCACCACAGGAAAGCACAAACCACACTCTGAACCACAATAGACACACACGAAATGGAAAATGAATGATCACGCAACACCCACCCCCACGGAGAGCCCTCCCAGTAGGTCTGCAGCAACACTCACACAGCGCATTCTGAACCATGGTCATCCCTCACACATGGAGAGTGGAACATGGCTTATCACACAACACCCACCCCCACGGAGAGCCCTCCCAGTAGGTCAGCAGCAACGCTGTCCAGAGAGCCGTCCCCACCACCCTGATTGCCACCCTCGTCCCGATCGAAGAATGCCGCACTCGATATGGCCGACGAGTTCTGGTGGCGTGGGCATGGGGGAGAAGGGACGGCATGGTGAGGAAATGGACGTCAACTGAATTGGACTGGGGGAGAAAGAGCGGGATGAAACAGCTGCCCTACGTTTCCCACTTTTTATTCTTTCTTTCTTTCTTTCTTTCTGGCAGTTCTGGTTTCACAGAGCATCTTCTCCAAGCCCAACTACTGCCTTCCCTTTCATTTGACCATGTACCATTTTGCCGTGATCATTGCAACAAGCCTCTCCGCACCTGCTGTCGCATCAAACCCCAATCTCCAAAAAAGCCCAGTACAGATTAAGCCCGCTTCAGTTCTGTACACTAGATTCAGGACCAAATCCCCTTTCCATTTCACAAGCCACCAGCTCATGTTCGTTGCAGCCTAACTCGTACTACCGCAGCTAAACTTGCTTGTTTCTCCGTCTGCAACTCCTTGCTGCCCGGGTCAAGGAGCTGCTGCGTCCTCCCGTTCTCCCATCGTTGTTTCCTTCCCCACGTCCTAACAGTGCCGTTGAGCCATGTTACTGCAGCTCACTTCAAATTCCTGCAGCCGCTCCTGATTCTGTAGCTGCAGCTCTTTGCTGTCCCAGTAAAAATCCTGCTGCGTCTCCTGGTTCTCACACTCATTTCTTTCTTCACTTCCTAAGAATGTCACTGAGCCATGTTCCTGCAGCTCACCTGGAATTTCTGCAGCCGCTCTTGGTTCTGCGCCTGCAGCTCCTTGTTATCCCGCTCAAAAAACTGCTGCGACGAAATCGCCTTCGCCCCTGCAAACTTCCTGCGAGCCTCGTCTGACTCCTCGATTGGCTGCAACCCGCGAACAGGTCGTAGACGGAAAAACGTGGTTTGGACAGAGCGAGAATGGCACCAGCAAAGCCCAAAGAGTGAACACCTGCTGTGCAACAAACTAAAACAATTTGTTACCAAACCAAGTCAAACAGGCCTACACAAGGTCGCAAGCCCCCACTGGTAGCCCCAGCGCATTGCAGCCCAGAAAGTTTCACATGCCAACAGCAGAAGACAGAATCGAATAGCTTCAACAAGAAGCAGACTGTAATCAACTGTACCTGAGGTGGGGGCTTTGGCCGGTTACTGGGAACAGCCCTAATCCCTCCCGAGAAGTCGTTAAAGAAGTCCCCAGAAGCCGCGGGCGCTGCCACGTGGCCGCCTCTGCCCGAACCGGCACCAGGCTGCGAGGAGGACGCCTCGTTGTACGTGAAGCGCGACGCCTTGTGCTCCACCACGCCCACCTTCACCGGTGCCTCCACTGGCTTCTGCTCATACAGGCTGTCGTTCGGCTGGAGGTGCAGGGACGGCGGGAGGGAAGAGCGATTGAGAAATCCAGTGCGGTTGGTGTGTGGTTGGGCACAAGTGACGTCATTCGAGTGGAAGAAGGTCACTTAAATCGTCTTGTTTATGAACGTAACTTTGCATTCCAACGTCCTTGTTAGCATTCTGCAAGTGCTCTCCCGATTGTGCACGTGTAGTCTTTCTGCTACAGCCATGAATCGTGACATTCGACAGCCAACTATGGAGCTTCCACACTGACGCATCTGCGCTAATCTACGCAAACTGACCTTCGTCGTGAGCTTCTTAACGCCGAGGCCGGACGACTTAGTGGTCGTTTTCTTCGCAGTTATGCTCGTCGTCTTCCTTGTAACGGGTGACACTCGCGACGCTGCAGCTGCAGGAGCAGGAGCAGCAGCCGCAGGAGCCGGGGTCTCCTCATCAGCTGGCGCTGCCGCTGCAGCACCACCATTCGCAGCTGTTTGGCTAGTCGATGTTGGCGAAGGGAGGGACGTCTGTACGCCGGCGAAGCTCTTCGCAACTTCCTTCGCGAGAAGCTGCCGGTAGAGATCGGCGGCTCTTGAGGTGTACTTTTGTTCGATCTTGCCTCCGTCCGTCCAGCCGTGCTGCTTGAAGAATGCACGCGCTCGGCCGTTTCCTCCGAAGGACATCATCTTCAGTTGCTCTACGTTCCAGCCGTCAAGAGTTGTCGACCTGATGAGCGACAACGGATTGATATCACCATGGCCTGAAGACCGACGAATACAACGGTTGCTGCGTACTAAGAACGGGCGGCTTTAAAACAACAGAGTGGGTGGTCTAACACATTCAGTAAGTTTGTGAATCCCGGTATTTGCAACAGATACGCATCGTGGGTATGTACAAAAGGCCAGAAATACGAATAAGAATTCTGACAGATTAGTGGAAACGAACCTGACAAAGCTGACGTGCACGCCGAGGCTGCGATGCATCGCTGAGCAGTCGAGGCATATGAAAACTCCGTAAGTGACCGATGCCCATGTCGGATTCTTGGCATTGCAGTCAAAGCACATCTGACAAAAAAAAATCGGGAGACAACGAAGCGCATTCGAATGGTATATCTCAGCGGACAAGCGAGCCCGCCCAGGGGAGCTCGCTGCCCGCGGGCTAAAAAAAATAAACCCCAGACGGGCATGCATCCGGTCAGGGAGCCTCAACCCTAAACGCGGGGAGGCATGGTGTTTAGGGTTGAGGCTCCCTCGGATGGCATGCCATCCGATGGGGTTTTAGTTTTTTTCTGCCCGGGGCAGCATGTCGACAGGTCGTCGGAGGGTCGTCAGGCTTGACGACCCGTTTCCGCTGAGATTTTCCGCACAGATTCGCACAGAAATGCTGTTAGCACACCAGAGCGTGAACTACGGCGATCACAGCAAGAAGATGCAATCCAAACAACGAGGAACTACACGTTATAACCTAAGACGACTCATTCTAACCTTGTTCTCGGCCTTTGCTCGTAGCTTTTTGAAAACGGGATCCCTCTCCCAAACCTCCTCTTGATTCGCCATTGCTGCTGATTACAATACTCTAACAGATGTTCAACACAAACACCACTAGAGAGCCAGCTATTAAACTAGTTGACCAAACGAATTCAAGCTCTAGATCGCCAAGTGATTCACCGTCCAGAGAGATCGGAAACCAGCTAGCCTGAATTTGGTGAATCTGTTTTGGCCTGCTTCAATCGCAGAAGCTCAACAACTGACAGACGGTGGCTTGGATCACACAGGGAAAACCAGGGTTTCCTCCTCAGCTGTTATTTCTCTCATGCTTTGTCCCTTGCCACAATTATTTTCTGTTGGTGAAGGCCTGTTGGTGTCTCCCAAACCATTTACTCGAAGCTAGAATTTTGGTTTGGAGGGAGGTTCGAAGTGGAACCACAGGGATCTCCGCGTGATTTGGCGCAGCGATTGGGGCATGTGTCGAGTTTCCCGCCTGCGCCTCGCCAAGTCAAGCTCTCACGCTTCGTGGCTGGCCCTCAAAATGCCCAACGGCCAGTGACAGACAGGTTCGGCACCGTTCAGCTGACCTACACTTTTGGGACTCCAACGAGCGCGTCAAAACGAAAGCTCAAATGACTCACTATTGATATGGCCACAACTCTTACCGACAGGAAAATAATCACCAGAAGTACATGGAATGTAGCATACAAACCAGGTTACAACGTTTTCCATGAATTTATTCCTTTCCTGCTTTCACTAGAAGATCGTGCAAATCCTCCTCGGTGAAAACCACCTTCTCTGCACAAAACTCGCACCGAACCTCCACCGTCCCTGCACCACCACAAAAAAGTGGCACTTAACATTCAGATAGGTCAAAGCAATCCCCCACTTGATTGTCAAACATTGTTCCACTGATGAAAGTGCTTGAGATATCAACACAACATGTTGCGCCAAAAATCACTCACCTCTTTCCTCAATCAGTTTCTTCACGTCCTCGGCTCCTAGTGACTCCACGGCTCTGAGCATCCGGGGCTTCAAATCTTCCAAGCCACATGGGCCAAAGGTAGGCACAATCTGGATGAGAGATGGGGGGGGTGGGAGGAGAGGGGAAGAAATAGGGTAATGCTCCCAACAATTACCCATGATAACAGCAGGCTGAAACCACATGCTACACTGCATCCAGCATACCAGTTACATGCCCAACCAGCATTGCAGACATACCTGCAATAAATCTGAACCATACCATACCAGGTCCGGACTTACCGGATCTAAGACAGGTTCGGGATGCAGTCCCTGCAGGAGATGGTGGGCAATGGCCACTGCATCCATGCGCTGCACCGCGTCTGACATGGCACCCAGCGATTGGACGTTGGCCTCTAGCTTGTCTAGTGTCTCGTCCGAGCAGAACGGCAGGACCTGGAGAGAGGGTGGGCAGATGGAAACGACCCAGGACAGAGAATGAGTTGCCATACTGAGACGTTGGGATAGGAGCAGCAAGTGTACCTCGTTTCAAAAGAGACTGACTGAGAACGAAGGAGGTGCGCAGAAAGACTTCACACAGGGCACTCAAGAGAAGGGAAGTGGGGTAGCAGCAGAGAGCCCTCACTTGAACGAGGAAACCGCCAGCCGCCCTGACGATGCCATCTTTGCCCACCGCCACTCCCAGCCCCATAGCTGAGTTGATCTGCTCACTCTCCGCCAGATAGTTTGCCAGGTCCTCTGCGATCTCCCCCGATACCAGAGGCACAGTGCCACTGATTGTGGCAAAAAGCGGAGAGATGGATGGGAAGGGGAACGGAAGAAGAAGTTGGGTTGGATTGCTCACTCTCTGCCAGATATTTTGCCAGGTCCTCTGGGATCTCCCCTGACACCAGAGGCACAGTGCCGCTGATCGTGGCATAGAGCGGAGAGATGGATGGGAAAAGAGACGGGGGAAGAAGTTGGATCACGTGTTAAATTGCTCACTCTCCGCTAGATAATTTGTCAGGTCCTCTGCGATCTCCCCCGATACCAGAGGCACAGTGCCACTGTTTGTGATAAGAATCCAGAAAGAGAAAAAGGTCAGCAGGTTAGCATTGTTAAATTGCTCATATTTGGACAATCATTTGCCAGCGTTTTTGCAGATTACAATGACAAAGCGCTGCTGTGCGTGGAGGAATCCAGAGAGGTGGAAAGAGATGAATGGCGCAATCAGCTTTCTTTACGCCAGTCCACAGAGTGCCAAGTGTGGGCTTAAGCCGGTAACAATATCATCGATCACATCAATGCCCACACAAAGGTTCAACATCTGAAAAAGTACCAAACTCTTCATAAAGGCTCACGTGTAAGGGGACTGCCAGGACGGATGGGTTCGAATGACGCTCAGCACTCCCTTTCCAACTGCACCTCCCACGTCCATCTGAACATGGGGAAGAGGAATGTGGAAAACAGGGAAAAGAATTGTAGCAGAGAATGGTCGGGACAAAGATAATGAAACAAGGCTTAAGGATATCAATGCGAGTTTCCAGGCTCAAAAATGTCTTTTTAGATTGGAGTGGCACTTCATGTAAATGTGCACCTCATTGCATGTATTTGTGCAGCTTACCTTGCCCTTGGAGTTGAGAGGCGGGTCGGCCAGAGGGTTGTGGGCGAAACCCTTCACCTCCCCGTGCTGCGCTGAAACAGCCGTGATCTGCCCAATAGGCCCCCGGCCGTTCACTGTGACTTGCACGGATTCGTCTGGGCCCTTCATTGCCCCCAGCAGCAACGTCCCCATTAGGAGCCGTCCCAGTGCTGCCACAGCCTGTGATACGGGCGGACATGAAGGAAAGAGTATCATTAGCAGGCGGATTTTCCTCTCTCTACCTTAGAAGCAATGCAGCAAGCAGGTAATTTCAAGTGCTTCCCTGAAAAATGTTGCTGCTTGCTGTACTCACAGAGACAATGAAGGGCATGCGAGGTGGGAAGGAAACTGTATGGTTGGTGACAAAGGTGGTTCAGATTGACTCGGCTGGAACAGAACCCACAGCTTTGACGGTGTGAAAAGCGACTCACAGTGGGGGCCATGCCGTGGCGTGTCTGAGCCTCCTTGACTAGATCAGTAGCCGCCACCACCATCACCGATACCTGCCGATGGGCCTCAAAGGGTCAGTGGGGTTGACGGAATTCATGCGTGGGTGGAAGTGCAGGAAAACAGAATCAGAGATAGAGAAATAACATCGTTCAGTAGGACGGAGTTTGAGGCCGAAATTTGCTTTGTTTTTCTTTCTTTCTTTCTTCTCTTTTAATTTCTTCCGTTTATAGAAATTTTGCTGGGAGTTGCATTGTTGAGCTTTTGAGTTTTATTTTAACCGCCGTACCTCCGCGTTGCCTGAGATGAATTTGACCAGCTCGTCCTTAGTAGCGTGACGTGCTGATACATCCGCGACACCAGCTGCAGAGTCATGGCTCTCGCCCGTGTAATCGCCGTCTGATTGGCTAGCACTGACGCGGACAGCGACACGACGAAGGCTTTGAAGGTACTGGCGGGATCGGCGGGATCGGCAGGTGAACGGATTATCGCCGTGCACGTTTCTAGTTGCCGTCAATCTCAGCGGGTTCCGTCCAAGGCTGCTGCTGCTGCTGCTTATGGTTACGACTCGGGCTTCTGCGGATTGCCGGAGAGCGGTTCTCGATGGAAGCGTACTGAGGTGTGCATGGACATGCGGGACTGCCAGGACCTCCATTTCACCTGCTGCTATTGATTGAGTAATCCGCTAACCACCTCAGACTTGGTACGAGCTGAGAGCTATTCGAACAAAATGCACTGTGACAAAAGAGCCCAAGCGAGCAATATTCGTTAGTGATGGGCAGAACAAGGTAGTCAAGTCAGGCTCACACCCAAGGTATTTACAGAAAAGGCACAGCCATGGCATGAAGAAAAGCAGGCTTGAAGCTATCTCGATGCTGCCATTCGGTTGGGTTCTGCAGAGCCCGTGGCGAGATCAAACGAAATCTTCAAAACCGTAATCGAAGCTGTCAAAAACAAATATAACCGAACCGAACCTTCTTGTAAATGATGTTACTCGGCCTGTGGAATCATGGGGCAGGGTATCCCACGTGGCATGCTGACGCTGCGCCGCGTGGAGAATCCACGCAGTCCACTTTCCGGTTTCACATTGTAAATGCACTTCGACTCAAGTAGAAGAGTAGTAGAATATACACTGCAAGTGACTTTCTGCAACACAGGATTTTTTCAAGTCTAGATCCAGGTAACTTTTGATGTTGGGATCCTTTTTAGGACTGTGACTGACAGATTATTTCTTTCAGATGCTCACCACATCCCTCGCCGCCGTATGCTTGCCTTCTATTCTCGTTCCGTTTTCCGGCATTCACGGTGGCCGTTCGCCAATGACATGCTCACATCACTGACCGCATTTTCGCGTCTCAGTCCATCTCCGTTTTCCCCTGATTGGCGCTCCGCTTTACCCAAGGCGATCCTGGCCGTTTATTTCAGGGACGACGGAAACTTAATCTCTCTCATAAACTCAGACATAAGTAACGGTTTAGCTCGAGCCGCAACATCGAATCATTCGTATAAAACTGTTTCCAGCTTGAACAATCTCCTAGGGATGACTCGCTCGATAATTCACTCTGTTTCACATTTACTCTTAACTTCTCCCGGCACTAGCAAGCGTTCAGACAAGAAGAATGGAAACACCTTCGCTGGACGTCGCACGCCTCTTAGCCGACACTCCAGCACGAGCCCGTTCTCCGATCAGAATACGGCACGTGGCATCAGAAGCTGCGTCTCTCGTCGGGACGTGACAATGGGCGAAGCCTTGGACAAGGTGACGCTGCCTCGAAATGTGACAATAGCGGGAGAATCCGTAGGCGCTGTAGCCGACCTCAGTCAGTCCAATCCTCAAAATGTGACCATAGCGGAGGAGTTTGTAGACGGTATAGTGACTAGGAGCCAGGCCAAATCCCGGCTAGATGCGTTTCTGGCAGCACAGGGGGAGCGTGTCAGCCGTGCCAGGTGGCAAGACGCCATTCGCCAAGGGAAAGTGCTGGTGAATGGGGCCGTTCAGAAGAAGGTGAGAAGCAGGAGCGGTGTAGCAGGTTGCAATTGCAGTCTCGCTTTCTCCTCTCACCCTTCCATCTCCCATCTCTCCTCTGTTTCCCCCTCCCCATTCGCCCCCTCCCCATTCCTCCCCTCCCCATTCATCCCCCCCCATTCGTCCCCTCCCCATTCCTCCCCTCCCCATTACTCCCTCCTCATTCTTCCTCTCGTCCAGCCGTCGTATGCAGTTAGGGAGGGCGACAGGGTGCAGGGCAGTCTTTCCCCACCCCAGTCACAGCACGCGCTGGAGCCATCCGCCATTGCCCTGCACGTGGTGTATGAGGATGACCACGTGGTAGTTATCAATAAGCCGCCCCACATGGTACGTACGTCTCTCCCTTCTTCCATTCCATTACGAAGGCGAATTTCTCCACTCTCCAGTCACAGCACGCGTTGGGGCCATCCGCCATTGCCCTACACGTGGTGTATGAGGATGACCACGTGGTAGTGGTCAACAAGCCACCGCACATGGTAGGCTGACAGAGAGCTGTGGCCCATTTGGTAGGCCAATCACTGTGCCGTCCCCCGTTGCCCTGCACGTGGTCCATGAGGATGGATGAGCACACTGTAGTGGTCAACAGGCCAGCCCACATGGTAGGGTTCTCTATTCCCCTTAAAAAATTCCAGTTTTTTTTTTCCATTTTCCTTCCCTCTTCATTGCATTGCATCGTGCGGTGACCCTTCCTCGTTGTCTGCTACCTGACTGATTGCCTCGCAGTGTCCCCTCTCCTGTACCCCTTTCCGCACCCCTCTCCTCCTTCCCGCCCCTCCAAAGCAGGTGGTGCATGCCGCTGCGTGCAACTGGCAGGGAACTCTTGTGAACGCTCTGCTGCGCCACAGATGGTACATCGGATTTATGAGGCACCTCAAAAATCTGTGGATACCCCCACATTGCCCCTATTTGCGCTTCTCGCGCACCCCTATGCACCCCTCCCCTCCAGAGCAGGTGGTGCATCCAGCTGCGGGCAACTGGCAGGGCACTCTCGTGAACGCGTTACTGCACCACTACCAGCTCTCCTCCTCCTCCTCCTCCTCCTCCTCCTCCTCCTCCTCCTCCTCCTCCTCCTCCTCCTCCTCCTCCTCCTCCTCCTCCTCCTCCCCCCCCTCCTCCTCCGCGTCCTCGTGCCCACTCGTCCTTCGAGACAGAAATGCAGGAGAGAAGTAAAGGAGCAGAGGGGCAAGGAGGGATGGCGCAGGAGAGGGGAGGGGAACCTCACTTCCCCGCCACTGCTGGTTGGGATGAGGATGATGGTGAGGAGGATGAGGAAGAGGAGGTAGATGAAGTAGAGGAGGAGGGAGAGGAGGGGAAGGGGGGAAGGGAGAGGCAGGAAGCTGAGGAAAGAGCCAGGGAAAGCCTAGCAGGGGGGGTGGATGTGCGGCCTGGGATAGTGCATCGGTTGGACAAGGGAACCAGCGGGCTGCTTGTGGTGGCCAAGGTGAGGCGGAGGGAATGGGGAATGGACTGGGCAGGACTGGGATGGGCTGGGATTGGCTGGGCTGGCCTGTGGGATGACAGGGGCGGTGTACGTGCGACCAGGGATAGTGCTTCGGTTGGACAACGGAACGAGCGGACTGCTTGTCGTGGCCAAGGTGAGGCGAGTGGGTGCAGCAGCATTGCATCACCCCTCGATTTTTACACACTCACCCCACATAAATCACCCCAACTCACACAAAGTCACCCCACTCGCACTTTCACCCCACAGAATCTCACCCCCACAAACACTCCGCTTAACCAAGTTTCTCCTCATCTCTACACCCCCATTCACCTCCTCCCCTCCTTACCTGCTGCTCACTGTCCGTTACTTCCCATCGCCAGGATCCATTCAGCCAGGCTCACTTGAGTGCGCAGTTCAAGGCTCGCACCGTGCACAGAAGCTACCTCTCCCTTGTCATCGGTGAGAGTACAGTGCATCACACAAATTTCTCTTGTGCATTCTAAGCTGAGGAAAAATTCGTCTTAGTGCTCACTTCAAAGCTTAGTGCTCACTTCAAAGCTTAGTGCTCACTTCAAAGCTTAGTGCTCACTTCAAAGCTTAGTGCTCACTTCAAAGCTTAGTGCTCACTTCAAAGCTTAGTGCTCACTTCAATGCTTAATGCTCACTTCAAAGCTTAGTGCTCACTTCAAAGCTTAGTGCTCACTTCAAAGCTTAGTGCTCACTTCAAAGCTTAGTGCTCACTTCAAAGCTTAGTGCTCACTTCAAAGCTTAGTGCTCACTTCAAAGCTTAGTGCTCACTTCAAAGCTTAGTGCTCACTTCAAAGCTTAGTGCTCACTTCAAAGCTTAGTGCTCACTTCAAAGCTTAGTGCTCACTTGAAAGCATGCACAGTGCACAGGAGCAACCCCGACTCCTCCCTGTTAATGCAACCCGTACTCTCCACGCACACCCACATACTTCTCATTCCACCCCATCCATCCAGGCATGCTCCTTCCTCTCGCCGGCTATGTGGATGCTCCCATCGGTCCAGAACCCAAGAATTATGGCCTTTCACATACATGCACCCCATGCCACCACACCCATCTAGGCACGCCCTCTCCTCTCGCCGACCGTGTGGATGCTCCCATTGGTCGTGACCCCAAGGACTGATATTTGAGTCGACTCAAACCCCCCCACCACCCCCCCACCTCTTGCCTCTTCTCCCCTTACCATGCATGCATGCAGGCACGCCCTCTCCTCTCGCCGATCGTGTGGATGCACCCATCGGTCGAGACCCCAAGGACCGCAAGCGCATGGCGGTTCTGCCTCTCACAGGCTCTCACCGCAGCAGGCGAGCCGCTAGCAGGTGGGGTCTGATATTTGTTCCCACTCTAGCCGCTAGCAGGTGGGGTCTGATATTTGTTCCCACTCTAGCCGCTAGCCGTTGTGAATTATACGGCTCGAAGATTACTTTGCAAAAGTCTCAAGAAACACGAGTCATTAGCAGGTTCATGCGGCCCTCAGAGAGGTTCTTGGTTCCTACTTGGACTTGGTCTCGACTCAAATGAGCCTTTGCTGCACGTTGTGATTCTTGCTTGTCATCCCCGTGACTGAGGAGCAGGTACCGGGTGGTGGAGTCACTGGCAGGGGGAGCGGCTGCGCTGGTGGAGTGGAGGCTGGAGACCGGGAGGACACACCAGGTGGGTGCACCGCACGGGAGGGGACAGGTGGGTGGGTGGGACGCACAAGGTGGGTGTGAGGCGCCTGCTCGGCAAGTCCGGTCCGGGCTGGGTGGATCCGGTCTGACTTTTGAGTTGACTCAAAAGTCCGCCCACCTGGAAAGGTCTGGACCCCCATTTGGGTTGGGTCGAACCGGTTCCCACCCATGTTGGGAACCGGACCCCCATCCCGGGAGTCAGGTGAGGTTGGGCATCGGTGGGGCAATGCATACCTCAGTTGTGTTGATGTTATGAGAAGCTTTTCTCAAAAGGAGAGTGGGAGGTTGCGGTTTGTAAATTTCACAAATGGCTTCCGTGCCAATTGTTACACTCACTTGCATGTTACCATTATCATTCTCTTTACCAGATCAGAGTACATGCACGACTCCTGGGCCATCCGTTGATCGGCGATGAAACGTACGGTGGATCGACACGCCACGTGTCATCTCGCCTCTTGGCATCGTTGGTTTCCTCTTCACCTCTCCGCTCGCCAGTGGCTCAGTGGATTGCTGGGCTGGATCGCCCCCTGCTTCATGCAGCCACACTCAGGTGAGCGAGCAGAACTGAGTATTGTATGTATCGCTTTGTATAATCTGTTGGTGGGGTGGGGATGGATATGTTACACATAGCATGGCATAGGCTCTGCAAAGCGCTATTAATACACCTTCCTTTGTTTCACATGAACAGGTTCGTACACCCGCATAAACTCGAAGTCCTAACCTTTGAAGTTGCACCTCCCATTGATTTTATCCAGGCATTGCAATTGCTTAGATCGTTGTGACAAATTTGATGTCCACTCCCCATGTTGTCGTATGGCTCATGGCTCTTTGTATGGCCAAATAAAATTACCGTTTCTAGAGTTTGTCACCGCTCATTAGAGAGAGTAGCCGTATAATGAAGTCACATGGTCAACGCAGTCTCAGCATCACCTGACCAATCCTTGCTCCTCCCGCATGCCAGTTCCGCAACATTCTAGGGACACGGGGGCTGGAATCTTGCAGCGTTGCGTCGCTGGCTCAATGACCTGGTCTGTCCTCTGTCATCGCTGTCATTCACCAATGAGCTGCAAAATGCTTTCCACGTGTCCTATTCCCTAGCTCCTGGCGGCTGAATACGGAACGCGCCCTTGTTGGCTTTGCCTCGCCTATTTCCATCCTCCCACCGCTCTCGGCTCATTTCGCTTTATTGCTGCTTGTTTTCCCAAATCTGCTCCATTATTCATCGCTCGTTTTCCTCGCTTGTTTTCCTCGCCCATTCCGCGTCTTGATTTGGTAGTTTCCCGCGTCATCTTGTCGTGATTTTGACCGTCAACCTCGCCAATTCTCACGTCTGGATACTTTTGTTTGAAGCTAGGTCGCTGACCGAAATCAAACCACCTTAGCTCCGAGCTAGCATGGATTCCGCCAAGCCAGCGTTCCGTGTCTACGCGGCATCTGATTCATACGGTGCGACTCTTAGAAGCGCCATGGTCAGTTATCTTCGCTCAAAAGGCATAGAGGTTGAAGACTATGGCGAAGACAAGTACTACACGGCAGCTGAACGCGTTGCCAAAAGCGTCGCAGCCGACCGCTCGGCGACAGATTCTCCTGCCTGCGACACGCGCGGACTGCTTGTGTGCGGAACCGGCACCGGCGTTACAATCTTTGCAAATAAAATCCCGACAGTGTACGCCGTGCTGTGCGACACCACTGACGTGGCGAAGAACGCCAGGTCGATCAATAACTGTAACGTACTCTGCATGGGTCAATTTCAGACGACTCCTGAGAAAGGGCAAGAGATTGTGGATGCTTGGCTCGCAACGGAATTTAAGGCGCCGTGTCCAGCGAGTGGTAACCAACCGTGGAACAAAGAAGTCTTTGATTTCCTGACAAACGCGCCTGACGAAATGGCTGCAGTAGGGATGACAGAATCTCCACAGTTACCAGGTTGTGGGGTCTCACAAGATGGCAAAGCTGCAGCATGAAATGAGTAGCAGCAAAATAAAGCTCTCTTCAAGACAGTGCAGGAGTTTCTACTTTACCATATTTCATCGCTGGAGGCCCGGGATGTGAGGGAAAAAAGTTCTTGTGCCAAGTGCAAAAGGGTATTGAAGCGTGGCGTGGCGTGTCATCTCTGTTGTATATTTACTTCGGAAGTGGAAATTGTTGATCGATGTGAATATGCATCCGGTTCAGAGTGCACAAGCTGAGAAGTTCTCAACACAGGCCATTAGACTAATGGATCTTACACATCATTGGGCGGCAGAAGTTGTTGAGATAGCTAGGCAAGGTGAGTTGACTATCGAGAGAAATTTTACAAGTAGGAAAACCCTAAGGGGTTATCCCCTATAACATCTACCCCACTACAGCCTACCAATATGTATCACACATATATATCATTTGACACACCCCCATAGGCAAAGTGGGGGAGAGCAACGGGTCACAAGACCAGTCAAGAGAAACAAAACAAGCTCAGGGTGGATCACAACGTCACCACACATTCTGAGCACAAGCAAATGGCCACAAGGCCAGTTCACATGCAGAGATATATATGCAGCAATGACAGTACAGTGTCGAGCTACCTAGCAAGAGCCAGCATGCAGGTATATATGTATATAGATCACAGTACAAGCAAAGACTACAGCAAGTGTGGAAGCATAGGCACAAGGCCTAACAGAGTACAAAAGCGCTGATGATCACCAGACGGAAGTGCCTTGGTGAATATATCAGCAGTGTTGGCCCGAGTGGCCACGTAACGAAGACAAAGCTGGCCTCGCTGCTGCAACTCTCGAGCCAGGAAGTAACGCAGAGCAATGTGCTTCGTTCTGTGCTCCAGTCTGTGCTCCTCACACAAGGCAATGGCGGCCTTGTTGTCAACGTACAGCACTGGAGGAGAACGAGGCTGCTCTCCCAAGTCAGTCAGCAGGTAGGTGAGCCAGCGTAACTCCTGTGCAGCCATGGCGGTGGCGTAGATCTCAGCCTCACAACTGGAGCCAAGAACTGAAGACGAGCGTGTAGAACGCCACGAAACTGAACCAGAGCCAAGGCTGAAGGTGTAACCCTGTGACGACCGCTGAGTAGCCAGGTCGTCAACCCAAGAAGCGTCTGAGTGCCCAGTGAGGACAACTGGGCTCGTCCCTCCAAGCACTAGCCCCATGCCTGATGTGCTGCACAAGTAGCGCAGTACCCTCTTAGCAGCAGCCATGTGCTCAGGTCGGTGTCGACCAGGAGCCACGTAGCGAGCGAGGAGACCAAGAGGGTACGCGAGGTCAGGTCGAGTGCAAGTCATCAGGTACATGAGGCAGCCGACTAGCTCTAGGTAAGGACCACTCGGCTCTACGGACTCGTCCGAAGGTGGAGCTGAGAGCGTGTGACCTGTAGCCAGAGGAGTGGCCTGTGCTGAAGACCAGGTGAAGCCGAAGCGCTGAAGGACCTGCTGCACCATGTGTGACTGAGTCAAGGTGATGGTGCGGCGTGCTCTGTCCCGGGTGATCTGCAAGCCAAGGTAGCTGCGCAGCTCACCCAAGTCAGTGCACGTGTGTCTCTTCTGTAGCTCCGACTTCACGTGGGCGAGAGCCTCAGTGTCAGCAGTGGCAAAAACCAAGTCGTCGACGTACACGAGGATGTAGAACGGCGGCAGTGAAGTGTCTGTGCGCAGAAACAGCGACGGGTCAGCAGTAGAAGGCGCAAACCCAAGAGCCGCAAGTGTCGTCCTCAGTGTGTCGTGCCACTCACGTGGCGCCTGGCGGAGACCGTAGACCGGCCGTCGGAGGCTCCACTGGGTGCCAGGAGGGAACGACCCAGTGAAGCCCGGGGGGCGGCGCAGCCAGATCTCCTCGTGCAGGCTGCCCTGTAAGAAAGCAGTGCTGAAGTCAAGAGAGTGAAGCTCGTAGTCACGGTGAGCAGCAACGTGCAGCAGCACCCGAAGAGTGGTCATCTTCGGGGTGGGGGAGAAGGTCTGGAAGAAGTCAACTCCCTCTCGCTGACTGAAGCCTCGAGCCACGTAACGCGCCTTGAAGACAGGCGGAGAACCCGGCGGCCGCTTCACCCTGAAAATCCACATGCCACTGACGATGTTCGCCCCAGGTGGGGGAACCTCGTCGACATAGGTGCCTGTGGACTTCCAGGAAGCCATCTCTGCGTCCATGGCTGCCTGCCACTGAGAGGAGTAGGGACTCTCTATCGCCTCTGCGTAAGAGCGCGGAGTCGGGATGTCTGGTGCATCCGGGTCTCCCTCAGGGGCAAGTAGCGAGGACACAAGATGAGGTAAAGCAGCAGCAAGACACTGGAACTCCTCCTGCCTGTCCTCAAGGACGTCCGTGCTAAGAGCACACTCACCCCCGACGGACGGAGGACAGACAGACGCAGACTCAGTAACAAGACCGGCGGCGTAGTCTAGACGACAGGCAGCAGCAAAGTCAACAAGCTCAGCGACAAGAGCAGACGCAGCAGTAGACTCAAACGACGGGTCAGTGACAACAGTGGCTAGCAGACGCGTGACAGTAGGGTGCTCAGCACGAAACCGGTCAGACTCAGGGTCTGGAACGTAAGGTAGAGAGGACGCAGGGGGAGACGGAAGAGGAACAGGCTGCAGAGCAGAGGAAGGACGACGAACTACGAGGTGTGTGCTGGGGACAGCCTGCTGACGCGAACGAGGAACACGACGACCGGGACGAGCAGGCGAGACAGGACGCGACACAGGCTCACGACGCTCAGCAGGACTACCAGTCTGCTCAGTGTAAGGAGAAGGAGCAGGCAGCGGTGAGCCAGGCTGTAACGGAAGACCAGTAGACGACGGGAGAGTAAGAACCTGACGAAGAACAGAGTCAGACGGCGGCAGAGACGACGGAGACGGCGGAGCGAAGAACAGTCGTGTCGGCGCAGCTGCATCAGTACCGGCAGCTCCAGCAGCTCCAGTACCCCCAGCAGCTCCAGTACCTCCAGCAGCTCCAGAACCTCCAGCAGCTCCAGAAGCTCCAGTCCCAGAGTCGTCACCTCCAGTCCCAGTGTCTCCAGCCCCTGTGTCTCCAGCAGTAGCACCCCCAGAACCAGCACCCCCAGTCCCAGGGTCTCCAGCCTCAGTGTCACCAGCAGCAGCACCCCCAGAGCCAGCACCTCCAGTCCCAGGGTCTCCAGCCTCAGTGTCTCCAGTACGAGTACCTCCAGAACCAGCGACTCCAGCACCTCCAGTAGACAAAGGTCCAGCACCACTCCTAGCTCCAGCAGCGCGACGCTGACGGTGACCGTACCAGTCCTGGAGCTGCTGTGGGGTGAGAGGCACACGTGGACGAAGGCGGCTACTCCAAGGAGACCGCGCAACAGCAGACTCAGAACCCTCAGCGCCAGCACCCCCAGCTGCTCCAGAACCTCCAGCGCCAGCACCCCCAGGCTCCTCACGCGTAGGCTCAGTACCCGCAGACTCGGCACCCGCAAGCTCAGCACCTCCAGGCTCCTCACGCGCAGGCACAGCACCCTCAGACTCGACACCCCCAAGCTCAGCACCGCCAGGCTCCTCACGCACAGGCACGGCATCCCCAGACTCCGCACCCCCAGGCTCAGTACCTCCAGGCTCCTCTCGCTCAGGCTCCGCACCCCCAGGCTCAGCACCCCCAGAGACAGCACCCCGAGCAGGACCACCTCCAGCAGGACCTGAGTCACCAGTGACCTCAACAGGCGCAGGTACCGGAGGGTCTACCTGAGAAACACCTGAAGGAGCAGGACCTGGCGCGGGGAGGGGGTCTACCTGGGGAGGACCTGGAGCGAGAAAGAGCGGCGGGGGGGGGCGAGAGACAGTGCGGTAGGGAAAGAGACGGTAGAAGGGAACAGACTCGTCAAAGGTGACGTCCTGAGACGCAAAGACACGGCGCGAGGTGGGGTCGTAAAACTGCCAGCCAGGCGCGTCAGGAGGAAAACCAAGGAAGACGCAGGGAATGGCGCGAGCAGAGAGCTTGTCCGCGGTGAGATCGCGGACAAAGGCACGAGCACCCCAGACCCGGAAACGCGACGCATCGCCAACCTCCCCCGTCCACAGCAGTGTGGGCGAGGTCTCCGGCAAGGAGACACGGGGCCAGAGGTTGAGCTGATGCGCGGCGTACCGGACCGCGAACGGCCACAGAAAATGGGGAGCCGCCGCATGGATCATGGAGGTACGAGCGACCTCCATGACTAAGCCAATGCGGCGCTCAGCAACCCCATTCTGCTGCGGAGAGGCCGGAAGCGTGAACGACTGGGTGATGCCGTGCTCCGCACAGAAGGCTGCCAAGAGGTCAGAGGAGAACTCACCACCTCTGTCAGAGTGCAGACGCAGGACAGGAAAGTCCCGCTCGAACCGCTCGCGGAGCTGGAGACGCACAGCGCGGATCCAGGGGATCAAAACAGCAGGGACGTCTCCCTTGCTGCGCAAGGGGAAGACCGTGGTGTAACGCGTGAAGTCGTCGACAACCAGCAGAAAGTACCGCTCACGGCCCTGTCCCTGGACGCGGGCTGGGCCCCACACGTCCAGGTGAAGCGTCTGCAGGGGAGCCTCTGTGGGAGGAAACGAGGAGGAGTGAGGAGCGGCGCGCTGCCGCCCCTCGACGCAGGGAATGCAGGGCGGCGCAGGCGAGGGAGGGAGGGCAGGCAGAGACCTGGGAAGCCCAGAGACCAGAGAGCGAGAGTGCATGCTACGAAGGCGAGGCAGGGAGGGGTGACCAAGACGGTGGTGCCACAGGAGCGTGTCGTGCGACAGGCGGCGGCACTCACACTGGGTAGCTACCTGAGCAGACGCGTACAGCTGTGGAGACAAAGGAGCGGAGCGTGAAACAGTGGTGAGGGTGTACAGACTGGACCCCGGCTCACGAGTGAACGTGGCCAGGTGGCGGCCAGTCTTGGAGCACGTACAGATCGCCACACGCTGCCCTCCAGGAGTCCAGGTGTCAACCCAGTGATCCTGGAGGACGGCGTTGCTCACCAGGTTCGTAGAGAACGAGGGAACGAGGAGACCTGACAGCTCACCAGACGGGACCGCCGGGCACGGGAGCACAGTCGTGCCGCGTGCAAGCACTGGGCCCCCAGAGGGGTCAGCCAAGGAGACTGGGACCGGTGCAGGGAGCGGAGTGACGGTGGTGCTATCACGAAAGAAACAGCGGGAAGCACCAGAGTCAAGTGTAAACGTGTGCAAGGCCTGAGCCGACTCAGTACCAAGGGGAGCAGACTCACTAGCACCTAGGGCTGCAGTCCTTATACCGGGGTCAGGCGGCACACACAAGTAGCAGTCACCCTCAGCACTAACAGTCAATGCATACATGGCAGCAAGAATAACATCATAGTCCAGATCAAAGATAGGCACATCACGCCTAAGCAGCTCTGCCCAGTTGGGGAACTCAGTAGCATCAGGATACTTAGTACGCCAGGCGTCACTAAGCCTAGCAAAACAACGATACTCAGTGTGAAAACCGTTGCAGGGGCGACCCTTGCGGGGGCCAGTACGAATGACATAGGGGCAGCGGTCAGAACCCCGAGACGCCCCACGCCCAGCATACCAGTCATTGAGCTGCTGGGAGGTGAGGGGAGGAAGCTGCTGCTGCTGCTGTGGCTGTTGCTGCTGCTGCTGCTGCTGGCCACCCTTCTGGCCAGATCCACCCCCACTCCCACCTCCACCGCCACTGCCGCTGCCTCCTCCCCCACCACCGCCGCCGCCGCCTCCACCGCTCCCGGTCCTGCCGCCACCCCATCCACCGCCTCCACCCCCACGGCCACCCCCACCACCTCCACCACCCCCGCCGCCTCCACCACCGCTCCCTCCACCGCCACCTCCGCCACCCCTGCCACCCTTGCCGCCCCTGCCACCACCACGCTTCCCACCAGGAGCGGAAGCCGCTGCGACCTTCTCCGCACCGAGGAAGTCGACAGCAGTAGCAGCAGAGGCGTAGGAGGGGTCAAGAGGGGAGGGGGAGCACCCCTCAAAGAGGGGAGTGCGGGGAGTGCCACGAGCAGCACCGACAGCGAGGATGTTCTTCTCTGCTGCGACCAGCTGCTGCTCGAAGTCGTCCAGAGTGATAGTTGGAGGATCCTTGGCAAGGAAGTAATCCCTGACAGAGCGAAGAGTGTCAGGGAGGCGGGTGACGAGGATGTAGAGGGTGAAGTACAGCGGGGGGGTGTTCGTGGCGAGGAACTCTTTGGTAAGAGCGGCTCGAAAGCGGGCGTCACTAGCGCGGAGGTGAGTGATAAGGTCGGCAGCAGTGTGAAACGAGGCTAAGTCTGGGAACAGGTAAGGCAGGATGAGACTACCAACGGTGGCTGTGGTCGGGGCGGAATAGCGGGCAACGACAGCATCATACAGCGTCTTAGCAGTCTGAAGCTGGTTGAAATGCGCGCGCTCAGAGATCGGTAGGTGATTGCGAATAACAAGGCGCGCGACAGCATCGCGGAGCTCCCACTGTGCTCGTTCAGGGGCAGGAGCAGTCTCAGCAGGAGTAGGGACAGTGCCGGTCACATAGGCTAGCAGGGACACTCCGTCTGCGACGTCAGTCATAAGGTAAAGGCGCAGGTCACTAAGCCAGGTGTCAAACTCGATGGGGCGGCCGTCAGGCTCAAAGGCGAGAACAGTAAGGGTCGCCATGGTTGTAGCGCAGGCAAAAGTAGCAGGCTCAGGCAGCAGGCTCAGGCAGCAGGCTCAGGCAGCAGGCTCAGGCAGCAGGCTCAGGCAGCAGGCTCAGGCAGCAGGCAAAGACTGCAGGTTCAGGCAGCAGGCTCAGGCAGCAGGCAACTGTAGCAGGTAAGGAAGCACGCAGTTCTGTGACAGGCCGCGCGTAAGGCAGGTAAGCGCACGACTCACGGGCGGCTAAGCGCTCAGGTCGAGGCAGTGGCGCACAGGCAGGGCAGGGCACGCGCTGCTGCGGGCTGCGCGCGGCAGCGGGCTGCGCGCGGCTGCGGGCTGTGCGTGGCAGCTGGCTGTGCGCGGCGACGGGCTGCGTGCGGCTGCGGGCTGCGCGCGGCGACGGGCTGCGTGCGGCTGCGGGCTGCGCGCGGCGACGGGCTGCGCGTGGCTGCGGGCTGCGCGTGGCTACTGGCTGCACGCGGCGGCGGGTCGCGCGTGGCGGCGGGCTGCGCGCGGTGACGAGCTGCGCGCGACAGCAGCGAGCACGCGGGCGGCTAAGGCAGCGGGGCGCGCTAAAAAAAAAATGCACGCGCGCATGCAGCCGAGGCGCGCGCGGGCAGCAGGCAAGGTAGGCACGTAGGTATAGCTGTAGGGAAAGTAACTCATGAGTAGGTGGGCCCCAATCTTAGGTCCTTAGGACCATTGCTCTAGATGCCATGTTGAGATAGCTAGGCAAGGTGAGTTGACTATCGAGAGAAATTTTACAAGTAGGAAAACCCTAAGGGGTTATCCCCTATAACATCTACCCCACTACAGCCTACCAATATGTATCACACATATATATCATTTGACAGAAGTTACCAATTTCACCAGCAGTGTCAGCTGCAAGGGAAGGTATTGTACACATGAAGAGACAGCTAAAACAATGGAGAGAGCTGAGCCTTGCAACATCTACGTTTATCAGAGGACTGAGCTGATGTGTACTGGGCAGAGGGCTTGGAGTTGGAAAAGCATGTACGTTGTTGTGGCGTTGCGGACTAAAAAAATTTGAAATAAGAAAGGTTTGGACAGAATTAATGCTGTGAATTTCTAGGGCACCGCAATGCAGTCTGTCATCTTGCCTATAGTCTTGAATAAACTTCCCAAAAATATACAACAGTAATTAATGTATAAAGATTAGGCAGCTAGTTGTTATGTTTGCAGTGTTTCTCTGAACGCGTTCGCACCTTTCCGAATCTCGCATACCGTGTCGATTCCACAATCCCCATACACTGGAAGCGCGTTTGACTCCCACAACTTTTCCCGTCATTCGGGTGTGTAGTTTTTTTTTTTTTAGGTAATTGCTATGTACACCGATAAAGCAAGCATACATAAACAATAACAGTCGTAACTGCGCATGAGGGGAAGCCACGTGGCCGCCCCAGGTATGGCATCTAAGGAGGCTGGCGTGTCATCCTCGGTGCGAGCCAGATGTTCGAAAAGGCTTTCGTCCACGTCCATGACTTGCAATTTTTGTCCCTGATCCGAAACAGTAGCTTGTTCTCACTCTCCAACGCCCGGCGAAATTTCCCCTCCTGTTGCGTACCCCGGCGCTTCTTCCACTCAGCATCCCTTGATCTCGTGTAGATCCGTGCATGCGGACGAAAAGCTGCTTCAACTCGGCGGAGCACCCTCCTCGTCCGGAATTTCTTCCCCCGAAACACAGCGTCACACCGCTCCGCCCACAGTTGGTGAAGCGTGATGGACATAAGCGTGGCTTCTGGAAAGGCCGTGCTGGACCCCGCCTTCCGGAACAGCAAGTCCCTCAATGATGACACCGCACGCACGCTGTTCAGCATGCGCAGGGATTTAACCAGGGCAGACGTCACCACTTGAATCTTGGGGCAACTGTACAGACAGTGCTCCAGGGTCTCCTCCCCTCCACAGTACGGGCAGACAGGCTTACTGCTCAAAAAGGCCACCCGCTCCCCCACTTGCAAGTTTAGGTTATGGATCCGCAGTAGAACGTCCCTCGGCCTGCTCGGTGTGACCAGAGAATCACGGATGGCAATGGTCCTTTTCCAGTTGATCTGCCCGTTCCACCTGTCCTTCCACAGACGCTGGTTAGCGGATGGCTTCTGCCCCTCCTTCCATAACAGCTTCAACCGTTTCAGGGGCGCAATACTGTCAGAATCACTAGGCAAGAATGATGCATTGAAAGGAGAGAGGAGTTGAACTAGCAGGCAGTTGAGTACAAATAGCAAACCCTAGATTGGGCTGTACTCGCTATAGAGTACCCCACTGCAGGCTAGACAATAATAGCATTCTGACACACCCCCATAGCCAAAGTGGGGTGTAATCAGCAGAGCAAGCAAAGCAGTACAAGCTCAGGGTGGATCACAATGTCACCACACATTCTGAGCACAAGTTCAAGAAGCAATAGTTTAAAGTTCACAGTTATGAGCAAAGCTAGAGGCAGTAACAGAGGGCAAGCGAGGAGGAGGAGGGCTGGCGAGAGGAGAGAAGATGAAAGGGGGCCGACTGAAGCTGCAGACACACGGGCAACAGGAGCGGCGCGCACAGTGGCTACCGAGCGCACGAGGGCACCGGACTACGGGAGTATCTGGCTCCGCGGCTACGACGAGCACACACAGGAGCAACGGACCCACAGGCGACTGGCGAAGCAGGCTCGCTGGGCTACCGAAACGCGCGAGGGCATCCGGACTACTGGCGCTGCTGGCGTCACGACGGCTACCTCCACGCAATCTCCCCCGACCGTCCCACGCCCCTCTCACACACCCCCTGCTGACACCCTAGCTCCACTCCGACGGTACCCCCCTTAAACCCCAAACCCTAGGCTCCCACACACCACCCCCCTCAGCGGCAGCTGTAGCAGAGGGAGACGAGGGAGGAGGAGGAGCAGGGGGAGGAACTCACAACCGACACCCCCATAGCCGCCACCCCCACACTCTTCACCCCCAAACCCTAATTTAGGAGAACGGGCTGTAGGAGGGGTGAGGCGCCGGTAGAAGCACGGGGGACAGTGGAGAGGGCAGGAGCAGCGAGGAACGGGCCGCCCACGGGCCTGGTAGAGCCGCCCGAACCGCGCGCAGGCGGCCCGAGCCGCGCGCGGGCCTGGCGCTTCCCGTACGGGCCGCGCGCGTGCCTGGCGCAGCCCGTACGGGCCGCGTGCCGGGTGTACGGGCCGCGCGCAGGCCACGACGGGCGACGGGGGGCGACGCGCGGGTCCCCGTCGCCCGTCGCAGCGCCTCCCGGGGGCGACGTGCCGAGTGACGGGGCAGGAACCCGCCGCGCGCCTCGGGGCACACGGCGGGCAGAGAACCGCCGCGCGCCTCGGGGCGCACGGCGGGCAGAAAACCGCCGCGTGCCTCGGGGCGCACGGCGGGCTGAAAACCCTAGTTTCGACGCCGCGCGCCACGGGGCGCGCGGCGGACAGGGAGTAGCAGTAGCAGTAGCAGTAGCAGCGGAAGGCTTAGGTGGTGGGCCCACCCACAGGATCGACCCAGGAGGGTCGACCTGCTCTGATACCATGTTAACAGAACTAGGCAAGAATGAATGAAAGGAGAGAGGGGTTGAACTAGCAGGCAGTTGAGTACAAATAGCAAACCCTAGATTGGGCTGTACTCGCTATAGAGTACCCCACTGCAGGCTAGACAATAATAGCATTCTGACAAATACCCCCGTTCTCGAAGATGGGGAAATCCATGAGCTTGCGCCCCGCAGAATGGAAAACCCTCCTGTTTCCCGCTGGGATGGGGGGATGGGCGGGAGCGCTGAGCAGCAGTTCTTTCCATTTCTGAGGCGCAGCTTCAAACGCCCTCCTTGCTAGCTTAGCTGCTCCCTTTCCGCCGAGCTCTCTCTCCAAGGTAGTAGCGTCCTTCAGCTCAGGAACACCGCTGCTCCCAAGCTTGATTAGATCGCCAAGCCGCTTCTCCCATAACAGCTTCGCATCTTGCTGGCCTCCCACCGGCGTGGTTCCGTTGAGCAGGAGCCGCTTGTTGAAGACAATTCTCTCTCCTTCCACCGCTTGTCAAACATTATATATGTTGTGTTTGTTTAGGCTACAGTGGGTTAGCCTATAGGGGGTACACAATTCTAGGGTTTGGTACTTGTACTGCTTTCACTCATAGTTCAATCATTCCAGTCTCTTCTTTTTGACATGGTTTCAGAGCAGGTCCTTCGCTAGGACCGTTCTTAGGGCCCACCACTGAATACCTACCTACCTATCTACTGTCGGAGTGCTGCGTTAGCGCCTCCCCCTCAGCGCCCTCGTGCGCCCTCGTTTATGCCCCCCCCTAAGGCCCCGTCGACCCCGCGCGCCGCCCCTTAGCGATTCGCGCGCCGCCCCTTAGTGGCCCCGTCGAACCCGCGCGCGCCCCGATTTCGGCCCCGTTTGGCCCCGTCGACCCGCGCGCGTCCCCCCTTAGAGGCCCCGCTGGCCCCGTCGACCCGCGCGCGCCCCGTTTGCGGCCCCGTCGGTCCCGCACGCGCCCCGCTTACGGCCCCGTCGACCCCGCGCGCACCCCGTTTAGCGGCCCCGCGGCCCCGTCGAACCCCACCTAGCGGCCCCGCGGCCCCGTCGCGTCTCACCTCACGGCCCCGCGACCCCGTTGCGCCCCGCTTAGCGGCCCCGCGGCCCCGTCGAGCCCCGCTTAGAGGCCCCCCGCGGCCCCGTACCGCCCCGCTTAGAGGCTCTGCGCAGCCGCGCAGCCCGACCCGAGCCGCGCCGCCCTACCCGACCGAGCCGCGCCGCCCGTACTGAGCAGCCCCGTCGATACTACTGCTCCTGCTGCTACTGCTACTGCTGCTACTGCTACTACTGCTGCCACTATGGCTAGTCCTCCCGTACTTGCTTTCGATGCCGAGGGCCGCCCAGTGAAGTTTGACACCTGGCTAGATGACCTGCACCTCTTCCTCCAGCTCACTGCCAAGGA